AACGAATAAATTAAAGTTACAGGAGTATGTCAGTGAGAGGCAGTCTCAGTCCTTTGCAGAGAGGGTTTGCAGGCTCTTCAAATGACAAATGCTTAGAGAATCAGCAGAAAGTACAAGGAACTTATCAGGAAACAAATTGACCATTTTCCTGACAGAAGGAGAGCCTCCTCTCTGAGCCACAGATGGCTGCTGTAAAGAAGAGCCTTATGAGACACAGTTGAACTAAGAACCTCCAATTTAGGGAGCTACAGGCCTTGTCTATTAGAGAAGAAGCACAGCCCTTGGCAGTACGTCATGTTGGTGACTGTGCTTTTCAGAAGAAGGAAGCTCACCACAGAGGGAAAGTCCTCTTCTTATCCCTGCCCATGCGATTTCTGTTAATCGTTGTTGAGCACGGCACCGCATCCAGGTGATGAGAGCTGTTGGGCAAAGTCGGCACCCACTGGTTGTTCCTCTTTGCCTTCTGTTCTCTGAAGAAGAAGACTGGATGTTAACCTGCAGAGTCTGACCACCACTGCTATTATTTAAGGAACAGTATAATTTTAAATTATGAGCTCCTGCCTAATGATAGTTTGACTGAGAAATCATGTTCCACACTAGCCTCCAGGAAGCCCATTCTCCAGATCATAACTATTCCTCATATATGAACCCAGGTGTGCCATTATAAATACTAGTTCATATTTGGATTTTCTGTGTATTTACAGAGGGGCTGCTGAGAAATGTGACGTCTCCAGCAGACGGTACGTGCACAGAGTGTTCTGCAAAACATCTGTTACAGTTGGAATGGAGCAATCGCAAAACAAGCTGCATCATCAAACAATAATGTTTTTCTTCTGTCGTATGTGGGCAGTGACCTAATCCTTACATTCTGAAGATCTTCATTTGCCCAACTCTGTACATGTATGCTAGCACAGACGGGCAAGCATCCTGCTGTGCGAGGCCCTGGGTTGATGTGATTTCTAACAGGACAGGACAGCACTTCCTATCCACGCCAACACCTTCCAAGCAGCTCTGTTCTGATCCTGGCCCTCACCACCGCTGGTTACCTGAGGTAGGTTGGAGGTTCTGTGCTGATAGACACTGCCTTGTACTTCTCATCATTTCCATCCAAGATCTCTTCCACTTCAGAGGCCTTTAACAGCGTCACACTAGTGGCTAATGTCGTATAGCCGTGATCTATTACCAAGAAAGATACCAATAATTAACATGGAAAAGTATTACACAGCAATATGGCATTAATAAGCCGAACAGTGAAAAGCCCTTCCTGCCAGATGGGACAACAATAAGGTTACCAAATGGTGTGATTGTGTGACCCAAAGTGCTTTGGGCTTCGTTTATCTTCTTGCAGAAACTTGATTTTACACAAAAGTTTTGACAAGGCATTTTGTACGCATGGGATAAACGGGGATCAAAAAGCTTTCCACTGCTACTTCTGAGTTGCCAACAGCTTCTGCTCTCCCTCACACCCCAAGATGCTCTGCTGTTTGGATAGATTTCTTGCACTGGTGTGATCAGAAGCCCAACCATAGTGTCTGGCACTAAACAAATATCATCTTGCTTTGACATCCATGTAAACAGCAAGAACAAATGTGACTTTCAAGGGGACAGGGGTGGAATGTTTCAGTGAATACCCAGCAAATCCTGCCACAAAGCCTAGAGAAGAAATGCAATTTAAAAGATAAAAGCAGGATGACACCTTGGAATGGCTGCATAGCGATAGGGCAAAGATTTGCAAAACGCATCAGGATCTGCCTTGTATAGGTACCCTTTTTATACTGTTAGAAACTCCTTCCATTCTAAGAGTCTGGGCACAAGGAGAGTTAGAATTGCATGGGCTTCTCTCAATTATTATCACTGTATATCACAATAGCACATCCTAAACCTACTTTGTAAACTGGCTTTACCAGGAGACTCTGGGAACTGTACTGGGCTTCTAGAGTAGGGAGACATTTGACTCAAGAACTAAGATGTGGCTTTTACCAACCACAGATGAACCTACTTCTTCCAGGGTGCAACTTATTTACAGAACCTACTAATTTCTTCTAGGAAATTTACTTAAGATAGAAAAGAATGCTAGCAAAAAATCCAAAACACCTGGAAAAAAAAAGGTCCTTAAATCCTCATAAACATTAATTTTAAAGTTTACCTAATGTGCTTTTATTTAAGGGGAGAAAAACATTTGTATCCTACCCTGAGTTGCCCTCTGCAATCACATGGTTTAGCTCTGCACATCTATAATCTGCCACAGTGATGTAAAATTTTTCACAGCCTTCTGAGGGGAAAAGCCCAGAAAACTACAAATCCTCAGTGGAATTTATGGTTGGAAATGGAGAGATAACAGTCAGTAGAAAAGCAAGTTGCTGGACAGACACATTGGACATTAATGAAAGCTAAGCCAGGGAGCACAAAGAAACAAGACTTGGAAAAGGGGGAGAACCTCAGGACAGATCTTGCTGAATTGCACAAACCGTCTGCGTCTGAGAGTCCCGTAATGTTCTGAGAAAGAAAAGTTCAGCATGTGATGAGGATGCACAATTAGGGCGACCACAGGGAGAGATCAGAGGAAGAGGATGAGACATTCATGTATATTGTAACGGCACCAAAGGTCACAGCGGAGATTCCTACTCTAGCACAGCTAATAACAACACACAGATAAGACTTACATCTCCTGGGACTGTGAGACCGCTGATTTTCTGTTGGGAGAAAAAAAAAAAAGAAAAAAAAAGGAGCAACAGGTCACTTGGAGGAAGGAGACATAAGTCTAGAATGAACTATTTATTTTTATTGTGTCTTAGCCTGAAGAGCGCACGACAAGCTCTATTGCTAAGAAATATTGCTTTTCATTAGTCTCCCATCAACAATACCACCAAGACAGCTGTATTCTTACTGTAGCAGTTACACCAGTACCAACACACCACCACAAATTCTAGGAGCCACAAACTTTCAGTCCTTGCAAGAACAGAAGTTAAGTGAAGATGCATATTTTCAATGGGATATCTTTGCAATATTCTGCCCATTTGACAAAAGGGACAAAATTGGCCCTCTCTGCCAACAGAAGTCCCTCCTGATACGGGATTTGAGATGTGGCTTTTGTGTTTTGAAGGAATGCAGCCAACCCCAGGAAAGCCACAAGGCTCATTTTGATTTCAGATCATTTTTGATCAGTTCACATTCTCTGCGAGGTAGAACCAGGCGCTGATGTGCCATTGCTGCAGACGGCTCCATCACCGAGGTGATGAAGCCCTCTGTAGCCAGAATCTGAAGCGATGTGCACAGCCGTAAAGTTGCACAAGCTTCTGAACCTCCAAGAATGTTTTTCAAGGCAATCTTTCAGACTTCAGTACTGGAAACATTTACTCATCTTCTCACCATGTGAAGACGCCACTATCTTCTTCCTTTCTTCCACGGTGGCTAGTCGTCTCCAGAGTGAGGGGTATCTCTTGTACAGGGAACCCCGAAACATACGCAGGTAATTCCCCACCTACAGGAAGAAAAGCAGAAACATGGCCTGGAAATGTATTCCATTCAGAGGAATTTTGAGCAGAAGCTGAAACGCATTCAGCTCTTTGTAATGATGACAGACCTCAGGAGAAGATTTTTTTTTTTTAATGTTTTCTTGCAATTGACTATTGGGTTTGGCATCGTAACGCACAATTTTTGTGGCAATATAGACAACAGCTTTTATCAGCTCTTTATTTCACTAGCCTGATAAGAAAGTCCTATCTATTGAGAAAAATCAACTTAATTGGAAAAAAACGCATTTATTTGCACGTATTTTTGAACAATTTAAACTTTACTTCCATCGCTGTTTCAATGCACGATGCTCTGTAGGAATTTAATGAAAGCAGATACCCAGCCCTCTGACAGCGGCACTTTCACACTGAACCTCTGTGCCACCCAGACATCACTTGGGTAGAGCAAACACCCCGAGACCTGCCTTGCAATTTATTTTAAATCCTCTGACCGTGCAAAATATGACCACTGCCAGAAACCCTGTTCCAAACTTACTCCACACCCGTACAGCAGTTCTGCTCGTCCTGGCACAATGTCCTCACTTGTGCTGGCGGCTCCAGCAAGCCTTGCTGAACAACAGCAGCATTTCTAGGCTCTGAGACCAACCTTTCAGACGGGTGCCACGCTCACAGCCTGCCACAAAGGGCTTTTATTCCTTAACAGGAGCCTTTTTGACCTTACCGTCCACCTTCAGACAATTTTTAATTGTAAACGTTGCTCGTCGGGAGACGGGGGCAGGCAGAGGAGGCAATCCTTCTTCCTCTTCCACGTGCGTGTCGGGGCGCTCCCTCCCTCACCCCGCAGTTTGGGGCCCCCCCAGCCCTCACCCTTCCCACAAGCGGCCCCGAGCCCCGCTGCAAGCTCCGGGCAGCGCCTCGCCCCCCCCCCCAGCCCCCTTTCTCCACGGGGTGAGGCCGGGACACGCCCGCTGCCCCCCGCCCCCACCCCGCGGTGCCCGAGCGGCCTCGCCCCGAGCCGGGAGCGGGGCTCGGCCCCCACAGCCTCCGGGGCTGCCCCGCACCCCCCATATGGGTCCCCGCTCCCCCCCCAACCTGCCGCCTCCCGGCCCCATTGTCCGCACCTCGGAGCCGATCATGTAGAACTCGCCGTCCTCCTCCAGCTGGAACTTGACGGGCTTCTGCCCGAACGTTTTGCTCAGCGCCATCATCATCATCGCGGCGGGGGCTGGGGGGCTGGGGGGGCTGAGGGGGCGAGGGGCCGGCGGCGGAGCGCAGCGAGCGGGGGCAGCGCCGCGGCCTAGCGGGGCTCGGCTCCGCGCATGCTCCCGCTCGGCGGCCCCCAGCGGCGGCAGCGCCCGGAGCGGAGCGGGGCGGGCCCGGCCCTGCCCGGCCCCCTCACGCCCTGCCCGGCCCTGCCCGCCCCGGTGCCCCGCTCCCTGCCCGCCCCCAGCCGGCCCTGCCCGCCCCTGGGCTCCCCGCCGCGCCCCCGAGGCCGTTAACGGCCGCGCTGAGGCGAAGGCGAAGGCGGGAGGTAGAAAAGAGGCGGTTTATTGGTACATAAATATATACACAGTATATATCGCAGGGTTTATACACGTCGTACAAACATTTACACCCGCGGCCCGCTGCTGCCGCCTTTGCTCTGCCTGCGTGAGCGCCAGGGCAGCGACCAGCGCTGGGACCCGGCGCCACGCGTGGTCCGCACCCAGGTTCATGGGGAGCTCGTGGGGGCCCCCCACAGCCCCCAGAGCTGCCCGAGCTCCCCCACGGGCACTCGGTGTCCTCACGGCTCCCTGGCTCACGCTGGGGACGCTGCCTCAGCAGAAGGTGTCTTCCAAGGCTGGAACAGCCCAAGGGCTGCCCTACGTAAACATAGGAAATGCCATCAAGGCAGCTCTGCGTGATGGGGTCCGGGTTAATAGGAGAGTGTGATCCCTTTCCAGGCCGGCTTGATGGCTTGTGGGATGCTATTGCTGGAAGAGCCTGGTCCCAGTTAAGGGTTTAGGGCTCTCGTCTGTGAAGAACACGGCGGACGCTTTTGTATGGATAGCAACTGAAGCTGGGGCTGCTGGAAGAGGAGAGGGGCAAACTTTGCCGCTTGCTGTGGCGGACACCCGCTGTGTCAGACACTGGGCCTGCGAGGAAGCCAGGAATGGCAGAGGGAGCCCTCTGCGTGGCTGCAGGAGGTCGGGGTGATGGAAGGGAAATGGGGGGCCGCAAGCACCCCCCTCATCTGAAGGAGTTGGAGGAGGGGGTGCAGCTGAAGAAGTCCTGGCTGATGGGGCGCGGGTAGCCCTCCAGCACCTTCACCTGGACGGGATCGAACTTCCAGTAGTCTCGGCCTCTCAGGAAATAGGCAAAACCTGGGAATGAGAGAGGAAGGGTCAGGAAAGACAGGGTTGGCACAGCTCAGCTCTTTCCTAGCATTTTGTCTTTTTGACTCCCCAGAGGATTTTTAATACCAAAAGAGAGCCTGGAGGATGCAGGAAATGCTGCTAGATTAATTTCACCTGAATCCAGATTTGGGCTTACACTGCTCTTTCACACTGTTTCAGTGCTGACAGGAGAGTAAACAGGATGGAGTTTATTTTATATATCTAGTGGTTCAAATATACTGTACCTATGCAGCGGCCTGGCCTTACCAGAGCAGAAGGTGCCTAGGACCCCATCAGGGCCTGTGGCAGGGAGGTTGTGAAGAACTGCTGCAGGAACATCCTGCTTGGAGGAAACTGCTCTGGGATGCAGGCTCTGGAAGCACTGCGGAGCCACTCCACGCCCAGGAGGGAGCAGAGAGGGAGTCACTGCACCCGTTGTCCCCAGCGCCCGTCTGTCCCAGGTATTTCTGCGGCACCGCGATGCTGCGTGCAGCAGTGGGGCACGTCTGGGGGACGGTGACACTGAAAGCAGCCTGCTCATTCAGCACAGCTGCCTCGGCTGAACTGTGGGCAGAGTTTCTGCTGTCCTCCCATCACTGCCTGTGTTGGGAGCAGTAACAGCAAAGTGGGACTCTGTTTCTTTGTCAGAAGTTTGACTTTTTCTCTATCAGGTGCTTAACTGTTGATTGTTCCAATTAATAATTACAAAGCTTCTCACTTTCATGAAAAGCTTCAGTTCCCTGCCTACTGGAGGGAGCTGCCTCACTCTCTGTGCACTACATGGCATGTGAAGTGCCCACAACTACTGACTGTCTCAATGTTCAAGCTGGGAGCCGGCATCAGGCTGAGTGCCCAGCCCGGAGCAGGCCCTGTCCCTGCTGGCACTGACCAAACTCATCCTGAAAAGCAGCATCGATCTCCTGAGGGACCCCGCGCCAGTCGGCCATGGTCCGCGGGTAGATGTTGTCCACCTGGCGGGTGTGAGGGTTGAAGCGCCAGTAGTTGCCTCCGCTGAAGATGTAGATCTTGTTCTTCTCAGCCCCCCAGACCAGAGCTGCCTGCACGGGGGAAGCAGGGAGGCCCAGCTCCACGATCGGGGTGGGACCGGAGACACGCCTCTCGCCGTCGTAAATCCAGTACTGAGAATCTGGTGAGGAGGCAGAAAAGGGGAGAGACAGGTTCAGAAGCTCTTTGATGTCAGCTAATTTGGCAGTGAATTGCAGACGTGGAGCTGGTGCCCTGGCAGAGCTCCCAGGGAGAGCTGTCGGTGAGAGGCGCACTGTTGCTGACAGTGCCCACAGTGCCAGGAGGGCAAGGGGTTGAATTCCCCCCTCAGTCCAACCCAGAGCTGTCAATGCTGGGATGAGGAGGGCTCTTTTAGCAGCTGCCTCGGCTGTATTTGTGGACGTTATAATGAAAGATTTGGCTTTCCTTATGAGCTGCCCGGCTGCCCTGCCTGGCTTCTCAGAGGCTGAGGTATTGGAGAGCCCTGTGTGCGTGCAGAAGGATGTTTCTCTCCGGCTGCTCCACTCCGATGGGACTGGCTGCAGTCCTTTGGGCAGATGAATCAGCCCTGGCCTTTGAGTTTGCTCTGGTCATGCTGAAGGAAGAGCAGAACCCGTTGCTGGATAAAGAAACGTACAAAGCTGTGGAGTTTGACAGGGCAAAGGCTGATTCCTGCAACGCCTCTGTGGTGAAGCCTGGGGCTGCCAAGTTGGGGCAGAGAAGCAAAATGGGTCATGGCCTGACTAGGGGGGGACACGTTCCTTGTGTGCCACATTTCTGTGTGGGACAGAGCGCAGGGACCAGCCCCTACCCTGCCAGCTCAGCTCTTGGGGATCGTACCTGGGCATGCACGGGCACAAGGAGGGCATGCGGTGTAAAGAAGGAAGCTACAGAAACCAGGAAGAAGTTGCCAAGCTGAAGCAGACTGGGAGCATATTTCCAGTTTAGATTAAAACGGGAGTCTCTAATTACCCTACGGCGTGTAATACTTTCCCCTTATCTCATTTTAGCTCACGGTGGGAGCCTGCCAATTTTCACACTGTAAACCCTCGTCTGCAGGTGAGGTGCTGAGCAACCTGGTTATGCAGGAACACTGCCTGCAGAGCCACTCGGTGCTTTTTGGTGCTCGTCTCACGGTGTGCAGACAGGGCACGCACACCCAGGGCAGCTGGGTAGCTACATTCTGCATCCCTGCTGTTAATTTCATGCTTGGAAAGAGCACTAGAGAAAACAATGGAGCTGAAACAGGGGTTGTTGCAGGTCCTGAACTCCAAAAGTGGCCACGAGGAGGTCTGGCCCCACCGTGGGTGACTGGTTTTTAATCCCTGCAGTGGCTGGAGGCTGCCTGGATGTGGGTTCACTCAGTCCTGGGGGACTGCAGGAGCTCTGCAACCAGGACAGCTGCTGGGAGGTTTTAGAGTGTCTAATAGTGGTGCTTGCTCCCATTCCCACCTTCCCTCAACTGGGGCTGCTGGAAGCACAGTGGCCTCCACTTATCTTGCTGAGGGCTCTGTTGCAGGGAAGACTTTTCTTTTTCTCCTCCTGTTTCCATCCCCAAGGAAGATGAAGCAAGTGTTTCTTTCCTCCTCTTCTGCCAGCAGCATTGCCAGGGCAGAAGCTCAAAACAAACATTTGTGTTTCAGAGGAGGAGAATGGGATACTTGGGCTGTGTCTAAACTAAAAGCAACCCTTCCTTCTCCCTTTCCCCCTCAATATCTGCTAAAAAGTTTGAACTAAACAGAGAAAGGAACAAACAGCCAGGATCACTGATTTACTGAGGATGTCTGGAAGGTTTCTCTTCCCAGGGACTTGTTGGGTCCTGAATACCCCTCAGTAAAGAAGACGCACTTCTGAGCTGTCTGATCCCAGTCCAGCTCTTACCTTGGAAAAACCAGATATTGCCCAGGGGGTCCTCGAAGGTGGCATCCACAGAGCTCGGGATCCCCTGCCAGTGACGAGAGGCCAGAGCTGGGTAGCCGGCCTGCAGCTTCCCAGCTCGGAGCCGCCACACGTAGCGGGACGTGAAGAAGAACAGCTCGCCCCGGATGGTGGCCGCGGCGTCGAAAGCCGTGTCGCAGGCGTCGGGCTGCACAGACTGCCAAAGCACGGCCTGGTCAGCGGCTGGCACCCGTGGGAGCCCCCCTCGCCCACCCTGGGCTCATCTGATGGGACATCCCTCCTGGGGAAGGCAGTCCCAGCAGCTGGGAGCAAGCCGCAGTGTTAGAGGAGGCAGAGTTCACTCACCTCCACGTTGGTGATCTCGTTCGTTTCAAGGTCTGGCTGGGGCAGCTCTGCTGGCTGCGTCGGGGTTGGCTCGGGATCCAGCTTGGGTTTCCCGTAGAGGTACTGGATGCCTTGCTTGTCATCCTCGCTCAGGCTCAGCGGGTAGCGGAAGATGTAGAACGGAGACATCAGAGACTTGGAGACAGCCGTGTGCTGCAAGCCCAGCACGTGGCCGAACTCGTGGGCAGCCACCTGGAGGAGGTCAGTGCCTGCAAAGGGGAGACGGGAGATGCTTTTGCCTAGCATGAGGGAGGTGGGCAAGCTGTGCCCTGCAGAGGGGGTGCCTGCCCCTGAGGCTCATTCCTGCTGCTCGCCAGCTCCTGGCGATGCAGAGGCATGCTGCGGGAGTCTAACATGTGGCGAGAGAAATCTGCCTTGGCTACTGGGCTCACGGGTTGTTCGGGCATTTTCACATGTAGCTCTACATCTTGTTTGTATTTTTAAGGAATCAAAGGGCATAATTAAAGGGATCCACTAATTCTGGAGCACTGTGAGTGAATTCAGACACTCAGGTATTAGCCTGGGCATGTTGGTAATTTGTAACTGTCTCCGGGGGCTTCTGCACTCCTTAGCTATCAGGAAAGAAAATGTTTTCCATGTGCTTTTGGACAGGAGAATTTAGCAGAGAAAAGGAATCTGGCCCATACAAGCAGGTGGTGGGGTGGGAAGGCTGATTTTTGTCCACCCAGGCTTGCAGTGGTGCTTGTCTAAGGCTGTAACACAACAGGTTGTGTTTAGATCGTGTCTGTGTCCGCTGTGGCAGCTGGCGGTGTCAGTGGGGAACCCTGCAGGGATTACAGCCACACAGGCAGCAGAGGGAGCTCACTTATTGCTTGGCTGTGACAAGAAGGTGACATTTAAAAACCAGCACATCAAAATCCCTGCAGTGCCAAGGCCTGGCCCTTCTTTGCTGGAGGTAAGGGAGGTTGTACTTTAGGAATACGACTTAACAGCAGCTACAAAAGGAGGGGGAGGAAAAGCAGATTTCAGTCTGCTGAAAACATGTCAGTTGGCTGGCAGGTGTTATTTCCAATGGATCCTTTTTGAAGCAGATAAATTGTACAGAAAGTTGTAAGAGAGGCATTGGGCTTGTGAGCAGAGACTGTTTGTTGACAAGTCCCAGCGCATTCGTTCACAGCCAGAAATCCTCCGAGCTGCAGCCCAAGTGATGGGAAAGGGAGGGCCGTGAGTCAGCTGGTCTCCCTGCTCCAAGAGGGATTTCCCTGCTGGCCCAGGGGAGCAGGGCACCGGGGGTGCAGCTGGGAGGATGCCTGGGAAGGCTGCAGGTCAGCTTCGTGTTGAAGCCGTGGATTTTGCAGCACCGACACAATTAAATCGACACATCTAGGGCAGCTGAGAAAGCGGGATCTCTGTGTCAGTGATTAATTACAAACTTTCAGACATTTCTGTTTAGCTTGGCAGGCTCCTTGCTTGATGCTTTCCAGTGTTGGCAGATCTGCTGCACCACTGTCAGATGCTCCGGGGGAGGTGAACGACAGCACGCCCGCAGGAGCTGTGCTGGGAGCATCACCGTCCCTCGCAGAAGGTCCTCGGCAGTGGGCTTCTGCCTCCCGCACGGCTCCGGGCTGCCCCCAGGGCACACCTTCCCCTCCTTGTAGCTCTGCTCTCCCGTCTGTATCAGGAGGCTAAGGATTTCCCCATCTCCGAGAGCTCAGGCAAGGATTAAACCATGTTTATATCGTAAAGCTCTTTTCGGCATATCAAATGGCAATTAGCTGCAACGAGCTCCTACAACATTTATTTATGGAAGGCACAGAGGGAAAAAGGCCACGGAACAGGGCTGGATTCTGATGGGAACTGGCATCTCTTCTGACAGTTCCTGGTTTGCCTCCAACACTGTCTGTGGGAGAATGGAGGAAATTCTTCAACAACACAGGCAGCCCCGACAGAGGCTGCAAAGGGGCAGGGCCCACCCACCCCTAGGTAGCAGAAGGGCTTCTGCAGCAAGACCTGGTGCTCTGTCGTCCTTGTTTTGGGGCAGCATGGACCAAATAGGATACGTGAGGGTCCTGACCCTCCCCCAGAGCCAACCTGCTGACTTGGGGCGCCCATCTGAGCCCTGAACACTGACAAAATGTTTGGGAAACCCCAGGGAGGCAGGGGTTGAACTCGGGCTTTGTGATTGTTTCTTTGTCCCTGCACTAATTTTGGTGGGTCTTGCGGAAATGGATGCTCTGGGCACTGCTCCAGCAGGCCCCAGGCAGCCCTGCGGTATCGCACGGGTCCTGACGCCAGGCCCCGAGTGCCCGAGCAGGGAGCTACCAGCGTGGATCTATTATTAGCAAAAAAAAAAAAAAAAAAAGTCTTGACTTGCTGTGGTGTTGTTCATGGTCAGAACATTCCCAGGCCACGGGGACAGAGCTGGAGCCTGGGTGGCTTCCCTTTATGGACTTGTTCAAAGAGAAATTACTCTGTGGGCAGGCAGGACTGGCTGCTATGCTGTCCTCTGGAGGACGGCGCTGTTTTTGTGTCAGCTGGCGTGTCACCCGCTGCTGGAGCCTCTGTCCTCACCAGGACCACGGCATCCTGCTGGGCTCGGGCTTTGATGTGGCTGGAAGGTGATGAGAAAAGACCCGAACGCTACCTGCCAGCAGGCTTGTACGTGGTGGGAGGTGACAATATCCACCGCAAAAAGGGTGGCTGCCTCTCAGTTTCACAGGGGCCCTGCTCGCAGCACAATTAAATCACTTCTAGGTGTGCTGACAGGCATCCCGGAGCCCCCAGGGCTCCCCTAAAGCCGTGCCGTACCCAGGTTGTTCCCAATCGTCCAGGTCTCGTCGTAGTCGAAGTGGACGTCCCCCTCCCGGTGCGTCTTGGGGAAGAACGCGTGCGCCAGGATCCCACCGGGCCCGTCGAAGGGCAAGTTGTCTCCGTGCCAGTACCTGGGGGAAAAGCACAGCTCAGGCAAACGGCCGTGGAGCTCGGGTGCATGGCCAGAGGTGGGGAGCGGCTGCGAAGGGACAGCAGCTCTCACCAGCTCTCACCAGCTCTCACCAGCTCTCACCAGCTCCCACCGCCACCGCAGGCATCCCGCGATCTGCCAGGAGCCCTCTGGATTGCAAACCGGGTTCTGCGTCAGGGGCACCGAGGAGGCAGAGCCTGGTCACACCAAGCCCTGGGGAATTTTGAATGGGTTTCTCAGGATGTTTCTCTCCTCCCCCTGCTCTGCTTTCAGCACCAAGCTGAGGATGGAGCCCTGAAGAATTAAGGAGGTGGCTGCCAGAACCGAGATCAAGCCGAGGCAGCTGAGTGGCGGGGAGGATGCGAAGAACCCAGCCAAACCCTCGGGTCCTCGCTCAGCCAAGCCACTGGTGACACATGAAGGAAACCCACGAGAGATGTGGCCACTTCAGAGAGCGGAGGGAGGCACAGGCAGATACACAGAACGCGAATCACATCACTGCTTGGACAGCCTCCACCGCTGTCACTAGTTTTGTGCAAACAGGCAGCAGAGGGAAGTCTTTGCCCCCGTGCGTTGTTTGCCAAAAGTGAATTTCAGGCCAAGAGCCAAGGTTCGTTTAACCAAGGAGCTATATTTGTCTTCGGGCAGACAGTTACGTTTTCAGTCAAGGGACAGGATGGAGGACCTGAAGATGTAACGTCAAAACAAACACTTGGGAAAACAGCCTGTGGGCAGAGGAACGTAAATGTACCCGGAAAATTAATGAAGGATCGGTGACGGTGCTGCGCACAGCCAGCACGGAACAGCTGCGCTCACACCAAGCAGCCCACATCTGACAGCAAACGAAAACATCCCCGCGTCTGGAGGCAGAAATGTGAGCGCTCCAGTGCCTGTGCTGGGTGCTGGCAGCTCTGCGCCCCCGCTGCAGCCTGGGGTCTCGCACAGGGTGCTGCTCCGGCTGCCCACCGCGCTCACCTCGTGAAATCGATGACGATGTCAGCCCGGCCCTCCTGCACCTCGGTGAAGGTCAGCGGCGTCACGTCGCTCCAGACTTTCAGAGCCTCCTCGATGGTCCTTCTCACCTTGGCTTTTACAAGTTGCCACGGGAACCTGATAATTCTGAAAGGCAACAGACACCAGGTGAAAAGAGCATCAGCCGCTGTCCCGTGGATGCTGCTGTCACGAAGACACTATCTGTAGGGTCAGTGGCATTAGGGCTGCCACTCCCTCCTCTCTGCCACACCAGAGCATCTCCAACCCACAGAGGCGCTGCTCTGGCACCCTCTTCCAAGCAACAAACCCCACCAGTGCCAAAACCCTTGGGCTGTGAGCCCAGAGGTGAGCTCCCTGCAGAGCTTTGCAGAGCTGTGCTTTTTCAGAGCGAAGGGCTGCAGCGTTTTCCAGCTCTGTCCTGTGTGTCCACCCCCACAGAGGTGCCTGGCCGTGGTGGGACGGGATGGCAGCTCCCCAACCTCTGCACTTTTTGCCCCTGGAACCCTGGGCTTGCTCAGAGCAGCTGCTGCCTCTTCTGCCCCCCTACAACATAACCGTGTCAGGCCTGTCGCAGGGGGAGCCTTCTCTCCCTTCCATTAACAGTGCTGGTGTGCGTTCATCTCAGCTGTGTTCCTTTCTCTAACACTCTTGACCAAAGGAAAAAAAAAGGAAGAAGCCTTTCTGTTATCTGTAGCCTCCTCACAGCATGAGGAACAGAGTCTCCCGCACTCAATTAAACACAGCACGATGTGCACGCTGTCAGCGTCCATACGGGTGTGCTCACTCCTTCACTTGTGCCCCTGTGGGCAGCTGGGCAGGAAGCACAACCCTCCCTGAAGCCTGCTCAGCAGATCTGCAATTGAGAAGGTGTGGGCTGATTTGGGCAAAACTTTACCCTGAAGTCCTGTTTACGGGAACATCAATAACAGCAGCATGAAAGGGGCTTTTTAAAATAAACTGTGAGCTGATCCCTCAGAGAGGTGGCTGGGGGCGGGGAGGGGGGGACAAAAGCACAGCAGGAGCGGGCTGGTGGCGGAGGCTGCGCTCGGCGTGAGGTGGGGTTTGGTGTTGGGAAGCGAACGCACGTGCGAGGGATGATGCTGGGGCTGCACAAATGTTTGGACAGGGGTGGGTGAGCAGCTGCGTTTAGGGGAACGTGTGTGAGGGGACGGGGAGGCGCTGGGTACGAGCCCGCTGGTGGCTCTTGGTGCGTGGCTGCCCTGCCAGGCTGCCTGTATCCGGGTGAGGGCAGCCCTGTGTGAGCTGCAGGCAGTGAACACCAGCTGGAGGGGTTTGGGGAAGGAGCAGCAGGCCGTCCTCACTCCCGTTTCGCATCTTCCTTACTTGTAGGTGAGGTCGGTCTTGTCCCAGCGCCCCCCCGAGAGGACGAATCTCTTCTGCCGGTTGCGCCCGTTCTGGCCGTCGGGCAGCGCGGGCAGGTCGGGCACGCCGCAGCGGGGCGGGTTCCAGCGAGCCGCCTGCTCACCCGCCCCCATGGGGAAGCCCTTGGTGGGCACGCCGGTCCCGAGGGCGTTCAGCAGCAGCCAGGGACTCTGCTCCTTCCAGGGGTGATGTTTTCGAGCCGCGTCCTAGAGGAGAAAAGCAAAGCCGTGACTCGGGTCTGGGAAGAGAGGTCGCGACGCAGTGGTGGATGTCTGCACACAGCAGCCCTGCACTGGTGAGTTCCACCTCTCCCTCGGCTGTTCTCCTGCTGCTAGGGCACGTCCTGCTCCCCACAGATATCCCCCGTTCATTCCCTGGTCACACCTGGGAGCAGCCTGGTGCCACGGCACCCCCTAAGCACCGGCCTATTTTTGTCCAGCTTTTCCTTGGCTGCTGGCCTGCAGGAAATGCTTCTGCAAACTGTGGATGAGAACCAGACCCTCCAACAACGAACCAACTCGCTAGGGAGTCAGTTCTCCCCCTCTGCCCCACATCCCTTTAGCCTGCATTCCCCCCCTGGGCCTGGCAGGGGTGATGTGAATGGGAGGAAGCCTTTAGTCCAACAGTTGTGCTCCCTGTTCTCCCCGCTGTGGTGTCCTGGCGTGGTGAGCACGGCTTGGGGACAGCACAAGCTGGAGGGGGAGCAGGACACACGGATCCGGGGTGACTCCGAGCCCGCACAGAGCAGCAGTGACTGTCCCTCCTGCTCCCGTCACCGCCTGAGGTCACCAATTCTCCCACCTCCCCTTGCCTCACTGTGCCTGTGGCACTGCTTGGGCGATAAGGTCACCTTTGCTCTCCCACACTTAATTGGAAAAGTATTTATCCTCTTGGCAGCATTAATTAGTGCTAATGAGCTGACTTCCATTGGTTTCTCACCTAACAGTAGGATTATGGGGCACAGAGCCACCTCGACACACAACCCCAGGTCAATCTCCAACCTGCTGTGAGGCTGACGGGTCGGGGGGTGCTTGGTCCCTGCGTATCCACACCGCGCCGGCCCCAGGTCCAAATGCTGATTATTTTTTTTTGTGTAGTCAAATTTAAAGAGCAAACTGAGCACCCGCAGGGCTGGAGGTGCAGCAGTGACACAGCTCTGCTCAGGCAGGCTCCGTGCCACAGGGCTCGGGCAGGGTTTCGGGGTCCCCTCGTCCCCCCACAGCGCGCTGCCTCCTCGCAGCCCAGCTCTCCTTCTGCTCAGCTGGGGACACGGGGGCGGGCTGGCAGGACGCCAGCGCTGCCCCGGTGCCGTGTAATCGGCGTGCTGCCGGCGCTCTGCTCCCCTACAATGAGCCCATTCATGCGGGCAGAAATGAAGTGTGAAGCCCTCGGCATTAATTCCGCCACTGGGCCCCGGCCCCGTGCCTCGGAGCGATGCTCAGATGGGTACAGGAGCCGGGGAGGTGGCAGGAGGTGCAGCTCAGGTGTCCTGCCCGTGGTACATCCGTAACCACTCCAGCTTTGTCCTCTGCTTTGTCCTCCCCTGCAGCCAGCCTGCGGCTCAGCACCTGCCACCTTGCGCTGCCCCCGTCCTGGTGTCCCTCTGCACTTTGACACACCAGGAGCTGCTCCACTAACAAGTGCAAAAAAAGCCATTTTACGTCACCAGGCCGGGGAGGGGAAGCTGCAGGTGCCCTGTCCGGAGGCAGGAGGTCAGACCTGCCCTGCTGCCCCCTCGCCTCCAGACAAACAGAGGCAGGGCAGCGAGTCGCTCTCTGCCGTCACCGCACCGACACTCATGCGATGGCAGGAAAGGGCTGGAAAATGCCACTGCGGGCGCAGCCGGCAAGGGGAAATGTTACGGGCAGAAAGCACTCGCCAAACAATGCTCAGGAGACGTGTCAGGCTGGAGATTTCGGCCTCCTTGTCGGGACACACCTCGCTGCAGTCACTTCCCAGGGCTTCGATAAGACATCCTCTCGCTTGGGGCTGCATCCTTCCCACCGAGCACGGCAGCCACCCCTCTGTGGGACGGGTGGGAATTTCGGGGAGCTCCTGCTTTGTTCTCCCAGGCCATGGCATGCCCTGGCTGTATGCCTGGGGGTTTGCTTAGGGCTGTGCTGCTGCTGAAGGGAGGACAAACCTGTTGAGGGGGGCTGAGGAAGGTGCTGGGTAACCATCAGGGCACCCCCACTTCCCCCATCCCAACCCGGGAGGGGAAAGGATTACCGGAGACCAGAAGTAAAGGGAGGGACCCTGCAAGCCAGGGAAGGCATTCAGAGCGCAGAGCTGGATCAGAGCACTGGGACAACGCCTGCAGGGAAGACGGGAAACCAGACAGGAGGAGAGCCTGCCTCACCCTCCAGCAATCCCCCTCCTCCAGCCGGGGGGAGCTGAGGGCTGCAGGGGAGGGAGCCTGCCCCCGGCCCCCCAAAACCCTCCCATGCACGGGCCTGCCTCTGAGCCTGCAGCTCAGGCTGTGTGCAGCCACTTGCACCCCCTTCATGGGACAGCCCAGAGCCAGGGATGGCTGCTGAGCACCAAGAGGCAGCCTGCAGCCAGGGGAAGGGGCCAGGGCTTGGCAACAGAGACTGAGCAGCAAGAGGTCTGCACAACAAAAACACTGGGGGGCTGCCAGGCCCAAAACCAAGGGAAGAAGGCAGTGAGGACAGCAGAAGAACAAAGCTGTGGGCAAAGAGGGCTGCGCAAAGAAAGCGCCTCTTCCTAGCAGCCTTGTGACCAAAAGGCTGATGGGGAACAGGAGGGAAAGGACAGATCCCACGGGAGAGCAGAAACCACTGTGGAGGTGCAGACTGCCCACTCGGTTCCTTCCAGCTGTATCAGCCCTCGAGTGCTGTGACACAACAGACATCACTCGGGCTCTGCCGGGGCCAGATGAACACCAGCCAAGCTTCCCAGGAAGTGTCCCAGCCATCCCGAGGAGCCAGGAGCATCTTTAACCTCAGTGTGTTGGGCAGCACTCGCCCCCCAGAGCCTCCCAGGAGAAGCAGCTGGAGCAGCACAGCTTAAATGGGTATATAAAAAACTCCAGAGCGAGACTGCTGCCTGATGCTGACAGGCTCGGTGCTCTCCCCCGCCCGGGTCCATCCCCTGCTGCCTGCCCTGGATGTAAACTTGCCTTCTGTCGTGCAGCTCATCACCTCCCCGACTGGGCTCCTGCCTGCTCCTGCAGCAGGGACATGAAAGGAGCCCCCCTCCCGTCACATCGGGGGGACTGGGCAAGTTGCAGCACGAATCCCAGCAGTCTCAGATACTTCCCCTGTCGCTGGGGGCTGTTTCCTCTTCTGCTGGGAGACGAGCTGATGGGTTTTCTCCCCACCTCCCTGCCCCTTCTGCTGCTGCCTTTCCATTTCTCCCTGCGCTCTCCTGTTATTCAGGCTGTTTGGCAAGGCCCTGGTCCCACTGCCCCTTTGGCTAGCAGGATTATCCTCCTCCTACCTCTGAGTCTGCACCTTGGAGCACTCCGTCCTGTAGCTCAGTGCGTGGGGAAGGAAAGCAGAGAGGTTTTCTCATGCAGGACAGTTCCAGCACCCTGCTGCTGACCGCTGTCGGGTGGCCCTGCACCCCCTGAGCAGCCTGCAGCAATGTTCTTGCCTGACCCCAGCACTGGTTTCCTCGTGCCCAGAGTATTTTGGCCAGCCTGCCTCCCAGCCCAGCATGGATTTGCAGGGGTTGGATTTGAAAGCGTGGCTACAGCTGCTAATAAATGGTAAAGCTGGAGCTACTCCACTCCGGAGCGGAGGACGGGGACAGGCTATGTCCCAGAAGTGTGGTGCTGGATGTCTGCAAAGGTGTGAACGCCACAGCTGAAAGCTCACGGCAAAGACAGTTTCTTTTGTGGTCTGGTCAGCTCCTGGTCAAGAAGCAGTGTTAGTGGAGACAGTGGCAACTCACTGGAAATAACGCGTAGGCAAAGCCACCAGGCTTATTGATCCTGCCCCAGAACGAGGCGGTCTCCCCATGCCTCTAACTGGGAATCCTTTACTTGCATGAATACATCTGTAGCAGGACTGGCTCCTCCGTGCTAGGCTGCAGCCCCGTGCTGCTGCTGAGCAGAGGGAACACAAAGGGTGAGGCCAAACCTTGGCCAAAAGGGAGGTGCTGCAGTGCCTGGCCTCGTGCACACAGCTGGAGGCTCCCCTGTGCTCGCTCCTGTTCCCCGTGGCACCACCAGGCATCACCTCCCGGGGCCTGACAGTTTGTTTCCGGATGATTTGGTGATAGTTGTTGTTGGCAACGAAAAAGGGAAAATGTTTATTTTTCCTAAGCAACGTGGAACATGAAACATTATGGACTGCAAATGTTTATGGCCACAGCCACAATGAAAAGGCCCAGGCTCCAGTGTAACAAGAGAAAGCAAATGAATAAACACTGCGGGACTATTTTTATTATCAGACACTTTAATTACGTGACAGTTTGTGAGTCTAGTCCATCAATAACACCGCGACCACACTGCTGGTGTCACCCAAGCAACAGTTTGCCAGAAACAGCAGTACTTACAAGGAAACAAGCCCCAGGATGCCAGGACAGCAAAAGGTCCTGGGAGCCCTTAGGCTGATGACCTAGAAATACCCCTGGAACCAAGAAACCGCTCTGGGATGCGGCACACTGCAGCCAGAGGAGGAACAGGGTTGAGATTTTGTTCACTGTGCTTTTACATCCAGGTTAAGGTGAGCAACGAGCTACCGGTGCTCAGCCCAAGGACGGCAGCCAGGACATCTCCCACTGGTACAGCTGCCGGGCATGGTGCAGCCCTCTCCCGAGCTATGGGAGATGTTCTGCCCTCAGGGAGCGCATCCTGCTCGAGTGTGCAGGCTGGGAAACCTCCAAACCCACAAACACTGTCTCCCTGCCAAATCTGCTGAAGATATCTGGTGGGTTTTTCCCCTCTGCTAATTTTCAGAGCCACTTGTGAGATGACGACAGCTCCGATGCTTAAATCCCACTGTGAGGAGAGCAGCAAGAAGCAGATCCAGCAGTGCTTCCACTTGTGGCACAGGCTGGATGGCAGCACAGCACAAGAACACCCAGGAACCCTCCAGTTACCCGTCTGCCATACTTGGGATTGCCATGAACGAGCGTCTCTGGTGTGAGAAGTCACTGCAGGACAGTTTTGCCACAGAAGACCCTTTCTAAACAACAGACCTACACCTGCACCCTGCCTCTGCAAACCCCCTGAGCTATGCAACCAGGCAGGATGTGCCCAGGGGAGCGAGTAAAGTGCACGGGGGTCTGCTCCTCTCCCAAGTGCTCCTCTCCTCCTGCCCTTTTCTCCCATTCCAGCCCGCCCGAGTCTGCCACACTGCAGGGTGTGCGTGTGTTGCATGTGAACGCACAAACACAACAAGCCTGCTGGAGAATAACTGCTTACATGTGTCTTGAGTCTCTCCCAGAGCAGAGGATAAACATGCCTAAAATTACCCCAACGCTCACTGTGGTATTTAAATAGCCAAACCAAACAGTGCAAATCAAACCCTTCCTGCAGGAGCTGCCTCACCGCCTCGCTCCCCCCCCCGGCGCCTGCAGGGAGGGCAGCACAGGGCACCCCGGGGACCCGCGGGCTGCAGGGGGACAGCCACAGGGACCGGCTCCGAGCGAGGATGCTGGCAGCTGGGGAGGTGCCACCGCTTCTCCACCGAGAGGGAGCTTCCCAGCGAGGGGACTGGCTTGGATTTCCCAGGGGAGACGGAAGCAAGGCAGGAATTCGGCGAGCGCGCGTGCACTGCCCCAGGACTGCAGCTCTTTTGTTCTCGAGTTTTGCAGTGGACACCAGGCACCGCCTGTGTTTTGCTCTCAGCTTTCTCTTTCTTTAGGTGTTAATGTAAAAGGGAAGGAGGGCTGCGACGTTTGCTACAAAGAGCACAGCTTCCTCTGCAGTTTGCCCTGTGCAGCCGGGTCTTACAATGAATCTTAACCCTTGTTTCCCCTCTGTCCCCAAACTACCGCTGTTGGGACATGGTGCTGGAGCACCTAACAGCCCCACTCGTGGTGCAAGGCGCTGGCACGCGTGGTCCATGCCCACCCCTTCCACTAGCACAGCTCGAGGAAGTCACCACCGTCTGTCTCCTGGGAGCGAGTCTCTTCCCTGCTCAGCCCTTTGGATCCTTTCTCATTCATCACCCGCGAGCACAAGGTGCACAGGGAGGAAGAGAGCTGCAGTTAGCCATGGGGAAACATCTCCTTGTGCAGAGGGACTGCACATAGCCAGGAGAACAAGTGATGGCATGGCAGAGCTCTCTATGGGAGAGGAGAGAAGGGGTGAAGCCAGAAACTCGTGTTCAGCCTACTGCCAACCCCACAGTGCCTCTTCAGCCGTTCCACGCTGTGTGCCCTGGCTTGGGTGCTGGGAGAGGGACAAGGTGCGTTGCTGTCACCCTTACTTGTATGTGAGAGCAGCCACTGGCTTGTACCTCAGAGGCACCAGAATGACTTTCAGAAGCCTTGACACCAGCTAAGGAACATGTACCCAAAGAGGAATCTACCTGGGATGGAGAGGACATCTATATGAAAGGATGGGAAGACATCTGGCCATTTCAAACCCCAAAGCAACATAGCCCTATCTCCACAAGGAGCGAATGAAACATTGATTTCCAACCCGGAGCTCCACGTGGCTGGTCAAACACACCAGAACGAGATGTTCCCTAACAAAACATTTGTAGGAGCATCACATGGAGTTACCGCAGCCAAGACAAAAGTATGAGCACTGGGGATGGAGAGCACTGTCCCAGGGCAAGGAGGAAACCAGCTCGGGGCAGCCGGCTACCAACTGGGGGGCCCTAACCAACCTCTGCAGGCAGTCAGGCAGCTGCACACACATTAGAAGGACACGAGAATGAGAGTCACAGACAGAGCAGATGAGAGTCACAGACAGAGCAGACCGAGGGTGTGAAACCCACGGCTGGCTTCCCCATCCCCTGGGATCCCCACGGGTCCTGGCTGGCACCAGAGGCTGTGCGGGTGCCTCCAGGAGCGGCAGCGTCTCGGCGTGCGCACGGCCGAGCGCGAGGCACCCCGCCAGCCCGGCACACGTCCCGCACGAACCAGCCGGCGGTGGCTGCACGCCGGCAGAGCCCTGCCCTCCCCACACAGCACCCAGCTCGCTGCTTGCTGTGCCCGGTCTGGGTGAAACGAGGCGTGCAGAGCGCTGCCATCGCTGCGGGGGCACCCGGCTCCCCTTCCTTGGGGGCACAGCCGGGCACGGTGACACTGTTGGCAATGCCACCAGCACGCTGGGGGCCGAGGCTGAGCTGTGCCAGGTCCCAGCCCACAGGCTATTTAGCAGCCAAGTCCGAAAGCGCTCAGATGCCAGAGCTGGTAACAAACCCCCAGCCCCAGCCATCCCCCGGCTGCTGCCGCCCGCTGTCACCGCGCTCCGGCACGGCGAGAACCCGGCTGCCAGCACAAGGAGCCCTCCGTCTGCCCCCATCCCAGTCCCTCACAGACACAGCTCGTGGCTCGGGTGCCTGGCAGGAGCAAGAAGAAACCCCAGAGCCCCCCAGAACCCCAGACCTCCCCCCAAAAAAGAACTCCTCAGAGCCCCCCCAAGTCCCATCGCCCAGTCTCCTCACCCCCCCCTTCTCTCCCGTCCCCAGCGAGCTCTCCTCTTCCTACAACCCCCGCGGGACCCCAAACCCCCGAGGGACCCCCTAAGCCCCTAGGGACCCCCGAAAGCCCCGAGGGCCCCCCCCAAAACTCACCGCCTTGTGCGGGCGGCGGGCGGGCGCTGCGGGGGCGCAGTGCAGGAGGGCGGCAGCGAGCAGGGCGGCGGCGGGCAGCGGCGGCCGGGCCATGCCGGGCGGCGGCCGGGCTCGGACATGGGCCGGGGCTGAGGGGCGGGCTGGGGGTGCGCTGTGTGGCGGCGATGGGGGTGTCCCGCAGCGCCTTTTATCTCTCTCCCCCCCCCTCCCTCCCTTCACCGCCCGCCCGCCCTTTTGTTCTCCCCTCGCCGGGCCGCGGCGCTGCGGGGCTGAGGGGACGCGGCCGCCGGCCCCCGGGCGGAGCCGGGCAGGGATAAGGCCGCCCTCCTCCTCCTCCTCCTCCTCCTCCTCCTCCTCCTCCTCCTCCTCCTCTTCTTCCAGCCCTGGGGGTTCACAAAGGGGCCGACCCCCAGGGCAGTTCCCCACGGGTTCTGCACCCAGGGGCAGGCTCCCAGCCTTCAGCGTTTCTAGTTTGAGTTTTGGGGCGGACCTGGGACTCGGGCTCTGTCCTTGTGGGTCCCTCCCCAGCTCGGGACATTCCCTGATTGTGCTGCTGCAAGCAGGGCTGGGTGGGAGGGTGGTGGAGGTGTTTTCCAGCTCCCCCATCCCTTGGGATCTCCTAGGGACAAAGCTCAATCCTTTTACATTCTTAGTGCCTGCCTGGGCCTCGCAGTGCCCACGGGGAAGATGTGACCTCTGGATTTAATGCAGGAAACGTGTCCGCATCGCTGCTTTGCCTGTCAAGGGCTCGTCTGGAGCCAGCCGTGTGTGCCCAGCCCTCTGCTGCCCACCTGCCCGAAGGCTCTCCCCGTGCAGGGTGCTAAGGAAGGGGGCACCCCGTCCCGGAGATGCCAAAGCCCCCGTCCACACAGCCTGGAGACGCAGGCAGGCAGCGCACGGCTCTGGTTTCTCGGTTCCTGTTTCTGTGGGAGAAGCCCTGGACTGTGTCAGCATCCCCTCGGCAGACAGAGTTGAACTGCAAATTGGTTCAAGAAATGTATGTAAATAAGGAGGCTTTGATCTCCAGCTGCCTGGGCTGGTGCGCGGGGAGTTGGTAAGGCTGCCTGACATCCCCGACCGTGTGACGGCTTTATTTGTCTGCGATCAATTGTTCGTGTTCTGCTTTATGGGAACCATATTTAGGGTGTAAATACTGAGCACGATAAGCAGATGCAGGAAGAACGAGCCTGGTGGTGGCTGGGCTTGGATGGCGCCACAGTGATGAGCAACGGGCGAGGAGGCAGAAAAGTGAAATCCTGGCCAGCAGTCACACGGCATCACACAGCAGGCAGGGGGGAGCCGTGCCCTGACCTGGCCCCACCAGCAGCAGGGCACGGATCGAATGAAGTGCCACCACCACAAGCACCGGGACTGGCAGGAGTCATCCCTGCATCGGAGCAGTGTGTCAGGAGCAGCCAGGAGGGCAGAAGCAGAGAGGCAGTGCTGTGCTCGCAGGGCTCGGGCTGCACGCTGCGCAGGGAGTGCTCCCTGCTGGTCCAGCTGTGCACGGGAACGCCGAGCAGTTCCCACTTTCTTGCCTTGCTCTGAGCCAGACAGCTGGGGCTTAGCAAGGGAAGCTTTGTGTCTCTTTTCTTGAGTGCCTTTCATTTGAATGGCTGGTGTCTCTGGGAGCTCGGTGCCTTCAGCCCATGCCAGGGGAGTCTGTCGGTGCCCTGGGGAAGCAAGGAGAGGCGTGGGAGCAGCCTGCGAGGCAGCGACAGGCAGTTTGGCTCTTGTTAAAAAAGGGAGACTTTGGAAGGGGGTGTTCTGGGAAACACAGCCCTTCCAGAGACGGGACCGCGCGTGAGAACGGCCGGCTCCTGCCAAGACACTGAACACAAAAGAAAGTGGCATGGTGTGTTTGGGTTTCCCGACATTTCCCAGCAGAACAGGGACGTGGTTAGCAGCAGGACGACGGCCCGTTGGGTGGGTTGGGAGCTTGTGTGCTCACCTTCTGCACAGGGCCAGCCCGGGCCCTTTTGCTAACCCTCCTCTGCTGGGAGCTCTCTGTTCATCCCTGCCTCAGTTTGCTGCTTGCTGTACCGGGGCTGCTGGCAGATGAGCACAGGCTCCCACCCCAGCCCCAGAGTGCCGACAACCTGACATCTCTGTGCAGGCGCTGCCTGCTTGCTTTCCTGCAGCCCCTGCCGGGCTGGAGCCAAATCTGGGGTTCAGCAAGCTCGTGGTGGCTGCAGGAGGTCCGTGGAAGCCTTCATGATCGGGAGGATAGATTTTGAGAAAAGTGCAGGGGTCTCCCTGCACCTCTGGAAGGTGCCAATGGGACCAGGGATGGGGAAAGAAGCCAATGGGGCCGGGGATGACAGCACACGGGGAAACCTCTCCTCAGTCCTGTTGTGCTGTGTCACACGCACAGTGAGCTCTGTGGTCTCACGAACGCTGCGCATGGGTGGCTGGAGGATCCCCTCTCCTGCTCACAGCTAGCTCCCTCTGCTCACTTTTCCCAGCTCTCTGGGGAATCCCCATTTGCCTGGGTTTGGGGGACGGTTCGCAGGGTCTTAGCTTTTGGCTGGGTGTAGTCCCAGGGCATTTAATTCCTTCGGTGCTGATCGCAACACGAGCCTCAAAATGCACCAAGGCACCAACCTGTGTGCAAGAGGAAGGGAAGAAAGGGCAGGTCCGACTCTCCTCTGCTGTGAGCAGCACAGAGGTGGCATAACTCTGCCGGTCAGCGGGGCCAATTCACTGCAAAGCTGCTGTGAGATACTGCTGAGGCACTTCGGACTGAGAGCAGGGGGGGAAGAGGTCTCTGAGCGAAGGGGAAGGGGGAGGTGAGGGAGAAACTGAATTTAAATGGATTAAGGCTGTCTGTCCAAAGTCCTTTTGTTTCCTGCCACCTCCCTGGTGTGACTTTCACAGCTGTGCTCTGTGTGGCTCAGGGCCTGGCTTCAGGCTCCCTGCAAAGCCAGCACAGAGCTTTGCACCCCCGGGGCATTTCCCAGAGCAGCTGGAGGAGGGCCCGGGAGCCAGCACCCTAGGACAGAGAAACCCTTTTGATTTTTCTAACATCTTTCCTGTTCTCTCTGTAGGTGACGGCCTCGTGAATTGATGTCTCCAGCATCAGCCCAGTGGGTGACAAATGGGAAGGCATCCCCATCAGGCAGGTCTCTGTTCTCCCCCTCCTGCTTTCGGGGCTTCCCCTTTGCTTTGGCCCTGGCACCGTGTTCCCCGGGGCAGCCAGAGTGGGTGTTGGTGCAGGTGGTGGTAGGTGCAAACAGGGCTGGGGGCCACGCACGGTGAGCTGCCCTTGTAAACACCAGGGCTGGGGAAGATTTCCCACCTGAACAGGCCGTGAATTACCCGGTTCTCTTCCTCAGCTGGCAGCCCAAAGCATGGGCATGGCGAAGGGGCAAGAAGAGGACTTGGGGTCCCTGGAAATTTGGCCTTTGGGCCTGGACTCACAGATGGAAAAGTGGTATCTAAAGTAATAAGTAAAAATGCCTGTTGGTTGGCAAAATCCTTTGCTTCAAAACCCTTTTTAGATTTTATTTATTTTTGAATGTAATGACTTATTCAGGCTGTCCTGAATCCAAACCATGAACCTTCAAAATTCCCAAATAAAATGTTTGATTTTTTTTTTTTTCAGCTTGCATTTCAGCTTCGCTGGCTGATACAGCAGCCTCGGTATGAATTTCCAGAAAGTTTTGCTTGGTCCAGAAAGTTTTGCTTAGGCCACTACTACTTATTCTGTATTTATTTGGTTTTGTCTTTTTAAAAAAACCTTGTTTGACCTTCATTCTGGGTTTGCCGTGGAGTCTGTTGAGGTTGGGACCTGCTGTGTCTCGGCCCAGGAGTGGGTCCATGGGGGAGCAGCTAAAGCAGCTGCAGCCCCCTCGTTTCCCCGTTAGCTCCCCCTGTGTAGCACACCCGGCAGCTCACGCGGTGCCAGAGCAGCACAGAGCTGTGCAGCTCTTCCTCCCCCTCTCCTCCCGCAGCCCTGTTGCAGCTGCATCCAGCCCTGGGATTTGGCCCCAGCAAGCAGCTCCCTGCTCCGCCGTGGTCGGCGCGGGCACCGGCGGGCTCCAGGCTCGGGGAGAGGTAGCCCACGGTGTTTGTTGTCTCATCAGCTCCCAGCCCGTGCCAGGAGCGGAGCGCACACAAACAGCACGGGGCTCCGCTGGGAAGCGCTGCCTGCGAGATAAGCAGGGCAAGGAAAACACATCCATCTTTGCGTCTCTTGGCCTGAGACGGAGTTTCATCTGCTGGCATTTTCCTGGCGCGGGCTCAGCGCACAACACAATTCACCTCAGGAGCCAGACGCCTGGGAGCCAGCTCCCATTTCAGGCAAGAGGTGTCAGCCCCGGCTTGCACAGAGGGCAAATGCGGTGAGAAGCTGGCGGCTGAGCGCACAGGAGCAGGGTGCCGGCCCGGCCAAAGCCCTGTGGCAGCAGGGGCCTGGCTGCATGCTGCACCCTGCGGTGCTCATCCCAGAGCAAAAGGACAAACCCCGGCAGCAGAGCCGTGCTGAGCAGCCCCCAGCCCAGGTGAAGGGCTCTGAGCCCGCGGTGTGGGCACAGCACAAAGAACCGGCCCCAGGGAGGCACCAGGACGCAGTGTGAGTGCGGAGCAGAGCTGGCTCCAGCCCGCGGCTCCTGATAAGGAGGTTGCTAGTGCCGTCTTGCAGCGCGCTCGGCCTGCCAGATTTCCGCAGATGAGCCCTGGTGAAACACCCCCACCTTTGCCTCCCTCTGATCCCCTCCGAAGCGGAGCTGAGATCGGAATGTCTCCTGGGATATGATTCCCTCTAGCCTCAGGGGGACTGCGTTAATAAAATGCAGGGCGAGATGTGAAGGCGATGGGGGAGGGAGGCAGGCAGGGCTGCGGGGATGAGGCTGTTACGAACACGCCGTGGGTCTGCTGGAAATGTCCCGTCCTGTCCTCCCTCCCCTTGTCCCCGGCACTGAGCTGTGGAATTCAGGGTGTGGGCTGAGGCGCTCTTCACACTCGTTTCTGCTCAGAACAATCTCCCCGTCTCCCTCCTGCTCCCCCCCTCCTCAGCAAACCCCACTGCACTACCAGGCACCGCTCCTGCCCCCTGCACTGCTCAGGCACCACCCCAGCCCGTGCTTTTTGCCTGTGGTAAGCAGAAAGCACCTGTCCCCGGGATGTGCCCTCCAGCTCGGCAAGCCGTCACTACCCAGAAGAGAGTTTTCCCCTCGTCCCTGCAGGACTGAGCGCTCGGGACACAGCTGGACTGGCCAGGTGTTAGCCTCTGTGCAAAGAAAAGACACCATCAGCTTCTTCCAAAGAGGAAGGAAAAGGAAAGGAAGAAACTTCCAACCGAGAGCAGATGTTGGGAGCTGCTGGGCTGGACAGCATCAGCGGGGCAGGGGAGCGCAATGTGGTGCTGAGACATTTTGGAGAGCTGAGACAAAGGGCCCTGAGCCACAGGTGGCCGTGGGCTGTGTGTGCAGAGGCTGCACCATTGCTCGGGATCTTTCAGGCCACCATACAGGCATTGTGTCCTTGCTTGGGAAGGGGAAATGGGGGCAGGCAGCTGCTAGTGTAATGTTCTAGTTCAAAGCAGTAGCTGTTCGTGAGTCGGTGCTAACAGCCTCCTAAAAGGTCACAGATGCCTCTGCCTGACACACAGCCTCCGTCCTCGCTCCTGAATTCGCTCACGTGTTGTTTTACTGCAGGCTCCCCTGAGCCCCAAGTCCCCACGCAGCGCTCTGCTTGGGAAAGCAGCCGAGAGCAGCTCCCCGGAGATGTTTGCTGTGTCTGCAGCGGAGGGGAGGGAAGTGAGACCAGACAGGGAGCAGAGTGGAGGGGAATGGCCTCTGGGTAGATGTGGATGAGGAGGAAATGCCAAGCCCCAAGCCCATCAGCTGGGACAGCGCAGGTAAGACAGGGAGCCTGTGAAGGTGTGAGATCGCTCCAGGGCTGCTCAGCACGGGGATCTTCTGTGAGGGTGTGTGAGCTCGCCGCTGTGCACTCCGTGGAACAGCCTGGCGGATCCTGTCTGGAGAAAAGGCAGCAAACTGCAGCCTTACTGCTCAGATCCTTCAGCTACACACAAAACAAACGTGCCCTGACTTTTTTGTTGTATTGCTTATGGGCACTCTGCTGTGGAGGAGGAAACAAAACAGGGTTCACGTTTGCCATCTTGTCTCAGCAGGTGAATTCACATTGCTCCCAGTGATTCCTGTCCTCGTGGTCCAAGTAGATGCTGGAGGTGATTTGGAAGAGGTGATTTCTTGGCTAGGACTAATGGAGGAACTCAGGGACACGCAGGCCCTTTTTAAGTCGCAACTAACGACATCAGCCCTTGACTGGGATCAGCACATGGCTCCTCTTTCCGCACCAGGAGACCAGGGGAATCCCTCCTGCAAGGTTTGGAGTTCACGACTCAGCAGTCTGTGCAGCAGCTGGGAGGCCACAGCCCCCTGGAAAAATGAATCCAGCTTCCCCGCTTGGTGCCTTTCTGCACGAGCAGGTTACTGGGGGGGTAGGGGGACTGGTAAATGCAGAAATGTACTTACACCTCTCAGGATCCAGGGGCATGGCTGAGAGAAACAACTTCTGATGGGGAAGGGCTCCCTGAAAACCCTGAGCAGAGCAATCTAGCCGGTAGCTCAGGTGTGCTCCAGCAGCCAGGCCCTGGGTTTCAAATGGGGAGCACTCGTGACATGAATGGGTTCAAGTCAGGAAGAGCCTTCGCACTGACAGTGGGCTTACAGGAATGAGTTAAAATCATTTTGTTTGCTTTGTGAAATTTATTAAAAACTACATTGTTCATCTGCTGAAACTTCACAGCTGTTGAGATTGCCCTCAGGGCAAACCACATCCAAGAAATGGCATGTAGATCTTGGGAGCACAAGACTTGAAAGCTGAAACTACGCTCTGCAGCGCTGCCTTCGCTTCCCGTGCAGTCCTGTCGAGCCATCTGCGGCTCCTCCAGTTCAACACCACAATTCTTAATTCCTCCCTGTTCTCATCTCTGACTCTGCAGTGGAGTCAACCCTGCGGTGCAAGTACTTCATTTCAAAGCCTTGTGTTTTGGCTAAAAAGGGACAGAGGAAAGATGCAGGTGGCAAGAGATCAGTGTGGGAAGTGGGTGCTCAGAGCCCGTGGCGTTCAGTGCGAGGTGCAGCCACGCGCCGTGCTGCAGCAGATGTGCCATCGGGTATCACCTCCCTCTGACATTACTGCTTCATTGTCTGTCAGAGGAGCCAGCAGAGAGGCAACACTGGAGAAAACGAGCCCATGTGCTCATGAAAAATCTGTGAATTCCTCGTAGTGGCAGCAGCTTGCTCAATTTTGTATTGTCAGTTGCAACTTGTTTGCAAAAAACTTCACAGGATAAAAAAAGTGGGGCTTGCATATTTAGGTCTGACTTGAAAGCTCTGTGCAGACTTGGGAGACTGAAATCAACCACTCAGCACAAGCAAAATTAGGGCCAGCCAGGGCTCAAAGATACAAATACAAACAGGACATGAGAAACCCACTGACTGTGATCTATTCAGTCATAAATGATTCACGGAGTAATTTTGAGTAACAAACACATTGGTAAGAACTGGAGGTTTTGTTTCTTTTTTTTTGGGATGGCCCACAAACAAAAACATTGGCTAATTCATCAGACGCTTTCTTTTTTCTTTGAATAGTTTGCCCAGATCCCTGAGCAACCACCCCGTGCAATTTGCTGTTAACCTAAATAACTCGAATTCAGGTACACCCATAGCACTGCCCAGATCTGCCCATGCACGCAGTAATTAGGGCACTCCAAGCGCCAACCTGTAGCTGGGGAGGCAGGAGGCTCTGCAGGCATCTCCTGGTGGCTACCTGCTGGTGGAAGGGATGCGCCGCGCCGCCACGTCCCTCCCTGCAGCCGCCTGGAGAAGGCTTTGTGGGAACATGGGGGTGGCACCGTGCCCTCAGCAGCCGCCCTGCGAGACTGGGAAAGAAAGGGCGGCCGTCTGTCGCCCCGATGGAGGGGAAGGAGACGTGTGAGAGACCCGTGGAGGCAGAGGGGTGCATTCCTTACCTGTGAAATAACCCCGTGAAGTCCAAACGCTCGGGGAATTCCTAGATCGCTGTAGCAACATCTCAGCGGTGACAGTGTGAGGATTTAAGTGAGGCTGGCTCCAAAGGGGGAGATTGTTATCTGCTTTCAGACCAAGAGGGAAAGCAGTGGGAAAAATGAGACCCACTTTTTACAAACCTTGTCCTCCCCGATCCTGCTGCTGACTGGAGGGGGCCTGCCAGCGTGCTGAGTTACTCAGAAAGGACCATTTTTGACTGAATCGTTCCAGAACTAGTCAGGAATTAAGTTAACTGCTGCCTTTCAGATTTATGGGTCCCTTAATCCTAAATTACCTTTTAAGTGTAAGCAAACCCTAATACCTGTTATGTGAGGAGGGATCTTCTGGGGCAGAAGAGAGAGGCAGAAACAAGTTACCTGATAGAACCAGAGATAATATTTAAGCTGAAAAATAGAGGGAATTAGCAGGTTTTTGGGCCCTGTTGTGGGGATGCTCAGCTGCAGACGGGCTGTGTGAAACAACCCCCAGAGGAGAGGCTGCCAGCAGGGCTGTGCTGAGGGACTGGGTGCTGCTGGAGCAGGACCTGGGCACAGGGCTGTGGGCACAGGGCTGAGTGGGGCTGTGCCCGCAGAGCCTGGTCGGGCAGACACACAGAATTACCTCATTAGCAAAGCGTCGGTGGCCAGGCTGCTCAGCACCTGCCCTTCCTCCCCCAGCATGGAACAACTTTATCTAATTAACCAAAGCGAAGGGTCCCAGAGGAGCAGCTTAAAGGGACACCCTCAGCTTGAAGCCCAGGCAGCCTCAGCAAGTTGTTGTGTGCGTGGTGGGACCAGGCAGCCTTCATTTCCCAGGGCTGGATGTCTCGCGTCCCCTACACCCCCAGATCCCCTCCAGCACATGCCCAGCTTCTTTTTGGGGCCGTGGACGCTGGAGCAGGAACAGGACGCGGTGCGGTACCTCCACACTGCTGTGTGGAGCTGGGTCCCTCCGGGGGGGCTTCCTCCCAGCAGGGTGCTCTCTGAGTTCGTCCTTTTCTCCCCTTTTTTTCCTCAGCTCCTGTCCCCCTCTGCTGGGGCGGCTGTGCCTTGCAGGGGCGGGCTGGCTGCAGGAGCTGTGAACGCCCTTCCCCCGGGGACTGGGGCTAGGAGAGGGGCACAGGGGCAGCTGCCACCACTCCGGGGCTCGTCACGGGCATTTTGGCAGTCTGGCAAAACACATCTCCTGTTCGTTAGTGGGGGAAAGGCAAAGGCCGCGTGTAACAGGCGGGTCTCCCCCTCAGCCCGCCCTGCCCTCAGCTGAGGCGCGGCCCCGCGCGCCCCCTGGCGGCCACGAACGCGCGCGGGCACGGGGCCGCCCCCCCCGTGCGGCAGGGCAGCCCCTCCTGCCCTCAGCAGGGCGAGGGCGGGCGCGGCTTCGGGAGCGGAGGGCGCGCATGCGCGCGGCGTCACGTGGCGGCCGGGCCGCCTTTTAAAGCGGCGCGCGGGGCGGGAGGGGCAGTGTGAGGCGATGGCGCGCGGCGGGAGGAGCGCGGCGCGGCCCGCGGCGGCACCGGCACCGGCCAGGTACGGGCGGGGGGGGCCCGGGGGGTCCCGGCGGGGCTCCGCTGCCGCCCCCCGCCCCCCCTGACCCGCTCCTCTCCCGCAGCCCGGCCCCGGCCGCCCCGGTGCCGCCGGCGCAGCCCGGGCTGATGGCGCAGATGGCCAGCACGGCGGCCGGCGTGGCCGTGGGCTCCGCTGTGGGGCACGTCGTGGGCAGCGCCCTCACCGGGGCCTTCGGCGGCTCCTCCGAGCCCAGCAAGGCGGCCCCGGCGCAGGTAGGAGCCCGAATGTCCTTGCGGGGCTGTGCCGAGGGGCCCCGGCCGCTCCCTGACCCCGTCCCCGCCCGCAGGAGCCCCGGCAGCAGCCCCCGTCCCAGCAGCAGCCGCCCTTCGGGCCCTGCCACTACGAGGTGAAGCAGTTCCTGGAGTGCGCCACCACCCAGAGGGACCTGACCTTGTGCGAGGGCTTCAACGAGGCGCTGAAGCAGTGCAAGTACAGTAACGGTGAGTGGGGGCGAGGGGGGGAGGGAGCTGCGGCTGGGAGAGCGCCAGAGGGGTTAAAGGCTGTGCAAACAGGCTGCCGAGCGAGCCCTGCCCTGTAAGGCTGCACGTAGGAAGTGGCTCTGCCCGTGTGAGTGCCTCTTGTGTCACCTGGAATGACGAAGGGAACCGGAAAGGGCAGAAGTGGCCCTGACTGTGTCTGTGAAGGTGACAGGATCGTAGATAATTCCACAGAGCTTCCTTTTTGCTGCCCTGAGAAGCCTGCTGCTTTCACCACTCGCTTTCCTAGTTCCTGCTGCACCTGTTAACAGCAGATTTCAGTCCTTATGTCTTAGTCTTAAGGTGATCAACTTAAGCAGGAGAGTTTTATTAACTGCAGCTGCTGGAATGTGCACCTAATGCTGACCTTGTTTTCTCCCATGCAGGTGTTTCCTCTCTCCTGTGAGGAATCTGTCCAGTTGTAGGGAGAAGAAGAGCCTGGTGTAGAGCCCTGATGCCTGCAAGGAGTGGAAGGAAGGATGGACAGGTGATGTGCTGGAGGGAACAGGCTGACCAGATCGGAGCCTTCTGGGGTAACTTACTTCTGGAGTAGTAGGGAAGTAAAGGAACGGTTGGATTTATGATTCTGGAGTTCAGATAGTGCTGTATTTACTACAGAGAAATAAAGAAGCTTATTTGGAACTATCACCTGTGCTTTTCCTTTATTTAATACTTGAGCGTGAATTAAGCTACGCAAATATTACCCATATGATCCCCTTTCAGGGCCAGGCATATCTTTGTGTATTTCTGCAAGCAGGAGGTGCAGCCCAGCAGCAAGAACTGTGCCTGCGTGGCTTGGCAAAAGCAGATCCACAACTGAGCTGAGACCGGAGTGTCAGCACTCCAGCCAGAGCAGGGGCTGGAGAGAGGTAATCTGAGATATCCGACAGTATTTTCAGTAACATTCTTCTTGCATTGATAATCTCTTCCTGTTCTGACCCAGGAGCTAGGAAAGCGTGACCTGTCTGTCTGCATGACTCGGATACAGCCAGCTGATCTTCCTTAGGGAGTTATGCAATGTTCCCAAGGTCACCAGCTGAAGGTGAAGCTCAGGGCTGCTTTCTATTTCTGCCATTATGGCAGATCAGCCTCGTTACGGCTGCCTGCAGGCTCTTCTCAGGAGACCCTGCTTTGCAGCAGATCATAGGGGGCTCTTGAAGGTCCTGTCCCTTTCAAATGTCAGAACCTAAATGTTTGATGGAATTTTGGTGTTCTGAGCTGTGCCTGTGCCTAGCTGGGGTGCCTTGTGCTCTCCTGAGCGGTGGCCAAGTTAGAAAGGTGCCAGAGACTCATGGCCAAGCGCTGTTGTGTGCTGAGCTGCTCCACTGTGAGCAGGGAGGAACCACTGTAAGGAAGTCTCACCTTGCTGCCTTCAGCATACACCAAATTAAACATTTCTTGGTCTGCATGGATAGGCTATTAGGGAAGGTTATCAAGCATACCTGCAGCGAGTGTGTGCTGTCTTCTGACCCATTCTGGCAAGTTCCAGCAATGGTTCTGCGGCTGACACCCTGGCTGTCCCTTCAGTGACTTTTTCTGTGGACTTCTGTGAGCCTCTAGGAGGCCCCTGCTGGTGTGGTGCTGTTCAGGGCAGGCTTACCCAGAGAGCTGAGGCAGGAGGTGTGGTTCCTTGCTGCTCAGTGCAGGTGGTGGTGTGGGAATGTGAATGACACCTTGAAGCAGGAGGCAGCTGCTTGTGCCTGGCCAGGGTGCTGTCTGCTGCCAGTGCAGCTTTAGTTGCAGAACATCTGAGGAGAGTGGGGGTCCTGGTGGGGCTGGGGGCTTGGGCAGCACCATGGTGAGTCCTGGCGGTGGTCACTGCACTTGTGCTTGTTCCCATCAGGCCCTTTCCTCATCTGGGGGTGCTCTTCGGCTCTGAGCTCTTCTTGGGCTGAGCCCTCCTCTGCAAGGAGCCTTTCCTCCACTGCTCTCTCATCGGGGTGTTTGCCGAGAGCTTCTGCAGCCGATCTGTGGAGCAAACCCCAAGAGCTGGGTGCTTTCCTGCTGTGTCAGCTGCCCACTGGTGTGTTAAGTGAGGAGATGCTGAGCTGGGAGGTGGGCCTCTGAGTCCCCCCAGCTCGTGTTGTCCCTCCCTGCCTGTCCCCAGGAGCTGACTCCTTGCCCTGCGCGCCTCCCAGCTGTGGGGCTGTGCCCTGTACAGGTTGGTGTGGGGAGGGCAGGCAGTGGTGCTGCTGTTGTGACAGCCAGGAGGGGCTCTGCAGAGCAGCTCTGCCTGCTGCTTGTCCCTGACTTCACCTGGGGATACCCACAGGTGACAATAATGCTGCCACAGCAGTACCAGCCCCAAAGCTGTGCTCTGAGGGGGCATGGTGATGTGGAGGAGCTCTGTCCCCTGGATGGTGTTCAGGGGGAGTCAGGCCTGCACTCTCAGCTGCTCTGGAGACACCTTGGGTGCCTGACTCTTACCTGCGAGGTCAGGGTGGTGTTTCCCCAGGTTCTCCAGTAAGGATTCATAGCAGGTAGCTTCAGTGCTTTGTTCTCCTAGCAGCAGAATGGGAAAAGTGGGTCAGTCCCTGTCTTGGCTGAAAATTGGGATCAAAACTTGGAATTGGGGCAGGTGGCTCTGTTGTGAGAAGCTCCTCCCCCAGAGCTGCTACCTCAGTCTCAGGATACAGCTCTAGTGTTTTTGTGAGCTGGCTTTTCTTTCTGACAGCTACTGTGTGGTGTCCAGACAACTGCTGGGCAGAGACCCTGTCCAAAGGCACAGCCTTGTTTGTAGGCTGTGACAAGGTGCCACTGGTGTGCGGGGCAGTTCCTCCAGTGCTGCCCACCCCTGCAGCAGACCCGTCCTGGCCTGGAGGATGAGCTGTGTGGCCTTGCTGAGGAACTTACTGATGACCCTGACGAGGATGTAGCGCTGCCTTTCCCGTAGGTATTTACTGGCATACTCAGCTGCAGGATTCTCCACTTTGCTCAGGTTCATCAGGGTTCCTGCTTCATCCACGAGGTCGATGCACTCTGGAGGGGAAGAGATGTGAAGATCCCACATGCCCCTTCAACCTTCACAAGCTGGTACAGGCTTAGAGGTGTTAACTTGGCAAGTTACGCTATGAAGAGAACGTTTTGGGGTCTGCAGGGGAGGAGGTTTGCCTCCCCTGCGTTTTTGGGATGGGCTGCAACTCCCACACAACCCTTTTGGTACCCACTGCTGCTTCTCTAGGGGTCTGTCCTGGGGCGGTGGCTGCTCGTGAGCACTCAGTACCTCCTGTCCTGCACTGACACTTCCTCCTCAGGTGGGCGGTGAGGGCCAGCACGCGGCTCTGCAGGTTCACCAGCTCCTGGCAGTTGGCTGTGGGCAGGGAGAGAGAGGTGAGTAAGTGAGGTCTCCCTGGATCTGGGGGCCCCGCTGACATCCAAGGGGTGCTGTCACGGGCAGCAAAGCGGGGGGCCCTGTGTGGCCTCTGAGCAGGGCTTTGAGCCTGTGGTGTTATGGGCTGTGTCTGCTGTGCTGGGAACGCACCACGCTAGGGGCTGGGATGAGCATTCTGATTTGGGGAAAGTTGTTCTGCTTGGTGAAGCATCTGTCCTTTAATTTAGGTTCCTCAAACAGGAGCAGGAAAAATCCACGAGCCCTGGCCCTGACATTCCCCTTCCACGAGCTTGTCCAGGTCACGAGGGAAAGGAGCTGGGCATCTCAGCTGAGTCATCAGGGGACGTTTTGGCCATGAACTCTCACCGAGTGTGTCACGATGGAGAAATCCCCAGGGCTGACAAACGTCAGCAGCCAGAGCTGGGGAGCCAATTGAAATAGCAGAGGGAGCAAAGGTGTAGGACCAAGTGTGTTTGGCAGCTGCAGCACCAAGTGTTTGGGGTCAGGTGAAGGCTCCTAGCCAAGTGGGGGCAAGGCCAGGACAGAGTCTGCCTGTTCCCTCGTTCCCTGCTGTGGATATTGCACTCCGAAGCCAAGCTCTGGAGTTAGAGCCAGGGGAACCCTTCCCACAAAGCGGGGAGCAGAGGAACTGCTGGCAGCCGTCATTGCCTGGTGACTTTCTGCTTCTGTCTGGGCAAGCAAAGCCCCCTCCAGCGATTTCCTCAGAGCTGCAAAGCTGGGGACACGCAGCAAGGACAACCTGGAGGGAGTCCTACCCAGCAGGTGGTGCTGGCTGCAGCCCAGTAACCCACCCCTCGCCTGGCCTCCCTTCCTGTGGGTAACCGAGCTCTGCTGACATGGTTTTCCTCTGTGAGTCAGCATGTAGGGATTAAATACCTCCCATCATGTAACTTTTTAAAGTAAATAGCTGGAGCAGAGCGTGCTGATGTGCTCTGGTAGAGCTCTGCTGCCCTGTTCCCTGGCCTTGGGGTGCTGCTGTGCATCAAGGTGCCACGTCCCTCCCTCCCCGTGGGGCCACCCCCTGGCACCGAGAGCTGCTTGAAGCCAGTGCTCTCCCCGCGTACCTCCGTATCTCACCGTGACGAACATCGTGCTTCCTGGCAGGGGCTGCAGGCAGCGGGGTGACAAAGTGCCTTGGTGTTGTGTGCCGAGAGGAGGGGCAGCGTTTCCAGCCAACGCTGTGGTGGTTTCAGGAGCAGATTTCCCAGCAACGGGGAACGGCCACTGCAGATTCCTGAGCTGCCTGTGGCTGGGCGCTGGGAGAGGAGGGGTAGAGCAGGGCTTGGTTAACGGCCTTTCAGGAGGCTGCTCCCAGTCTGTCTCTTCGCTGTGCTGCTGATTCCTGCCCCTTGTTTGCCCTGCAGCCCCGCTGAGTGCCAGACTGTTACCTATGGAGTGGTGAGAAAACGGTTGATATTAATAAAGAAGGGGGAGATTTGGGAATGTGGCCATGGGGGTTGGAAAGCCCTGTGGTTGAGATAACATTAGACTCTTAACGATGAGGCCATCAGGAATATAAAAGTTTAGAGGGAACAAAGAAGGGTGGTTCAGGAGACTCCATGCAGTCTCGGGTTTCTTGTTCTCTAGCCCTTAAGGCATAGAAGTTTCTGTGTGTTTGCTGTTGTTATATTCAAAGTTGTTTGAGCAATGAAAAGTTGTTTTGAAAAGAACTGCTGTGGGGAGAAGGGTATAGGAGGGGAGCCTGCCCTCAAAAAAAAAAAAGGCAATGCGATGTGTTGAAGTTATGTCATCAATAAAGAAGCAGAAAGAAGGAATGAAAAGGAACAGGCTAGCGGAACAGAGACCGGGATGGGAACAGGCACATTGATGCACCTCATGAAGATAGGTTCGGCCAAACTCAGCAAACCGCTCAGAGAAGCTCGTACAGAAAGTTGCTGGAAATGGGCACACCAGAGCTGGAGAGAAGCTCGAGCTGAGAGAAGCGGAGCCAGCACACAACTGCCCCTTGTTGGTAAGCAGCTGCACATCATGGGGAATCGTACGTCCTTAGGAACAAAGACTGTCCTGGTAACCTTACAGCTTATTCTCCTTCTTAACAATCGGACAGTTTATGAGCCTGAAATATGGGACCAAACTGAGGTCAAGGTGTGGGACTCTGCAACTGAAAACGACAAGGTTGCAGTGGGATTGCTCGGCACCTGGCGAGCAGTCTCTGAGGCCTTACAGAGCCCTGTGGGACCACAGTCAGAAACAGTGTGGCTTGCCAGACAGTGAGGGAGCTGTGGGCTCCTTTACTGATCTGAATTCTACGCCACTGGCCCCTCTGCTGCTACAGCCATCGCAGACCTTTGCTGTTCCACCCCCTGCTGACCTGGACGTGCCTTTTGACCCAGGCCCATTGGCCTTCACAAGGAGATGGATATGCTTTTCTTCGATCCAGGAAGAACGGGATACATAAGGCCTAAAGACTGAGTTGCTTGACAACTTAAAGCAAGACATATTGTTCAAAAGGAATGGAAAATGGAGACTGTTAAGTCATGGAACTTAAAGGATTGTTTGTTACCTTTTCTGATTGTAAATATGGATAGGCATACTCGGGTTTAGTATGTAAAAGCGATGTTCTGTTTTTAGAAATGTTTGATGTTCGTGTGTGCGTGTTGGTGGAGCGTAGACTCCCTGCACACCCAGCGCTGTTTACTTGCCTTTTATACCTTTTTATAAGTATATTACTAAATTCAGATTGAGTTGAGACTTCATTTATAACAAGACTGTGCCTGCATGGCTGTGCCTGGCATCGATGCGAGGGTGGCTGCGGGCTCCTCTCTGAGGTGGTCGGATGTCACCAGCAGCACCTCCCCGAGGACCCTGCCTGTTGTCATCCTGCCCTGGCCCACCAGGCAGTGGGAGCAGTGGGATGGGATGAGCTGACTGCAGCAGCTATCACTGCCTGGCAGAGCAGGGAGGAAGCTGTAGGGCACAGTGGGGTGCAGGGTGGTGCAGCGGGAGTCCTGCTCTGGGTTTTGCCCTGGCCTGACAGAGATAGCGATATCTTGGTCACTGACATATCAAGCGTGGGATGAAACCTGCTTGTTTGGGTGAGTTTTTGTTCAATAAGCACAACCAGCAGGAGGGAATGGGCTGTACAGGGGGAGCAGGGGGCTGTGTTCACATTTGCTCTTGTGCTTTGCCCAGGCAGTTGCTTCCTGCCCCTCTGTGCCACCAGAGCAATCTGCATTGCTCGTGCAGCAGCTGCTTAGCACCCAGATGTTGCTGTGCAGGTGTTCAGCACTGCTTACAGGGCACTGTAACATCATCCCCTGTAGCAACATCCCCTTTGCTTGCAGAGGTACCAAGACCCACAGGTGAAATCCTGTCCTGAGGACTGAATGGTGGGAGCTAGTACAGACGCTGAGGCATGAGGAGAGCTGTGCTGCGTAGCCTGTACTCACAGCTCTGTGGACAAATCTCCTCTCTCCAAACCTCCTCGCATGGAGAAAGGGCCCTATGGCTGTGCTTGATGCAGCAGGGCATGTGTGGGCAGAGCTGTGCTCACAGCACATTTGTTGTGATTCCTCTCCTGAGAAGCTGTGAAACCACAGAGCAGAGCATAAGTCTGGTTCCCAGCAGCCTCTCAGAGCTGGGGCCGGTTGTGCTGCAGCTCTCACTGCAGGGGCCTGCCTAAACGCAGCTTGTTGTCCTCTGACCCTGGTTTCCAGATCTGACACCTTTGAGGGTTCGCTGTGCTGCAGCACACAGCTCTGGGCTGTGGAGGACCCATGTTTTCCTCCCAGGTGCTGTGGTGTGGTTTCACAGCTCTCTGTAGCTCTCACATCTGAGCCAGGAGATGACCACAGCAGGGGGGCTGTGTTCCAAGGCACCGGGAGAGTTTGTGCACCTCTGCTTGGTATTTCTGCTCTCAGGGTGGTGATAGAGCCCAATGTGGGTCGGGAGAGTCCCTGGAGCAAGCGGAACGGGCATGGAGAGCATGTTCCTGTGACTAAAAGTGATTCTTATGTGGAGGAAGTTGCCCCCTTGCCCCAGCCTGGGTGTTCACGCTCTGCCCTGCCCCAGGGGCTCAGCCTCACGCCAGGGCAGCTCGGTGGGAAGGCACGGGGAGCACTTTGCCCCCTGCCCCACAGGGGCTGTGTCCTCCAGCGGGTGGGCTCCTCTCCTGCCTCCGAGCACAGCAGGTAATGGACCTGGGGGGCTGCCTTGGGCAGCCGAGAGGCTGGGGGTGACCCCATGGCATTGCCTTGAGCAGACCCCAGCATGACGGGCACCTGAGGCCTCCCCGTGCCCTGGGTTTGGTCCCAAACAGACGTGACCTGGTGGGACAAAGCCACGCCGAGGGACAGCCCGTGCTGAGGGCTGTTGGCGGAGCTGTTTCACACCGTCCTGCGCGTAGCGTGCGGGCAGCTCCTCCCTGCGAGGTGGGAGACCGGGTGCTGCTCACAGGCCTCCTCCTGTCTTGGCTGCTGCAGTGTGCCCGGGCTGGGCATGGCGCTCGCCCTCGCCCTCCTGCCGCTGCTGCTCCTGCCCTGGGGTAAGTGCCTGCTCTGTCCCCTCGCCCTGCTGGGAGGCACTGGGACTGAACCGCCTCAGTCCCGCCCTGGTTTGAGATTTTTTGGGCGGGTGTGCTTGGGAAGCCTTACTCTCTCGTACTGCTTGTTGTCCCCAGTCACGCTGGACCTCCCCAGAGACCCTTGAAATTGAGGGAATCGATCAAACAGCTCCCGATGTCTTCTGCAAAAGTGCCTGGGTGCTGAATTGGAGCCAGAAATACTAGCTCAGAGGCATGGTGTAAGGAACCTGAGTGCATCCGTTTGTTGATCAAGATCTAATGTGCTGATAGCCAAAAATAATAAGCCTGCTAGGTTTTGACAGTTGCTGGGGTGAAACCTTCCCTGCCACTTCCCCATCGCATATTTCAGTCGATGAGATCTTTCCTTCTGCAGGGTTGCTGTTGTCTAGGCAGCCCACCTGGCACTGGGTAGGAAGCTGTTCCTGGCAGAGCTTTGGGCTGTCTCTGAGCGGGGATGTGCCAGTCGCAGTAACTGAGTCTCCCGTGGCTTTAGGATTCACTGGGCGTGCAGATGAGCCCCAGGCTGCGTGCGGCTCTGTCTGGAGCTAGGGACAGGTTTAGGGAGGGAGAAGTTGGTTGGGGCATCCTTGTGCCCCCCAAAGAGATGGAAGTGGTGGGGCAGCTGTCGGGCCCTCGCCTGGGGCGTTTGCTCTGTGCTCAATACCTGAAGGCAGCGCAGTGGTGCAGGATGGAGCCAGTGAGCCTGCTGCTTGCCTGGGAGCAGGAGTCGGGGCTCTCCTCCAACTCTCGCTTTCAGGTGCGGGGACTCTTGGACGTCCTCAGAGTCAAGTGGTTCTCGTGACCGAAGGGGAGCCTGTGGTGATGGAGTGTCCTTTCCGCAAGCACAACGGCGGCGGTGATTACTTGGATGAGTTCATCTGGAGCCATAGGAACATCTCGAGAAGGATCCTGCAGTTTAGGATGGTGCAGCCCAATGCCTCCTGTGTGCATCGCAGCGAAGGTCACTTCAGCGGCACTGTGGATTATGAAAGGAGCGTGAGCTTTCTCAACATCTCAGAGGTGCTTATGAACGACACTGGCCCTTACATCTGCTATGTGAAGATAGGGAACAGCAACCCGACCGAAAAGGTGGCTCACCTGCTCGTTAGAGGTGAGCCTGTCTCTCCTGCTTTCCCCTTTCTGTCCCTCCAGCATTCCACCTGCGCATCCCTGAGCAAGCGTAGCCCTCTCTTGTCATCGAGTGGCTTCCCCAGGCCTTTGGGAAGTGTTGGACAGAGCTCAGGCAAGGGACCTGGCCCTGTGGTGGGAAAGGGAGAATGGTTTGCATTGCAGCACCTGGCCTTACAGAGCTCTGTTTTACGTTCCCACTGGCTTGTGCAGTGCCAACAACTTTTGTGGGCACGGTGCTTTGCCCGAGCTGGCGGTATGCAGGCATCAAAGCAGCTCTGACATGAGCACCCACGTGAACCTCTCTTCTTTGCAGGTCGGCAGCCGTGGGCAGCCTCTGGGGGCCTCAGCTTGTCTGAACCTCCAGGAGGCAAAGTCACCTTGGACTGTGACTTCCCCACCAAGCTGCCCGGCAGCTTCACCTACCTCTTTTGGCTGCACGAGCAAGACCAGAGCCCACCCCGACTTGTGGCGTGGCACCTCACGTCCAGTTTCCAGAACAACAGCGGCAGCACTGGAAGTCGTTTCCAGAGCGTATTTGACCTGGAAAATCACTGGAGCCATCTCACCATTACCGGGCTGGAAGAGAAGGACAGCGGCTGGTACCAGTGTGAGGGCCTGGGAGAGCTTTCAGGCTGGCAGAGAGGGACGAGAACCCACCTCGCTGTGCAAGGTGAGCTTGTTTTCTGGGACCTTGTGGGCAAGCGAAATCCTTCTGCTCTGCTAAGGCTTTGTATTTCACAGTCAGTCTAACCCACGGGCTAGATCTGCTCGGGGCTTGATGACAGGGTGCGTGTGACACTCCTCAGCTGGGACACATCCGAACGTGCAGGGTGCCTCTCGTTCGCCTTGCGCTGCCCTGCAGAGCGTGGGGAGTGCAGGCAGGCAGCAGCTGGAGCTGTGTCTGCAGCACGCTCCTACCTGCAACGGGCTGAGAGGGCGGGCTGCCCAGAGTGTGAGCTGATGTTGTGCTGCAACGGTAAAGCTTTGCAAGGTCAGAAAACATGAAAGTGAGATGCACGGATACATTTAAAGTGTCTACAAAACCACAGAACGTCATCTGTGAAGAGACACGGGTTATGTGCCCCTTGCTGCAGGGGGTTATCTGGAAAAGATACTGGTTGCCTTGATGGTTCATGATTCAGGAACCAATTTCATCTCTACCTAACGATGACATGGATTTTTAATGCATTTACTTTAATGTGTGAAAGTACCTTTATCCAGGGTAACTCAGTAACAAATCCCAGCAGAATTGTTTGCTGTGTTTGCAGCCCGGCCAATTAATCCAGAACACAGTTAGTTGCAATTATGCAGTAATTTGGACTCACCATGACTCAACTGGGAAATACCAGATGTGAGGATGAAGCAGGTCCCTGTTCTGAAGTGTAGGACATACCGTGTCCCTGCTGATTTGGTGCCAAAAAGATTTGATTCATATTTGAGGAGAAGCTCTTAAAATTTGTGCTGGTTCTTGTGTTCCCGTTCCCTCATCCTCACACCAGGGGCAGGCACCCTGTGTTTGATCATGCCCATGATGGGCCTCCTCACTGCCGTTAGCGTTTTTTCACAGCTTTTCCTCAACGTCTTACCCACGGCCCCCAACTGCAGAGGTCGGAGCCTTCCATGTTTTCACTGAAAGCACCAACCTGCTGGCAGGTTTGCACATCCCAGTGTACATGACAATATGAACCAGGAGTACAAGGCTGTGTTCTCCTTTCTAGGCTCCTCGGCTGGCCTGCTGGTTGTTTTGGGGAGTGTTGCGTTTGTCGTCATGGCTCTGTGCTCTTACTTTCTGTGTAAGTAATACTGGGAAGGATACTGGGCTTCACCCAGTGTCATGGTTTAACCTGGCCGGCAGCTAAACACCACACAGCTGTTCGCTCACCCTCCCCCCTCCCTGTCTGGGATGGGGGAGAGAAATGTGAAAGTGAAGCCCGTGAGTTGCGATAAAGACAGTTTCTTAAGACAGGAAAATAATAATAACAATAATGATTGTAATAGTACTACTACTAGTAATGTGTACAAACTAGTGATGCACAATGCAATTGCTCACCACCCGCTGACCGATGCCCAGCCGAACCCCGAGCAGTCTGCCCCCCCCCCCCCCCGGCTAGCCACCCCTGTCTATTGTTCAGCATGACCCCAGATGGCATGGAATACCCCTTTGACCAGTTTGGGTCAGCTGTCCTCGGTCTGTCTATTCCCAGCTCCTGCTGCACCCCCAGCCTGCCCTCTGGCAGGACAGTGCAAGAAGCTGAGACGTCCTTGGCTTGGTGTAAGCACTGCTCTGCAACAATTAAAACATCGGGGTGTCATCAGCATTCTTCTCACCCGATGCCAAAACATAGCATTCTACCAGGTATTAGGAAGAAAATTAACTCTGTCCTAACTGAAACCAGGACACCCAGACATCACCTCAGGCCTTATCACAGCAGTGGCCTGAGCTGTATCCTGCCTTGCTGTGAGGACTCTGGCTCTCCAGCAACATGGCCAGGCCCTCACCTGCCCTGCGCTGCGTCCTCTGCTGACACCTCGCTGCATCCCTTGTGGGCTCGGCCAAGCGTGGGGCACTGGGAGCAGAAGGGACTCGTGTGGGTGGCACTGCATCAGGCCGCTGCTCTCCCCTGCTGTCACGAGGAGGAGCGTGTGACAGGAGGCCGAAAGCTCCTCCATGGCCTGGCAGAATACTAGGTAGAAGACTGCCGTGTCTTTCAGCCTTTGGGCTGCAAGGAGGTGCAGAGCAGGCTGTTATAGTGGGGCAAATCCATCAGTAAAATCCTTCTGCTAGCGACCAGTCCCGGTCTGTGAGCAGGGAGGCTGTGTTAGAGCCGTGCTATTTCAGCGGGGGCTGCTCCAGCAGGGCTGTGTCCCCTCTGCTCTGCTTCAGACAAGCACCACAAGAAGCTGAGGAGGCAGCGCACCGTGCAGGACGCTTCGGATCCCTGCCACAGGCCCGCAGAGGACAGCATGAGGCAGCCCACAGGCGGGGAAGCTGTCAGTGCCAGCGCTGGCAGCACGGCAGAGTACAGCGTGAGTGGGGTGCCGGGCAGAGACAGCCACTGCTGGGTCCTGCAGCAGTGCAGGGGTTGGTGACGGAGCCCTGGGGCCAGGGATGGGGCTGCTGATGGTAACTGAGGCTGTTTTTTGTTCACAGCTCCTCACTTTCCCGGGAAGGAACACCGCTGCAGAGGACTGGGGACAACGATGACAGTCCAGGAAGGCCCAGTGGGACATGGGGAGCTGTGCTGGGCTTTCTGTACTCATGGCACTGTGGATAGTTCCCCTCCACTGCGTATCATGCCAAGGTCCCTAGCAAAGCCTTCTCTCCCTTGATGGTTGTTTTTTGTATTCAATTAAAGCCTCTCGAGGACAGACTGTGTACATTCAGTCTCTGCTCTACCTGGCTGTTCTGGCTGCCTGTGGAGCTGGCTTTCAGCTGCTCTGTGTCCAGCCTGGCTCAGCCCAACCCTTGTACCATCCTCTGGGGCTGATGCTACCCACCAGGCACAGCCACATCCTCCTCCCGTGGAGGAAAAGCCTGGCAGCTCTGCAGGTTGAAGCAAGGCCTGCATGGGGACTCCTCTAACCCAGGGCAGCAGAGAGGTGCTGATGTCTCTGTTCCTGTCGCTGTCCTATCAATAAAATGCTCCAACACTGCACAGCCTCAGGGGAAGCACAGACAGCAAATCCCTGCCCAGCCCTGAGCAGCAGGGCCAGTGCGTTTCAGCCTCCTCGTGGGGTTGTACGACCACGGCAGCTGCGTGCCACAGCCCAGACACATGGGGCCATGCAGTCCCACCAGGCACAACCCAAACCTTGCTGCCTCCTGTGCTGCGAGCACGCAGCCCGCTCCCAGGCGATGGCCTTATGGTGGCTCTGAGGAGCCTCAGCCACCACCTTTTGCTCTCATTTTGCTCTCACCAGGAGCTGGCGGGGCTCATTGATAGGGCTTTAAACTAGGTAAGAAGGGGGATGGGGCTGAAGCAAGGACTGTTGGGGCTGTGCCAGGGGGAGCAATGGCAAGGCCGGAGGATAAGGTAAAGGCCCAGCTGAAGTGCATCTACACCAATGCACGCAGCATGGGTAACAAACAGGAGGAGCTGGAAGCCATCGTGCAGCGGGCAGGCTACGACTTGGTTGCCATCACGGAGACGTGGTGGGACCAGTCTCATGACTGGAGTGCTGCGATGCCTGGCTATAGGCTCTTCAGAAGGGACAGGCAGCACAGAAGGGGTGGCGGTGTGGCTCTCTATATTAGAGAGTCTTTCGATATTGTAGAACTCGAGGCTAGGAATGACAAGGTCGAGTCCCTTTGGGTTAGGATCGGCAGGGACAACAAGGCTAGTGTCCTGGTCGGAGTCTGCTATAGACCGCCGAACCAGGATGAGGAGACGGATGAGGAGTTCTACAGGCAGCTGACAGAAGTTGCGAATTCGTCGGCGCTTGTACTCGTGGGAGACTTCAACTTCCCTGACATATCCTGGAAGCACAACACAGCCCAGAGGAAGCAGTCTAGGAGGTTTCTGGAGAAAGTGGAAGATAGCTTCCTGACGCAGCTGATTAGTGAACCTACCAGGGGTGGTGCACTGCTAGACCTTCTCTTCACAAACAGAGAAGGACTGGTGGAGGATGTGATTGTCGGGAACAGTCTTGGGCAGAGTGACCACGAAATGGTGGAGTTCACTATTCTTGGCGGGGCCAGGAAGGGAACCAGTAAAACCACTGTATTGGACTTTCGGAGGGCTGACTTTGGGCTGCTCAGGACACTAGTTGGTGGAGTCCCTTGGGTTGCAGTTCTGAAGGGCAGAGGGGTCTAGGAAGGCTTGGCGCTCTTCAAGAGGCAAATCCTAATGGCGCAGGAGCGGTCTGTTCCCATGTGCCCAAAGACGAGCCAGCGGGGAAGAAGACCAGCCTGGCTCAACAGAGAACTGTGGCTTGAGCTTAGGAGAAAAAAGAGGGTTTATAATCTTTGGAAAAGTGGGCAGGCCACTCGGGAGGACTATAAGGATGTAGCGAGGCTGTGCAGGGACAAGATTAGGAAGGCCAAAGCTCATCTGGAGCTCAATCTGGCTACTGCTGTTAAAGATAACAAAAAACGCTTTTATAAATACATCAACACAAAAAGGAGGACTAGGGAGAATCTCCATCCTTTACTGGATGCGGGGGGAAACTTAGTTACAAGAGATGAGGAAAAGGCGGAGGTGCTTAATGCCTTCTTTGCCTCAGTCTTTAGCGGCAAAACCGGTTGCTCTCTGGATACCCAGTACCCAGAACTGGTGGAAGGGGACGGGGAGCAGGATGTGGCCCTCACCATCCACGAAGAACTGGTTGGTGACCTGCTACGGCACTTGGATGTGCACAAATCGATGGGGCCGGATGGGATCCACCCAAGGGTACTGAGAGAACTGGCAGAGGAGCTGGCCAAGCCACTATCCACCATTTATCAGCAGTCCTGGCTACTGGGGGAGGTCCCAGTTGACTGGCGGCTAGCAAATGTGATGCCCATCTACAAGAAGGGCCGGAGGGCAGACCTGGGGAACTACAGGCCTGTCAGTTTGACCTCAGTATCAGCGAAGCTCATGGAGCAGATCCTCTTGAGAGTCATCATGCGGCACTTGAAGGGCAAGCAGGCGATCAGGCCCAGCCAGCATGGGTTTATGGAAGGCAGATCCTGCTTGACGAACCTGATCTCCTTCTATGACAAAGTGACGCGCTGGGTGGACGAGGGAAAGGCTGTGGATGTGGTCTACCTTGACTTCAGCAAGGCATTTGACACCGTCTCCAACAGCATTCTCCTCAAGAAACTGGCTGCTCTTGGCTTGGACTGGCGCACACTTCGTTGGGTTAGAAACTGGCTGGATAGCCGGGCCCAAAGAGTCGTGGTAAATGGAGTCAAGTCCAGTTGGAGGCCAGTCACTATTGGCATCCCCCAGGGCTCGGTGCTGGGGCCGGTCCTCTTTAATATCTCCATCAATGATCTGGACGAGGGCATTGAGTGCACCCTCAGTAAGTTTGCAGATGACACCAAGCTATGCGCATGTGTCGATCTGCTCGACGGTAGGAAGGCTCTGCAGGAGGATCTGGATAGGCTGCACCGATGGGCTGAGGTCAACTGCATGAAGTTCAACAAGGCCAAGTGCCGGATCCTGCACCTGGGGCGCAATAACCCCAAGCAGAGCTACAGGCTGGGAGATGAGTGGTTGGAGAGCTGCCAGGCAGAGAAGGACCTGGGAGTGATGGTGGACAGTCGGCTGAATATGAGCCAGCAGTGTGCTCAGGTGGCCAAGAAGGCCAACGGCATCCTGGCTTGTATCAGAAACAGTGTGACCAGCAGGGCTAGGGAGGTGATCGTCCCCCTGTACTTGGCTCTGGTGAGGCCGCACCTCGAGTACTGTGTTCAGTTTTGGGCCCCTTGCTACAAGAAGGACATGGAGGTGCTTGAGCGGGTCCAGAGAAGGGCGATGAAGCTTGTGAGGGGCCTGGAGAACAAGTCCTACGAGGAGCGGCTGAGGGAGCTGGGCTTGTTCAGCCTGGAGAAGAGGAGGCTCAGGGGCGACCTTATCGCTCTCTACAGGTACCTTAAAGGAGGCTGTAGTGAGGTGGGGGTTGGCCTGTTCTCCCACGTGCCTGGTGACAGGACGAGGGGGAATGGGCTTAAGTTGCGCCAGGGGAGTTTTAGGTTAGATGTTAGGAAGAACTTCTTTACCGACAGGGTTGTTAGACACTGGAACAGGCTGCCCAGGGAGGTGGTGGAGTCACCATCCCTGGAAGTCTTTAAAAGACGTTTAGATGTAGAGCTTAGGGATATGGTTTAGTGGGGACTGTTAGTGTTAGGTCAGAGGCTGGACTCGATGATCTTGAGGTCTCTTCCAACCTAGAAATTCTGTGATTCTGTGAGAAAGCCACGCCGAGGGACAGCCCATGCTGAGGGCTGTTGGCGGAGCTGTTTCACACCGTCCTGCGCGTAGCGTGCGGGCAGCTCCTCCCTGCGAGGTGGGAGGCCGGGTGCTGCTCACAGGCCTCCTCCTGTCTTGGCTGCTGCAGTGTGCCCGGGCTGGGCATGGCGCTCGCCCTCGCCCTCCTGCCGCTGCTGCTCCTGCCCCGGGGTAAGTGCCTGCTCTGTCCCCTCGCCCTGCTGGGAGGCACTGGGACTGAACCGCCTCAGCCCCGCCCTGGTTTGAGATTTTTTGGGTGGGTGTGCTTGGGAAGCCTTACTCCCTCGTGCTGCTTGTTGTCCCCAGCCATGTTGGGCCTGCTTAGAGACCCTTGAACTTGAGGGAAGCGATCAAACAGCTCCCGATGTCTTCTGTAAAAGTGCCTGGGTGCTGAATTGGAGCCAGAAATACTAGCTCAGAGGCACGGTGTAAGGAACCTGAGTGCATCCGTTTGTTGATCAAGATATAATGTGCTGATAGCTAAAAATAATAAGCCTGCTAGGTTTTGACAGTTGCTGGTGTGAAGCCTTCGCTGCCGCTTCCCCATCACGTATTTCAGTTGATGAGATCTTACCTTCTGCAGGGTACTGGGAGTACTGGGGACTCCTGTGGCTTTAGGGGCCGCCGGGCGTGCAGATGAGCCCCGGGCTTCCTGCGGCTCTGTCTGGAGCTAGGGACAGGTTTAGGGAGGGAGAAGTTGGTTGGGGCATCCTTGTGCCCCCCCAAAGAGATGGAAGTGGTGGGGCAGCTGTCAGGCCCTCGCCTGGGGCGTTTGCTCTGTGCTCAATACCTGAAGGCAGCGCAGTGCTGCAGGATGGAGCCAGTGAGCCTGCTGCTTGCCTGGGAGCAGGAGTCGGGGCTCTCCTCCAGCTCTCGCTTTCAGGTGCGGGGACTCTTGGACGTCCTCAGAGTCAAGTGGTTCTCGTGACCGAAGGGGAGCCTGTGGTGATGGAGTGTCCTTTCCGCAAGCACAACGGCAGTGGTCATTCCTTCCATGAGTTCATCTGGAGCCATAGGAACATCTCAAAAAGGATTCTCCAGTTTAGGATGACGCGGCCCAATGCCTCCTGTGTGCATCGCAGCGAAGGTCACTTCAGCGGCACTGTGGATTTTGCAAGGAGCGTGAGCTTTCTCAACATCTCAGAGGTGCTTATGAACGACACTGGCCCTTACCACTGCTATGTGAAGATAGGGAACAGCAACCCGACCGAAAAGGTGACTCACCTGCTCGTTAGAGGTGAGTCCGTCTCTCCTGCTTTCCCCTTTCTGTCCCTCCAGCATTCCACCTGCGCATCCCTGAGCAAGCGTAGCCCTCTCTTGTCATTGAGTGGCTTCCCCAGGCCTTTGGGAAGTGTTGGACAGAGCTCAGGCAAGGGACCTGGCCCTGTGGTGGGAAAGGGAGAATGGTTTGCATTGCAGCACCTGGCCTTACAGAGCTCTGTTTTACGTTCCCACTGGCTTGTGCAGCGCCAACAACTTTTGTGGGCACGGTGCTTTGCCCGAGCTGGCGGTATGCAGGCATCAAAGCAGCTCTGACATGAGCACCCACGTGAACCTCTCTTCTTTGCAGGTCGGCAGCCATGGGCAGCCTCTGGGGGCCTCAGCTTCTCTGTACCTCCAGGAGGCAAAGTCACCTTGGACTGTGACTTCCCTGCCAAGCTGCCCGGCAGCTTCACCTACCTCTTTTGGCTGCACGAGCAAGACCAGAGCCCACCCCGACTCGTGGCATGGACAAACACATCCAGTTTCCAGAACAACAGCGGCAGCACTGGAAGTCGTTTCCAGAGCGTATTTGACCTGGAAAATCACCGGAGCCATCTCAACATTACCGGGCTGGAAGAGAAGGACAGCGGCTGGTACCAGTGTGAGGGCCTGGGAGAGCTTTCAGGCTGGCAGAGAGGGACGAGAACCCACCTCGCTGTGCGAGGTGAGCTTGTTTTCTGGGACCTTGTGTGCAAGTGAAATCCTTCTGCTCTGCTAAGGCTTCGTATTTCACAGTCAGTCTAACCCACGGGCTAGATCTGCTCGGGGCTTGATGACAGGGTGCGTGTGACACTCCTCAGCTGGGACACATCCCAACGTGCGGGGTGCCTCTCGTTCGCCTTGCGCTGCCCTGCAGAGCGTGGGGAGTGCAGGCAGGCAGCAGCTGGAGCTGTGTCTGCAGCACGCTCCTACCTGCAACGGGCTGAGAGGGCGGGCTGCCCAGAGTGTGAGCTGCTGTTGTGCTGCAACGGTAAAGCTTTGCAGAGTCACAGAACATGAAAGTGAGATGCACGGATAAATTTAAAGTGTCTACAAAACCACAGAACGTCATCTGTGAAGAGACACGGGTTACGTGCCCCTTGCTGCGGGGGGGTTATCTGGAAAAGATACTGGTTGCCTTGATGGTTCAAGGTTCAGGAACCAATTTCATTTCTACCTAACGATGACATGGATTTTTAATGCATTTACTTTAATGTGCACAAGTACCTTTATCCAGGGTAGCTCAGTAACAAATCCCAGCAGAATTGTTTGTTGTGTTTACAGCCTGTCCAATTAATCCAGAACACAGTTAGTTGCAATTATGCAGTAATTTGGACTCACCATGACTCAACTGGGAAATACCAGATGTGAGGATGAAGCAGGCCCCTGTTCTGAAGTGTAGGACATGCCGTGTCCCCGCTGATTTGGTGCCCAAAAGATGTGATTCATATTTGAGGAGAAGCTCTTAAAATTTGTGCAGGTTCTTGTGTTCCCGTTCCCTCATCCTCACACCAGGGGCAGGCACCCTGTGTTTGATCATGCCCATGATGGGCCTCCTCACTGCCGTTAGCCTTTTTTCACAGCTTTTCCTCAACGTCTTACCCACGGCCCCCAGCTGCAGAGGTCGGAGCCTTCCACGTTTTCACTGAAAGCACCAACCCGCTGGCATGTTTGCGCGTCCCAGTGTACATGACAATATGAACTAGGAGTACAAGGCTCTGTTCTCCTTTCTAGGCTCCTCGGCTGTCCTGCTGGTTGTTTTGGGGAGTGTTGCGTTTGTCGTCATGGCTCTGTGCTCTTACTTTCTGTGTAAGTAATACTGGGAAGTATACTGGGCTTCACCCAGTGTCATGGTTTAACCTGGCCGGCAGCTAAACACCACACAGCTGTTCGCTCACCCTCCCCCCTCCCTGTCTGGCATGGGGGAGAGAAATGTGAAAGTGAAGCTCGTGAGTTGCGATAAAGACAGTTTCTTAAGACAGGAAAATCATAATAACGATAATGATTATAATAGTACTACTACTAGTAATGTGTACAAACTAGTGATGCACAATGCAATTGCTCACCAGCCGCTGACCGATGCCCAGCCGAACCCCGAGCAGTCTGGCCCCCCCCCGGCTAGCCACCCCTATCTATTGTTCAGCATGACCCCAGATGGCATGGAATACCCCTTTGACCAGTTTGGGTCAGCTGTCCTCGGTCTGTCCCCTCCCAGCTCCTGCTGCATCCCCAGCCTGCCCTCTGGCGGGACAGTGCAAGAAGCTGAGACGTCCTTGGCTTGGTGTAAGCACTGCTCTGCAACAATTAAAACATCGGGGTGTCATCAGCACTCTTCTCACCCTAACCCAAAACACAGCATTCCACCAGCTATTAGGAAGAAAATTAACTCTGTCCTAACTGAAACCAGGACATCCAGATATCACCTCAGGCCTTATCGCAGCAGTGACCTGAGCTGTATCCTGCCTTGCTGTGAGGACTCTGGCTCTCCAGCAACATGGCCAGGCCCTCACCTGCCCTGCGCTGCGTCCTCTGCTGACACCCATCTGCATCCCTTGTGGGCTCGGCCAAGCGTGGGTCACCTGGACCAGAAGGGACTCATGTGGGTGGCACTGCATGAGGCCGCTGCTCTCCCCTGCTGTCACGAGGAGGAGCATGACAGGAGGCCGAAAGCTCCTCCATGGCCTGGTAGAGTACTAGGTAGAAGACTGCCGTGTCTTTCAGCAGTTGGTGTGATACGGGCTTCAGCCTTTGGGCTGCAAGGAGGTGCAGAGCAGGCCGTTATAGTGGGGAAAATCCATCAGGAAAATGCTTCTGCTAGTGACCAGTCCCGGTCTGTGAGCAGGGAGGCTGTGTTAGAGCCGTGCTATTTCAGCAGGGGCTGCTCCAGCAGAGCTGTGTCCCCTCTGCTCTGCTTCAGACAAGCACCACAAGAAGCTGAGGAGGCAGCGCACCGTGCAGGACGCTTCGGATCCCTGCCACAGGCCCGCAGAGGACAGCATGAGGCAGCCCACAGGCGGGGAAGCTGTCAGTGCCAGCGCTGGCAGCACGGCAGAGTACAGCGTGAGTGGGGTGCCGGGCAGAGACAGCCACTGCTGGCTCCTGCAGCAGTGCAGGGGTTGGTGACGGAGCCCTGGGGCCAGGGATGGGGCTGCTGGGCGGTAACCAAGGCTGTTTTTTGTTCACAGCTCCTCACTTTCCCGGGAAGGAACACCGCTGCAGGGGACTGGGGACAACGATGACAGTTCAGGAAGACCTAGTGGGACACGGGGAGCTGTGCTGCGCTTCCTGTACTTGTGGTACTGTGAATAGTTCCCCTCCACTGCGTATCATGCAAAGGTCCCTAGCAAAGCCTTCTCTCCCTTGATGGTTGTTTTTTGTATTCAATTAAAGCCTCTCGAGGACAGACTGTGTACATTCAGTCTCTGCTCTACCTGGCTGTTCTGGCTGCCTGTGGAGCTGGCTTTCAGCTGCTCTGTGTCCAGCCTGGCTCAGCCCAACCCTTGTACCATCCTCTGGGGCTGATGCTACCCACCAGGCACAGCCACATCCTCCTCCCGTGGTGGAAAAGCCTGGCAGCTCTGCAGGGTGAAGTAAGGCCTGTATGGGGACTCCTCTAACCCAGGGCAGCAGAGAGGTGCTGATGTCTCTGTTCCTGTCGCTGTCCTATCAATAAAATGCTCCAACACTGCACAGCCTCAGGGGAAGCACAGACAGCAAATCCCTGCCCAGCCCTGAGCAGCAGGGCCAGTGCGTTTCAGCCTCCTCGTGGGGTTGTACGACCACGGCAGCTGCGTGCCACAGCCCAGACACACGGGGCCATGCAGTCCCACCAGGCACAACCCAAACCTTGCTGCCTCCTTTGCTGCGAGCATGCAGCCCGCTCCCAGCCGATGGCATTATGGTGGCTCTGAGGAGCCTCAGCCACCACCTTTTGCTCTTGTTTTGCTCTCACTGCTCCCTGGGGAGGCTGCATCACAGTAAATTGGTCCAGGTTGCGTAGGAGGAAGTGTTTGCTTTTGTTAGACCAGCTGATAGAGAAGACGAAACATAGCTGAGCCGTTGGGCACGTGAGCCAAGAGATGACCACAGCAGGGGGGCTGTGTTCCAAGGCACCGGGAGAGTTTGCGCACCTCCGCTTGGTATTTCTGCTCTCAGGGTGGTGACAGAGCCCAATGTGGGTCGGGAGAGTCCCTGGAGCAAGCGGAACGGGCATGGAGAGCACGTTCCTGTGATTAAAAGTGATTCTTATGTGGAGGAAGTTGCCCCCTCGCCCCAGCCTGGGTGTTCACACTCTGCCCTTGCCCAGGGGCTCAGCCTCACGCCAGGGCAGCTCGGTGGGAAGGCACGGGGAGCACTTTGCCCCCTGCCCCACAGGGGCTGTGTCCTCCAGCAGGTGGGCTCCTCTCCTGCCTCCGAGCACAGCAGGTAATGGACCTGGGGGGCTGACTTGGGCAGCCGAGAGGCTGGGGGCAACCCCGTGCCGTTGCTTTGAGCAGACCCCAGCATGACGGGCACCTGCGGCCTCCCCGTGCCCTGGGCTTGGTCCCAAACGGACGTGACCTGGTGGGACAAAGCCACGCTGAGGGCTGTTGGCGGAGCTGTTTCACACCGTCCTGCGCGTAGCGTGCGGGCAGCTCCTCCCTGCGAGGTGGGAGGCCGGGTGCTGCTCACAGGCCTCCTCCTGTCTTGTCTGCTGGAGTGTGCCCGGGCTGGGCATGGCGCTCGCCCTCGCCCTCCTGCCGCTGCTGCTCCTGCCCTGGGGTAAGTGCCTGCTCTGTCCCCTCGCCCTGCTGGGAGGCACTGGGACTGAACCGCCTCAGTCCCACCCTGGTTTGAGATTTTTTGGGTGGGTGTGCTTGGGAAGCCTTACTCCCTCGTGCTGCTTGTTGTCCCCAGTCACACTTGGCCTCCCCAGAGACCCTTGAAATTGAGGGAATCGATCAAACAGCTCCCGATGTCTTCTGCAAAAGTGCCTGGGTGCTGAACTGGAGCCAGAAATACTAGCTCAGAGGCACGGTGTAAGGAACCTGAGTGCATCCGTTTGTTGATCAAGATATAATGTGCTGATAGCTAAAAATAATAAGCCTGCTAGGTTTTGACAGTTGCTGGTGTGAAGCCTTCGCTGCCGCTTCCCCATCGCATATTTCAGTTGATGAAGTCTTACCTTCTGCAGGGTACTGGGAGTACTGGGGACTCCCATGGGTTTAGGATTCACTGGGCATGCAGATGAGCCCCAGGCTTCCTGCGGCTCTGTCTGGAGCTAGGGATAGGTTTAGGGAGGGAGAAGTTGGTTGGGGCATCCTTGTGCCCCCCAAAGAGATGGAAGTGGTGGGGCAGCTGTCGGGCCCTCGCCTGGGGCGTTTGCTCTGTGCTCAATACCTGAAGGCAGCGCAGTGGTGCAGGATGGAGCCAGTGAGCCTGCTGCTTGCCTGGGAGCAGGAGTCAGGGCTCTCCTCCAGCTCCTTTCACCTTTCAGGTGCGGGGACTCTTGGACATCCTCAGAGTCAAGTGGTTCTCGTGACCGAAGGGGAGCCTGTGGTGATGGAGTGTCCTTTCCACAACGGCAGCAGTGATTCCTTCGATGAGTTCATCTGGAGCCATAGGAACATCTCGAGAAGGATCCTGCAGTTTAGGATGACGCGGCCCAATGCCTCCTGTGTGCATCGCAGTGAAGGTCACTTCAGCGGCACTGTGGATTTTGCAAGGAGCGTGAGCTTTCTCAACATCTCAGAGGTGCTTATGAACGACACTGGCCCTTACTACTGCTATGTGAAGATAGGGAACAGCAACCCGACCGAAAAGGTGACTCACCTGCTCGTTAGAGGTGAGCCTGTCTCTCCTGCTTTCCCCTTTCTGTCCCTCCAGCATTCCACCTGCGCATCCCTGAGCAAGCGTAGCCCTCTCTTGTCATTGAGTGGCTTCCCCAGGCCTTTGGGAAGTGTTGGACAGAGCTCAGGCAAGGGACCTGGCCCTGTGGTGGGAAAGGGAGAATGGTTTGCATTGCAGCACCTGGCCTTACAGAGCTCTGTTTTACGTTCCCACTGGCTTGTGCAGCGCCAACAACTTTTGTGGGCACGGTGCTTTGCCCGAGCTGGCGGTATGCAGGCATCAAAGCAGCTCTGACATGAGCACCCACGTGAACCTCTCTTCTTTGCAGGTCGGCAGCCATGGGCAGCCTCTGGGGGCCTCAGCTTCTCTGTACCTCCAGGAGGCAAAGTCACCTTGGACTGTGACTTCCCTGCCAAGCTGCCTGGCAGCTTCACCTACCTCTTTTGGCTGCACGAGCAAGACCAGAGCCCACCCCGACTCGTGGCATGGACAAACACATCCAGTTTCCAGAACAACAGTGGCAGCACTGGAAGTCGTTTCCAGAGCATATTTGACCTGGAAAATCACTGGAGCCATCTCAACATTACCGGGCTGGAAGAGAAGGACAGCGGCTGGTACCAGTGTGAGGGCCTGGGAGAGCTTTCAGGCTGGCAGAGAGGGACGAGAACCCACCTCGCTGTGCAAGGTGAGCTTGTTTTCTGGGACCTTGTGTGCAAGTGAAATCCTTCTGCTCTGCTAAGGCTTTGTATTTCACAGTCAGTCTAACACACGGGCTAGATCTGTTCAGGGTTTATTGACAGGGTGCGTGTGACACTCTTCAGCTGGGACACATCCCAACGTGCGGGGTGCCTCTCGTTCGCCTTGCGCTGCCCTGCAGAGCGTGGGGAGTGCAGGCAGGCAGCAGCTGGAGCTGTGTCTGCAGCACGCTCCTACCTGCAACGGGCTGAGAGGGCGGGCTGCCCAGAGTGTGAGCTGCTGTTGTGCTACAATGGTAAAGCTTTGCAGAGTCACAGAACATGAAAGTGAGATGCACGGATACATTTAAAGTGTCTACAAAACCACAGAACGTCATCTGTGAAGAGACACGTGTTACGTGCCCCTTGCTGCAGGGGGTTATCTGGAAAAGATACTGGTTGCCTTGATGGTTCAAGGTTCAGGAACCAATTTTCATCTCTACCTAACGATGACATGGATTTTTAATGCATTTACATTAATGTGCACAAGTACCTTTATCCAGGGCAACTCAGTAACAAATCCCAGCAGAATTGTTTGCTGTGTTTGCAGCCCGGCCAATTAATCCAGAACACAGTTAGTTGCAATTTTGCAGTAATTTGGACTCACCATGACTCAACTGGGAAATTCCAGATGTGAGGATGAAGCAGGCCCCTGTTCTGAAGTGTAGGACATGCCGTGTCCCCGCTGATTTGGTGCCCAAAAGATGTGATTCATATTTGAGGAGAAGCTCTTAAAATTTGTGCTGGTTCTTGTGCTCCCGTTCCCTCATCCTCACACCAGGGGCAGGCACCCTGCGTTTGATCATGCCCATGATGGGCCTCCTCACTGCCGTTAGCCTTTTTTCACAGCTTTTCCTCAACATCCTACCCACGGCCCCCAGCTGCAGAGGTCGGAGCCTTCCACGTTTTCACTGAAAGCACCAACCCGCTGGCATGTTTGCGTGTCCCAGTGTACATGACAATATGAACTAGGAGTACAAAGCTCTGTTCTCCTTTCTAGGCTCCTCGGCTGTCCTGCTGGTCATTTTGTGGAGTGTTGAGTTTGCCATCATGGCTCTGTGCTCGTACTTTGTGTGTAAGTAATACTGGGAAGGATACTGGGCTTCACCCAGACATCACCTCAGGTCTTATCGCAGCTGTGACCTGAGCTGTATCCTGCCTTGCTGTGAGGACTCTGGCTCTCCAGCAACATGGCCAAGCCCTCACCTGCCCTGTGCTGTGCCTCTGCTGACACCTCGCTGCATCCCTTGTGGGCTCGGCCAAGCGTGGGGCACTGGGAGCAGCTGGGACTGGCGTGGGTGGCACTGCATCAGGCCGCTGCTCTCCCCTGCTGTCACGAGGAGGAGCGTGACAGGAGGCCGAAAGCTCCTCCATGGCCTGGCAGAGTACTAGGTAGAAGACTGCTGTGTCTTTCAGCCTTTGGGCTGCAAGGAGGTGCAGAGCAGGCTGTTATAGTGGGGAAAATCCATCAGTAAAATCCTTCTGCTAGCGACCAGTCCCGGTCTGTGAGCAGGGAGGCTGTGTTAGAGCCGTGCTATTTCAGCGGGGGCTGCTCCAGCAGAGCTGTGTCCCCTCTGCTCTGCTTCAGACAAGCACCACAAGAAGCTGAGGAGGCAGCGCACCGTGCAGGACGCTTCGGATCCCTGCCACAGGCCTGCAGAGGACAGCATGAGGCAGCCCACAGGCGGGGAAGCTGTCAGTGCCAGCGCTGGCAGCAAGGCAGAGTGCAGGGTGAGTGGGGTGCCGGGCAGAGACAGCCACTGCTGGCTCCTGCAGCAGTGCAGGGGTTGGTGACGGAGCCCTGGGGCCACCGATGGTAACTGAGGCTGTTTTTTGTTCACAGCTCCTCACTTTCCCGGGAAGGAACACCGCTGCAGGGGACTGGGGACAATGATGACAGCCCAAGAAAGCCCAGTGGGAGTCGTGCTGGGCTTCCTGTACTCATGGCACTGTGGATAGTTCCCCTCCACTGTGTATCATGCAAAGATCCCTAGCAAAGCCTTCTCTCCCTTGATGGTTGTTTTTTGTATTCAATTAAAGCCTCTTGAGGACAGACTGTGTACATTCAGTCTCTGCTCTACCTGGCTGCTCTGGCTGCCTGTGGAGCTGGCTTTCAGCTGCTCTGTGTCCAGCCTGGCTCAGCCCAACCCTTGTACCATCCTCTGGGGCTGATGCTACCCACCAGGCACAGCCACATCCTCCTCCCGTGGAGGAAAAGCCTGGCAGCTCTGCAGGGTGAAGCAAGGCCTGCATGGGGACCCCTCTAACCCAGGGCAGCAGAGAGGTGCTGATGTCTCTGTTCCTGTGCTGTCCTATCAATAAAATGCTCCAACACTGCACAGCCTCAGGGGAAGCACACACAGCAAATCCCTGCCCAGCCCTGAGCAGCAGGGCCAGTGCGTTTCAGCCTCCTCGTGGGGTTGTACGACCACGGCAGCTGCGTGCCACAGCCCAGACACACGGGGCCATGCAGTCCCACCAGGCACAACCCAAACCTTGCTGCCTCCTTTGCTGCGAGCACGCAGCCCGCTCCCAGCCGATGGCATTATGGTGGCTCTGAGGAGCCTCAGCCACCACCTTTTGCTCTCGTTTTGCTCTCACTGCTCCCTGGGGAGGCTGCATCACAGTAAATTGGTCCAGGTTGCGTAGGAGGTAGTATTTGCTTTTGTTAGACCAGCTGATAGAGAAGACAAAAATAGCTGAGCCGTTGGGCACGTGAGCCCTTGTTGAGACTACTGCAGCGTGTCGAAGCAGAGCGAACATCCGTCTTGCTGGCGGGCTATAGTACTCAGTCTTTGGGACCAGAGATGCAGCATTGGGATGGTCTAACGAGGCAGGACCCTGTCCCGGACCTTGTGGCTCCATTTTCCCTCAAACACAGAGCATGCCCAAACGCTCACAAAAATCTTGGGCTTAGAGATGCTTTGGGAGCTGGGCTGCAGAGCTGTGCATGCCATGTGGTGGCGTTTCAGACAGGAGGGCCTTCACACCCACTGATTCTGGCAGCTCTTTGCTTTACCGGTCTGCAGTCCTTCCTCACCAGACACCACCTGTGCTGCAGCCACAGCCCCCTGCACTGTGTCCCTCAGTAAATGCCTTCTAGAAGGTCAACTTGTTTTTGGTGGTGCCCCCACGCTGTACCCCAGTACCAAAGGCAGTGGAGCAGGCTGACATGTGCAAGCTGTGCCTGGAGGCAAAGGTGTTGATGCTGGGCTCTCGCCCCACTGATTCAAGGCCCCTTGCTGAAGACCAGTTGCAGCAAATGGAGTGACACGGGCAGCTGAAGTCCCCCAGCCCCCTGTGTCATTTACATACACCTCACCAGCACCAGCAGCACAGCAGCCCGGGCTTGTGCAGTACCACAGCCTGTCTCCAAAACAGCCTCCCTTCCTCTGCTCCCCATCCTAGTCCTTGCCATGGCCCTGGGCTTCGTGGTCCTGCTGCTGGTGGGGACAGCAGGGACAGGTAAGGGCAGGGTGGCTGTGCTAGCTGATGCTGGGGAAGGTGGGCAGGACTGAGGTGTGTACGGGCGATGTTCAGCTGAGCTGGGAGGTTTGATCTAAAGCTGCATGGTGCAACGAGCAGGGCTGGGCAGTGGGGACACCTGAAGAGGGCAGGGGAAGGTTTTGGGGCTGGGGGCGGTGGGGCACGGCTCTCCATCAGTAACCACATTCCCGGTACGTGCAGCCTGCCAGGCTCAGCAGGTGCTGACCCAGCCGACCACCGTGTTGGTGCTGCCCGGGCAGACCGCCCGGCTGTCCTGCACCCTCAGCCCCCAGTACAACATCACCGACTTCGGCATCACCTGGTACCAGCAGCGCCCAGGGCAGGCCCTCCGCTACCTGCTCTACTACAACTCGGAGTACGACAACCACAGACCCGCCAGGATTCCCGACCGCTTCTTCGCCACCAAAGACCTTGCCCTCAACGCCTGCATCCTCTCCATCACGGACGCCCAGGAGGAAGACAACGGCAGATATTACTGCTCGCTGTCCTCCACCAACAGCTGGCTGTAGCAGCAGGGAGCGAAACCGGCTTGCCCCACGCGCCGTGATGCGATGCAGGGCTGGATGGAAGGGGCACAGACCTCCTCTGGCACGGTGCTGCAGCCGCCTCCCTCCCTCCCTCCCTCCCTCCCTCCCTCCCTCACCTTCCTCCCCTCCCTTCCCCTCACAGCCCCGCTCTCCCCACATCCCAGCGGCGGTGGGAGCACGGGGCCGTGCCGCGGGGTGCCTGGGCTGGCGGCCGGCAGGGGCTGCGGTTTGATCAAGGCAATAAAAATGTTCGCTCCCCCACCACCGCGCTGCTGGCTTCGTGTCTGTGCGCCCTGCCCCGCGCCGCCATCGTGCCCCCCTCCCCCCGCCGCCATTTTGTGGCGCCCCCCGTGCCCCCCGCCGCCATTTTGTGGCACCCCCCAGCGCTCCCCCGGCTCCTGAGGGAGGGACAGGGGGCGCGGGGCGTCACAGGCGCCGCTGGGCGCTCCCTATGAGCATGGGCACGCAGGGGGGGCGAGGCGTTTTTCCGTTAAATTCTCGCAGATTACGTAAAAACGCTATGGGAAAAATGGGGGGATGCTTGGTGGGGGGGGCACAACTCGTTAAGGTCCCGCTCGCAGCAGGGACCGCACCAGCGCGCATGCGCAGCACAGCCGCGCACCCCCCTTCGGGGAGGGGGCGCTAGGGGGCGTGGCATGGGAGAGCGGAGCGTCACGTGGGGCGGAGCGGGCGCTGCCATTGGCTTGTGGGAGGGGAAAAGGAGGCGCGGCACTTCCTGGTTACCGCAGTCCGCGTCGGGGTAACGGGGCGGGCGGAGCTCTGCGGCGCAGCACGATGGTGAGCGGCAGCCCCGCATCGCCTCCCACCGCGGGGCTGCGGCGGTGCCTCCGGGCCCCTGAGGCTCGGCTTGCCGCGGTGCTCGCTGCGCCCCCGCTGTTGCTGGGTGGTGAATTCCCTCCGCCGGGGAGCGAGAGCCCGGAGCCCGCCGTGCTGCCCGGGGGGAGTAGCGTGGGCCTGCCCTGCCGGCCCCTCGGGCACTGAGGGTCTGATCCCGGGCCTGTAAAGGCTGCTGGAATTAGCAAGCGCCCTGGAGCTGCTAACTGGCTTTGTAACAGTGGCTTAAAACTCTCTCTTTCCTGTGTGTGAAGCTGGTGTTAGTACTCGGGGACCTTCACATCCCGCACCGATGCAGCGGTCTGCCCGTGAAGTTCAAGAACCTGCTGGTTCCAGGAAAAATCCAGCATATCTTGTGCACGGGAAACCTCTGCACCAAGGAGAGCTATGACTACCTCAGAACTTTGGCTGGGGACATTCACGTTGTTAGGGGGGACTCCGAGGTAATGTTCTTGCTGCTCTTAATTCCCCTATTCACTGTCCTGCATGCTGTGGTTGTCTTGGTGAAACCTGGGAGGTCCTTCAGTGTTAGCAATCACTGAGAGGTGAGGTGCTGGTATAGGAAAGAGGAATGAGTAAGACTGGAGAAACAAAATACCTTTCTAGATGTTTCTCATTGCATTTGCAACAAGGGAGGACTTAGTGTGCAGTGGTAAAGCAGGCACTTAATTTGTACAAAGGCCTGTACAAGTCTGCTTGTGACTGTTGTGAAGCCACTGCAGCTGGCTTGGGAGTCACAGGCACGGGGGACGTGTGTGTGTTTCCTTACTGCTGAGTAGCCCTGAAGCTCCTGATGCCCACGCAGTTCCTGTCGGGCACGAGATCCCAGTTCTTTGCTCTGCAGTTGCTCTTTGCTGGCGAATGGTGCAGGCATCCCCAGGTGTGTACACAGACAGAGGGAGGCACCGGGAGCTTGGGTGCTGACGGGTGGGTTTGTGTCTTGGATCGCGTGAGCCTGCACAGTGTCGGTGAGGGGTCTTTGGCTGATCTCTAACCCTTGTGTTTCTCCTTCTCAGAGTCTGAATTATCCTGAACAGAAGGTTGTAACTGTTGGGCAGTTCAGAATTGGGTTGATTCACGGGCATCAGGTTATTCCCTGGGGTGATGTGGCCAGCCTGGCACTGCTACAGAGGCAGCTGGATGTGGACATTCTCATCTCAGGACACACGCACAAATTTGAAGCATTTGAACATGAAAATAAGTTCTACATCAACCCAGGATCAGCTACAGGAGCCTACAGTGCTTTAGAAACGTGAGTGAAATGAGCTTGAACTGCCTGGTGTAGCACAGCTCAGGCGTGTTACCCCGAATGTGTGTGTTGAGCCCCCATGTTGCAGAGCAGTGCTGAGCAGCTGTGACATGCAGGTCATTTCTCCTCTTCCTAGAGAATGCTGCCTGACATTCCCCCTGTTAACGAGACTTTTAGTTCATGAATTGGGCCTGATGGCCTAGCACTGGCGTGTTTGCAGGCTCAGGAATCAGCCAGCACCAGAGGGGTGAGCTGCTGCAGCTTCTTGGAGTTGTCCTGCCTTCTGGTGCCTTCCAGGAGCTGCGTGCTGTCCTCTTGTAGGAAATGAGGCCTTTTGAGGCACTGCCGGGGTCTGAGCCACGCAGCAGCTGGGACATCCAGTCTTGAGGGCTGTTCTTGGGAATTGCAACTCTGTTTGAGCTGCTGCCAGTGCCTCTGAGCTGTGGTAGTACCCTGATCCCTGCAGCCCTTTGCAATCAATTGTTTTAGAACACATTCACACAAAATAGCTTAATAACAAGAATTATAGGCTAATCCAGGTGACTGACAAAGTATGTTTTCATTCCAGGAACATTATCCCTTCGTTTGTACTGATGGATATCCAGGCTTCCACGGTTGTGACCTATGTCTACCAACTAATTGAGGATGATGTGAAAGTGGAAAGGATTGAGTTCAAGAAGTACTGATACATCGTTAAACCTTCTTGCTAGCTTCTTGCTGCCTCCGTCCTGCTCTTCCCAGTTTAAATGGGGACAGGCCACGGGGGGGTGCTGTTGCAGCAGCATGTTCAGCTGTAAATGGGCTGTATCAGTGACTGGGAGCTCGTAATGCTTAGTCTTGGTTTGTGGTCGAGGCTTGAAGCAGAAGAAACTTGATGAGTTCATCCAAAAACATGTGTCCAAGAAGCAGGTGCTGTGCTCCTGGCCGGGAGAGGTAGCAATGGTGGTGGTTGCTGGGACTGAACATATGTAAGATAAGCATAGAATAAACCTATATTTTCATGTGACAGGGTCCTACTTATTCCTTAACTGAGAATGGGGGCAGGAACTGAGTCTGAGGGGCCTCTCTGGGGCCTGAAAGGGAGCTGCTGTTTGCTTCCTGAGCAATGCCATGAATCCTTTCTGCAGTGCCTGGAGCTGCCTGAGGACTGGTAACAGCTCTGATAGCCCTGCGGTCCCCTCCTGGTGCCTGTGTGAGGCCCGTGGTGGGCAGGAGGTGCTGCTGCAGCGTGGGGCTGTTGGTGTTGCCATAGATCACAGTGAAAGGAGCACTGCCAGGGGTCTTCTGCTGGTACCAGCCATAGCCACCGCTACTCCCGGAGCAGGTGATCTGCACGGTGTCTCCTGGATTCGCCAACTTTGAGGTTGGCTGAGTAGTAAGTGTTGCCCATATCAGGGAACCTGGAGAAGGGGGGGGGAGGAAAACAGGGCTCAGTGAGTGCCCCACACGCACGGCCCTCACCGTGCTGCAGCGGGATGGGGATCGCCACCATCTGAGGAGCAGGGACTGCAGCCACGGCCACAGTGGAGCATCAGAGCCCAGCACAGAGGCAGCTCCAGCAGTAGCAGAAGGACTGGGCTGCCAGCATTGATGGGTGGCAGGGCTGGGGGTAGTACAGTGCTGTGCCATGGAGGGGACAGGGATGGTGGAAGTCCTGTCCCCAGCATCGCCTCCCACACAGCGAAGTAGAACAGGGAGGATGCTCACAGCCATGGCCACCTGTGGAGACAGAAACCTTCCTCTTCTGTCGGGGAGAAGGGCAGAAAGCCTCCGTTTTTCACTCTGATCTGTAACTCTGGGATGCTTTTACCTCACTGGGCAGCTGAACTCGACCACAACCGTGCTCTCACTCCCCCTCCTCAGAAGGAGAGGGGAGGAAGAAAGTATGCTGGAAGGAAAAAAGGAAAAGCTCACAGCTTGAGCTATGGAGGGTATAGTTAAAAGCAAAGGAAGAAAGGGGAAAAAAAAACATCGAAGGCCATGTGGAAGCACAGAAAGAGGAAAAGTTATTCTTTCATTTGCCTCACCAAGCGATGCTGAGCCACATGCAGGACCATGATAGATGCAGTGGTTGTTTAGGAAGACAGATGGCTTTGTAATGAGAGCCCCCCTCTCCTTCCCCTTTCCCACCATTATTGCTGAGTGTGACCTCGTATGGCATGCCATATCCCTTTGGTCGGTTTGGGCCTGCTGCCTGGTGATGTCCCTTCCCCACCTCCTGCCCATCCCCAGGCTGCTGGGGGCAGTCCTGGTGCTGTGCCAGCACCCCTCAGCACCAGACACAGCACCGCTGTCATAGCAGTGGTGTTCTAGTGACAAGTGCAGGGCACAGCACTATATGGGCCGCTGCAGGGAGAGCTAACTCGATCCCAGGCAGACCCAGCACAACCCCCACCCATTATTCCATGCTGTCTGTATCACACTCAGGCTCTACATGCATCAGCACATTGGTCTTCCCATCAGCACTGTTCCCTGTCCTGTAACAGACACACAGATAGGTAGTTCTATCACTTGACAATCCTCTCCCAAAATGTCCATAAGAACTGCTGAAGGTTATGACTTCATCTGCCAAAGTGGTCACTCAGGAAAAGCGGAGTAGGAAAACTGGAGGCCAGCACCAGCTTCTGGACCGCATCTCCCTGCATCACTGAAACACCAACAGTGCTGTCAGAGCTCCCGCAGTAATAGACAGCCTTGTCCTCAGCTTGGACCCCAGGGATGGTTAACGTGTTTGTGGAAGCAGAGAATGGTGAAGGGATGCCCGAAGGTCTCCTGGTGTCGTCATAGATCACGGTGACAGGGGCACTGCCAGGGGTCTTCTGCTGGTACCAGCCATAGTAGTTGTCGCTGCTCCCAGAGCAGGTGATCTGCACGGTGTCTCCTGGATTTGCAGTCTTCGAGGCTGGCTGAGTCAGCGCTGCCTGGACCAGGGAACCTGGAGAGGGAGAGGAGAGATGGCAGAAAACAGGACTCAGTGAGTGCCCCACACGCACAGCCCTCACCATGTAGCAGCAGGACGGGGGTGGTCCCAGTGCCAAAACATCTTCTTCCCACCCAGGGACCACAGCCCCACACACAAACAACAGACAGAGTCCCAGGGCCACTGCAAGGAGAGCTGGAAGCAGTAGCAAGAGAGGCACCAACGGGAGCAGGCAGTTTGACTGGGGACAATATAAATCCCTGCCTGTTTTAGGGACAGGAACAAGGCACACCAGCCAAGTGCTCCTGGTTAAGTGACACAGGGAGATGTGGAAGTGAGAAACAGACCAAAGCTAAATATGAAGGGCCTCTTCTCTTCCAGTGCTGGTGTTCCCTTTCCAAGCCCATGGGAAGGTCTCTGTGTGGCACTTGCTGAGCCCCGTTTTCTCCCCTCTCCAGGTTCCCTGGTCCAGGCAGCGCTGACTCAGCCAGCCTCAAAGACGGTGAACCTGGGAGACACCATGCAGATCACCTGCTCCGGTGCTAGTGCTGATGGTGGTGGCAACTACTGGTATGGCTGGTACCAGCAGAAGACCCTTGGCAGTGCCCCTGTCACTGTGATCTATAGCAACACCTACAGACCCTCAGGCATCCCCTCACGATTCTCTGGTTCCACATCTGGCTCCACGAACACGTTAACCATCACTGGGGTCCAAGCTGAGGACGAGGCCGTCTATTACTGTGGGAGCTACGACAGCAGTGGTGCTGGTTTAGTGATGCAGGGAGATGTGGAATTGAGTGAAAGACAGGCAATAAAAACAGTTTCTTTGTCCTCCTCTCTCATGGGTGTAGCTCAGGCCTCTTCTCTTGCAGTGATGCTGTTCCCTTTCCCAGTATATGAGGATTGTTTTGTGTGCAGGGCACTTGCTGAGCCCTGTTTTCTCCCCTCTCTCCTCTCCCTCTCCAGGTTCCCTGGTCCAGGCAGCGATTACTCAGCTGGCCTCGAAGTCTGTGAACCTGGGAGACACCGTGCAGATCACCTGCTCCGGGAGTAGCAACAGATATGGCTGGTTCCAGCAGAAGACCCTGGCAGTGCCCCTGTCACCGTGATCTATCGCAACACCTACATAACCTTGAGCATCCGTAAGCGATCCTCTGGTTCCACATCTGGCTCCACGGCCACTTTAACCATCTCTGAGGTATAAGACGAGTAGAAGGCTGTCTATTACTGTGCTAGCTGGGACAGCAGTACTGTGCTGGCTTTTTGTCCGTGACTCTCAGGGCTGAGCAGGGCTGTGGGGCTGTGACAGGTTCCTGGCCCCTCTACAGGACCAAAACTGAGTTTAAAGAATCACTGAGCCCAGATTTATTCCCTCTCTCCTCTCTCTCTAGGTTCCCTGGTCCAGCCAGCTCTGACTCAGCTGGCCTTGACGTCTGTGAAACTAGGAGAAAAACAACAACAACAACAAAAACATAAAAAAACACTGCGCCACACAGCATCTGGGAGAGTGAGAGGATTGAGGAACAGCCTTGCAGGCAGCAAGGTCAGTGAAGAAGGAGGGCGAGAGGTCCTCCCTGCAACAGAGCAGAAGTCCCCTGTGGCCTCTGGAGAGACCATGGTGCAGCAGGCCGCCCCCCTGCAGCCCATGGAGTACCACGGTGGAGCAGGTTCCACGCTGCAGCCCATGGAGGAGAACACGGTGGAGCAGGTGGACCTGCCCCGATGCAGGCTGTAGCCTGTGAAGGACCCCTGCCAGAGCAGATTCCGGGCCGGACCTGTACCCGGGGAGAGGAGCCCACGCAGGAGCAGGTGACCTGGCAGGAGCTGCTGCCCGTAGGGGACCCAGGTTGGAGCAGTTTGCTCCTGAGGGATGGACCCCGTGGTACGGACCCATATCTGGAGCAGTTCTGGAAGAGCTGCTGCCTGTGGGCAGCCCATATTGGATCAGTTCATCAAGGACTGCATCCCGTGGGAGGGACCCCACAGCACAGGGGACGAGAGTGACCGAGAAGGAGTGGCGGAGAAGCGCTATGGACTGACCATAACCCCCGTTCCTCTCTTCCCCTGCGCTGCTTGGGGAGAGGAGGTGGAAGAGGGTAGATGGAGGGAAGGTGCTTTTGGCTTCTTTTCTTTGTTTCTCACTTCTCTAGCTTGTTGGTAATGAGCAATAAATCTTACTATCTCCCTATGCTGAGTCTGTCTTGCCTGTCACGATCATTGTTGAGTGATCTCCTAGTCCTTATCTCAAGCCTTGAGCCCTTTGCATCATGTTTTTCTCTTCTTTTCCCTTTGAGGAGGGAGAGAGAGAGATTGGTTGTGGTGGAGCTCAGCCGCCCACCCAAGTAAAACCACAACGAACGTGCAGATCACCTGCTCTGGGGGTAGCAGCAGCTACGTTTATGGCTGGTTCCAGCAGAAGACTCCTGTCACTGCCCCTGTCACTGTGATCTACAGCAACAACCAGAGACCCTCGGGCATCCCTTCACGATTCTCTGGTTCTGCATCTGGCTCCACGAACACGTTAACCATCACTGGGGTCCAAGCCGAGGACGAGGCCGTCTATTACTGTGGGAGCTACGACAGCAGTGCTGGTGGTGTCGGGGTGTCAGAGAGCTATGAGGATGTCCGGCAGCTGCACAGTGAGGTGTGTGCATGTGGACCACTCGCTGAGCTCCATTCTCTCCCCTCTCTCCTCTCCCTCTCCAGGTTCCCTGGTCCAGGCAGCAATTACTCAGCTGGCCTCGAAGTTCGTGAACCCAGGAGACACCGTGCAGATCACCTGCTCCGGGAGTAGCACTGGCAGTGATGGCAAATATTATTATGGCTGGTTCCAGCAGAAGACCCCTGGCACTGGTCCTGTCACCGTGATCTATGACAACAACCAGAGGCCCTTGGGCATCCCTTCACAATTCTCTGGTTCCCAGTCTGGCTCCACATCCACGTTAACCATCACTGCCTCGAAGTCTGGGAACCTGGGAGACAACATGCAGATCACCTGCTCCGTGGGTAGCTACAACTACTTTGGCAGTTACTATGGGTGGTACCAGCAGAAGACCCCTGGCACTGGCCCTGTCACTGTGATCTATGACGACATCAAGGAACCCTTGTGCATCCCTTCAAGATTCTCTGGTTCTGCATCTGGCTCCACAGCCACATTAACCATCACTGGAGCCTCATTCCACTGCTTCTGTGCAGTGAGGGCTGTGCTTGTGGGGCACTTGCCGAGCTCCGTTTTCTCCCCTCTCTCCTCTCCCTCTCCAGGTTCCCTGGTCCAGGCAGCAATTACTCAGCCAGCCTCGAAGTCAGTGCCCTCGCTGTGAGCTGGTGACAGCAGGGTTGCCTCTGGCTGGACCAGTTTGTGGATGATGCATGGTACTGAGTTCAGGTGAACTCGTCATCGTCTGGTCTTGATTGCTGTGAGGCCGCTGCAGTCCCTCAGCTGGCTTGGGAGTCACAGGCACGGGGGACGTGTGTGTGTTTCCTTACTGCTGAGTAGCCCTGAAGCTCCTGATGCCCACGCAGTTCCTGTCGGGCACGAGATCCCAGTTCTTTGCTCTGCAGTTGCTCTTTGCTGGCGAATGGTGCAGGCATCCCCAGGTGTGTACACAGACAGAGGGAGGCACCGGGAGCTTGGGTGCAGACGGGTGGGTTTGTGTCTTGGATCGCGTGAGCCTGCATGGTGTTGGTGAGGGGTCTTTGGCTGATCTCTAACCCTTGGGTTTCTCCTCCTCGGTCTCCTGCAGCTGCCAGCAGGAGCCGAGGGCCCCGGGGTCCTCTCACGGTGCTGTGCAAGGCCTGTGGTGGGCAGGAGGCGCTGCTGCAGTGCGGGGCCAGGGCCTGGCTTAATGCAGAGCCCCACGGGGAGCCCCGTGGAGGAGAAGGCAGCTCCTGCGGCCAGGCAGGGGGCAAAGCACTGCTGCCAGCCCTCAGCCCTGCTGGGAGGCTCAGCTGGGGCTCACCGAGGGCAGATGTGCAGAGAATCAGTGAGTGGTTGTGGTTGGAGAGCACCTCAGCAGCAACCAACGTCCCCATACCACCAATGTCACCCACTGAACCACGTCCCTAAGTACCACATCCAGCTCCCCCAGGGCAGGGGGAGCGCTGGGGCAGGGGCTGCCAGAGACCGTGGGGCCGGGGCTGTGTGGAGGGGCCGTGCTGCGGCCGGGCGGGGGTTTAAGAGGGAGTCGGGGTCCGCGGCACAGCCCCGTCGGCATGGGGACGCGCAGCTGGTGGGATCTCGCCATGGCCTGGGCCCCTCTCCTCCTCGCGGTGCTCGCCCACACCTCAGGTGCCCTGGACACACTCGCTGCGCCCGGCCGGGCCCTTTGGGCAACGGGGCCCTGGCCTCATCCTGCTGCTGCGTGCTGAGGGCTGTGAGTGTGGGGCACTCGCTGACCCCGTTTTCTCCCCTCTCTCCTCTCCCTCTCCAGGTTCCCTGGTCCAGGCAGCGCTGACTCAGCCGGCCTCGAAGTCGGTGAACTTGGGAGGAACCGTGCAGATCACCTGCTCCGGGGGTAGTGGCAGCTACTACGGCTGGTTCCAGCAGAAGACCCCTGGCAGTGCCCCTGTCACCGTGATCTACAACAACAACCAGAGACCCTCGGGCATCCCTTCTCGATTCTCTGGTTCCAAATCTGGCTCCACAGCCACGTTAACCATCACTGGGGTCCAAGCTGAGGACGAGGCCGTCTATTACTGTGGGAGTGAGGACAGCAGTGCTAGTGCTGGTACAGGGACACAGAGCAAGGTGGAAGTAAAGGACAACGCACAGGTTAAAATGGAGGCTTTTTGCCCTTCTCCTTCAGGGCTGAGTGAGCAGGTCTGAGCACTGATATTCAGCATTCGTGGTTCTGGCTGGTGTATTTGCAAGGCTGCAGGGCTCTGCTCATTGGTCAGTGTTCAGGGCTGTCAGTCCCTTGGTGTTTTAGGAATCTCTAGGTTTCAGTGTTGTCCCGCTACTGTGGGTTGAGGGCTGTGTGTGTGGGGCACTCGCGGAACCCCATTTTCTCCCCTCTCTCCTCTCCCTCTCCAGGTTCCCTGGTCCAGGCAGCGCTGACTCAGCCGGCCTCGAAGTCAGTGAACCTGGGAGGCACTGTGCAGATCACCTGCTCCGGGGGTGGTAGCTACTACGGCTGGTACCAGCAGAAGACCCCTGGCAGTGCCCCTGTCGCTGTGATCTATGACAATACCAACAGACCCTCGGGCATCCCTTCTCGATTCTCTGGTTCCTTATCTGGCTCCACAGCCACATTAACCATCACTGGGGTCCAAGCCGAGGATGAGGCCGTCTATTACTGTGGTGGCTACGACAGCAGCTGGAGTGCTGTACAGTGACAGTGAGTTACAAGATGTGGGAGTATCCAAAGCCTTAGGAAGGTTTTCTCTCCTTCCTGTTGGCCATACAGAGCTGTTGCAGTAGCCAGATTCTTATTCCCTCTCTATGTTCCCGACTGTGAACGTCCTCCCCCATGTCCCTTGTGGTATGGGAGGTGTCTTTGGGGGTGGTGTGCCTTGTTCCCATCCCTAAAACAGGCAGGGATTTATATTGTGAAACCGCCTACACCAGTTGCTGTCTCTCTTGCTGCTGCTTCCAGCTCTCCTTGAAGGGGTCCTGGGACTCTGTCCGTAGTCTGTGTGTGGGACTGTGGGTCTCTGGGTGGGACCAAGATCTTTTGGCACTTCGAACATGGTCGTCCTCCTGCCGCATGGTGAGGGCTGTGTGTCTGCGGCACTCAATGAGCCCCATTTTGTCCCCTCTCTCCTCTCCCTCTCCAGGTTCCCTGGTCCAGGCAGCGCTGACTCAGTCGGCCTCATAGTCGGTGAACCTGGGAGGAACCGTGCAGATCACCTGCTCTGGGGGTAGCAGCAGCTACGTTTATGGCTGGTACCAGCAGAAGACCCCTGGCACTGCCCCTGTCACCGTGATCTACAACAACAACCAGAGACCCTCGGGCATCCCTTCTTGATTCTCTGCTTCCACATCTGGCACCACAAACACGTTAACCATCACTGGGGTCCAAGCCGAGGACGAGGCCGTCTATTACTGTGGGAGCTACGACAGCAGCAGTGGTTATGACAAGGTGATGCTGACTGGGCAGAGAGATCCTGCATGTCAAACAGGTTGGTTTAGTCTCCCCCTTCCTCTCAGCTCAGCAGGGCCATGTCACCGGGTGTGGGGGTCTCCCTTCTTTCCTGTTCCCCTTCCCCTTGTCCACCATGTCCCCGGGCTTTGCTGCATTTCAGCTCGCCCAGGCTGAGTGTTGCCCAGGGCCCTGCAGCTGCACAGCTGCCTGCAGTGCACGTGGCTGGGTGCGTGCGCGTTGGGCACCTGGGGAGACCCGGGCATGCCCTGGGCAGACAGGGAGAGCTCCTGCCTCAGCCCTTTGGTTGCCCAGTGGTCTGGTTCAGGCACTGTTGCTGTCTGTGTGCATGGGACAAGCTGCAGAGATTTGTGGCTCTGTGGGTAGCTTTCAGTATGGCTGGTACCAGCAGAAGACCCCTGGCAGTGCCCCTGTCACCGTGATCTATAGCAACACCAGCAGACCCTCGGGCATGCTTTCACTGTTCTCTGCTTCCACATCTGGCTCCACAGCCACTTTAACCATCACTGGGGTCCAAGCTGAGGACGAGGCCGTCTATTACTGTGGGAGTGAGGACAGCAGTGCTAGTGCTGGTACAGGGACACAGAGCAAGGTGGAAGTAAAGGACAACGCACAGGTTAAAATGGAGGCTTTTTGCCCTTCTCCTTCAGGGCTGAGTGAGCAGGTCTGAGCACTGATATTCAGCATTCGTGGTTCTGGCTGGTGTACTTGCAAGGCTGCGGGGCTCTGCTCATTGGTCAGTGTTCAGGGCTGTCAGTCCCTCGGTGTTTTAGGAATCTCTAGGTTTCCGCGTTGTCCCACTACTGTGGGTTGAGGGCTGTGTGTGTGGGGCACTCGCTGAGCCCTTTTTCTCCCCTCTCTCCTCTCCCTCTCCAGGTTCCCTGGTCCAGGCAGCGCTGACTCAGCCGGCCTCGAAGTCAGTGAACCTGGGAGGCACCGTGCAGATCACCTGCTCCGGGAGTAGCAACAGATATGGCTGGTTCCAGCAGAAGACCCCTGGCAGTGCCCCTGTCACCGTGATCTACCAGAACAACAAGAGACCCTCGGACATCCCTTCTCGATTCTCTGGTTCCTTATCTGGCTCCACAGCCACATTAACCATCACTGGGGTCCAAGCCGAGGATGAGGCCGTCTATTACTGTGGTGGCTACGACAGCAGCTGGAGTGCTGTACAGTGACAGTGAGTTACAAGATGTGGGAGTATCCAAAGCCCTAGGAAGGTTTTCTCTCCTTCCTGTTGGCCGTACAGAGCTGTAGCAGTAGCCAGATTCTTATTCCCTCTCTATGTCCCCGACTGTGAACATCCTCCCCCATGTCCCTTGTGGTATGGGAGGTGTCTTTGGGGGTGGTGTGCCTTGTTCCCTTCCCTAAAACAGGAGGGATTTATATTGTGAAACCGCCTACACCAGTTGCTGTCTCTCTTGCTGCTGCTTCCAGCTCTCCTTGAAGGGGTCCTGGGACTCTGTCCGTAGTCTGTGTGTGGGACTGTGGGTCTCTGGGTGGGACCAAGATCTTTTGGCACTTCGAACATGCCGCATGGTGAGGGCTGTGTGTCTGCGGCACTCAATGAGCCCCATTTTGTCCCCTCTCTCCTCTCCCTCTCCAGGTTCCCTGGTCCAGGCAGCGCTGACTCAGTCGGCCTCATAGTCGGTGAACCTGGGAGGAACCGTGCAGATCACCTGCTCTGGGGGTAGCAGCAGCTATGGCTGGTACCAGCAGAAGACCCCTGGCACTGGCCCTGTCACTGTGATCTACAGCAACAACCAGAGACCCTCGGGCATCCCTTCACAATTCTCTGGTTCCTTGTCTGGCTCCACAAACACGTTAACCATCACTGGTATCCAAACCGAGGATGAGGCCGTCTATTACTGTGGGAGCAGGGACAGCAGTGCTTGCCACAGTCACTGTGAGTCCCACCAGTAAGGAACTGAGTCACTTTACTGGTGTGTCCCAGGGCCCCTCTGCTGCCTGCTGCTACTGCTTGAACATGGTGAAGGAGCTGCCAATGTGCCCAGTGGGATGGAACCCATCACGTGGCAAGTGCCCTGTTCCAGCACATCCCCTCTGTGCTGCTGGCAGGAATGGAGCCCCCGGCACTGCTGCCCTTTCCCCTGCCCATCGGCTGCTCAAGTCCTGGGCACCTTGGGGTGGGCATTGCGGGGCCAGGGAGCTTTGCAGGAGGGGGCATTTCCCATGTGAGTGCTGGCTCCTGGACACCAGGGGCTGCCATGTGCAAATCAGAGCTGGGAGTGGGCTGCTCCTGACTGGGGGCATGAATCCAGGTGGCCTCTGGAGTGGGACTCCTGAGTACCCAGCACCATCAGTTCATGGGCAGCCTTGTGGAGCCATAGGTCCTGCTGTCCGATGGGTGCCTGTGGGCAGAGTGGCCTCATGCCACTGCTGCTGTGCAGTGAGGGCTGTGCGTGTGGGGAACTCGCTGACCCCGTTTTCTCCCCTCTCTCCTCTCCCTCTCCAGGTTCTCTGGTCCAGGCAGCAGTGACTCAGCCAGCCTCAAAGTCAGTGAACCCGGGAGACACCGTGCAGGTCAACTGCTCCGGGGGTAGCGGCTACTATGGCTGGAATCAGCAGAAAACTCCTGGCAGCGCCCTTGTCACCGTGATCTATGAGAACACCAAGAGACCCTCAGGCATCCCTTCACAATTCTCTGGTTCTTCATCTGGCTCCATTAACACGTTAACCATCACTGGCATCCAAGCTGAGGACGAGGCCGTCTATTACTCTGGTAACTGGGACAGCAGCACTGATGCTGGTATAGTGACATAGAGCAAGATGGAAGTGAAGGACAGCCCACAGGTTAAAATGGAGGCTTTTTGCCCTTCTCCTTCAGGGCTGAGCAGGTCTGAGCACTTATATTCAGCATCTGTGGGTCTGGCAGGTGTCCTTGCAAGGCTGTATGGCTCTGCCTGTGGGCTGTGTTCAGGGCTGTCATTCGCTCAGTGTCAGCACAGCCTCCAGGCTCAGGGGCCCTGTCCCACTGCTGCATGGTGAGGGCTGTGCTTGTGGAGCGCTCGCTGAGCCCTGTTTTCTCCCCTATCCCTCTCCAGGTTCCCTGGTCCAGGCAGCAATTACTCAGCTGGCCTTGAAGAGAGTGAACCTGGGAGGCACCGTGCAGATCACCTGCTCTGGGGGTAGCACTGACAGTAGTGGCAACTATTGGTATGGCTGGTACCAGCAGAAGACCCCTGGCACTGGCCCTGTCACCGTGGTCTATGAGGACACTAAGAGACCCTCGGACATCCCTTCACGATTCTCTGGTTCCTTGTCTGGCTCCACAGCCACGTTAACCATCACTGGGGTCAAAGCCGAGGATGAGGCCGTCTATTACTGTGGTGGCTTAAACAGCAGTGCTGGTACTGGTATAGGGACACAGAGCAATGTGGAAGTGAGGGACAGACCACAGCTCGAAATGGAGACTTTTTACTTTTGTGCCTTAGAGCTGCACAGGGCTGTGGGGCTGAGGCAGGTTCCTGGCCCCTCTGCATGGCCATAGCTGTGAGATTCCTCCTTTTATGCCCCAGTGCCCTGGGGACATCTCTGGGGCTGGGCTGGGGTCTACTCATCCAACGTGGTCAGGGCCTGATCACTTCTCCACGGTTTGTGGTATTCAGCATTCCTAGTTCTGGGAGGTGTCCTTGTGAGGCTGCGGGGCTCTGGCCACGGGCTCAGTGTTCAGGGCTGTTGGTCCCTCAGTGTCGTAAGAGCCTGCAGACTCAGAGACCCCGTTCTGCTGCTTCTCAGTGAGGGCTGTGTGTACGGGGTACTCCCTGATCTCCATTTTCTCTCCTCTCCCTCTCCAGGTTCCCTGGTCCAGGCAGCGCTGACTCAGCCGGCCTCGAAGTCGGTGAACCTGGGAGACACCGTACAGATCACCTGCTCCGGGGGTAGCAGTGGCTACTATTATGGGTGGTTCCAGCAGAAGACCCCAGGCAGTGCCCCTGTCACTGTGATCTAGCAGAATGACAAGAGAATCTCGGGCATCCCTTCACGATTCTCTGGTTCCTTGTCTGGCTCCACAAACATGTTAACCATCACGGGGTCCAAGCTGAGCATAAGGCTGTCTATTACTGTGGGAGCTACGATGACAGCAGTGCTAGTGCTGATTTAGAGTGGCAGAAAGATTTCAGAGTGAGGGAGAGACATGAGCTAAAGATGAAGGTTTTCTGCGCTTGTCCATCATGGCTGCAGCTCAGGTCTCTTCTCTTCCAGTGGTGGTGTTCCCTTTCCCTGTGCATCGGGAGGTCTGTGGATGTGGGGCACTCACTGAGCCCCATTTTCCCCCATCTCTCCTCTCATTCTCCAGGTTCCCTGGTCCAGGCAGCGATTACTCAGCCGGCCTCGAAGTCGGTGAACCTGGGAGGAACCGTGCAGATCACCTGCTCTGGGGACGGCGCTTCCAGTGATGGCAAATATTGGTATGGCTGGTACCAGCAGAAGACCCCTGGCACTGGCCCTGTCACCGTGATCTATGGCAACGACAAGAGACCCTCGGGCATCCCTTCTCGATTCTCTGGTTCCACATCTGGCTCCACAGCCACGTTAACCATCACTGGGGTCAAAGCCGAGGATGAGGCCATCTATTACTGTGGTGGCTTAGACAGCAGTGCTGGTGCTGGTATAGGGACACAGAGCAACGTGGAATTGAGGGACAGACCACAGCTCGAAATGGAGACTTTTTACTTTTGTGCCTTAGAGCTGCACAGGGCTGTGGGGCTGAGGCAGGTTCCTGGCCCCTCTGCATGGCCATAGCTGTGAGATTCCTCCTTTTATGCCCCAGTGCCCTGGGGACATCTCTGGGGCTGGGCTGGGGTCTACTCATCCAACGTGGTCAGGGCCTGATCACTTCTCCATGGTTTGTGGTATGCAGCATCCCTAGTTCTGGGAGGTGTCCTTGTGAGGCTGTGGGTCTCTGGCCATGGGCTCAGTGTTCAGGGGGATCAGTGCCTCAGTGCTGTAAGAGCCTCAGCCTCAGAGGCCCCGTTCTGCTGCTTCTCAGTGAGGGCTGTGTGTACGGGGTACTCCCTGAGCTCCGTCTTCTCCCCTCTCTCCTCTCCCTCTCCAGGTTCCCTGGTCCAGGCAGCACTGACTCAGCCAGACTCAAAATCAGTGAACGTGGCAGGATCTGTGGAGATCACCTGCTCCGGGAGTAGCTATGGCTACTATGGCTGGTTCCAGCAGAAGACCCCTGGCAGTGCCCCTGTCACCGTGATCTATAGCAACAACCAGAGACCCTCGGGCATCCCTTCACAATTCTCTGGTTCCCAGTCTGGCTCCACAGCCACATTAACCATCACTGGGGTCCAAGCCGAGGACGAGGCCGTCTATTACTGTGGGAGCCACGACAGCAGTGCTGGTGCTGGTATAGTGACACAGAGCAATGTATAAGTGAGAGACTGACCACATCTAGAAACGGAGGATTTCTTCACTTGTCCCCCAGTGTTCAGCAGCCCTGTGGGGCCGAGGCAGGTTCCTGGTCCCTCGGCATGACCACAGCTCTGAGTTTCCTCCCTTTCATGCCCCAGTGCCCTGGGGAGGTGTCTGCAGCTGGTTCAGGCCCAATCCCCTCAGGCCCAATCCCCTCAGGCCCAACATGGTTCAGGCCCAATCCCTTCTCCACTGTTTGTGGTATTCAGCATCCCTTTTTCTGGCAGGTGTCCTAGCAAGGCTGTGGGGCTCTAGCCATTGGCTCAGTGTTCAGGGCTGTCACTGCCTCGGCGTCGTAAGAGCCTCCAGGTTTGGGTTTGTCTCACTAATGTGGGGTGAAAGCTGTTCGTGTGGGGCACTCGCTGATCCCCATTTTCTCCCCTCTCTCCTTTCCCTCTCCAGGTTCCCTGGTCCAGGCAGCGATTACTCAGCCGGCCTCGAAGTCAGTGAACCCGGGAGACACCGTGCAGATCACCTGCTCCGGGAGCAGCAACAACTATGGCTGGTACCAGCAGAAGACCCCTGTCACTGGCCCTGTCACCGTGATCTACAACAGCAGCCAGAGACCCTCGGGCATCCCTTCACGATTCTCTGGTTCCAAATCTGGCTCCGTGAGCACGTTAGCCATCACAGAATCACAGAATCACAGAATCACAGAACTGTAGGGGTTCGAAGGGTCCTCGAAAGATCGATCATTGGGTACAACCCCCCTGCCAAAGCAGTTTTCTCAGAGCAGGCTGCCCAGGTAGGCGTCCAGACAGGCCTTGAATATCTCCAGAGAAGGAGCCTCCACAACCTCCCTAGGCAGCCTGTTCCAATGCTCCGTCACCCTCACTGTGAAGAAGTTCTTTCGCATGTAAGTGCGGAACTTCCCGTGCTCTAACTTGCAGCCATTGCCCCTTGTCCCACCCCCATAAACCACTGAGAAGAGGTTGGCTACATCCTTCTGTCCCCCACCCCTCAGATATTTATATACACTGAGGAGATCCCCCCTCAGTCTTCTTTTCTCCAGGCTGAACAGACCCAGGTCTCTCAGCCTTTCCTCATAGGGAAGATGCTCCAGGCCCCGTATCTTTTTTGTGGCCCTCCGCTGGACTCTTTCCAGGAGACGCCTGTCTTCCTTGTACTGCAGATCACCTGCTCCGGGGGTAGCTACAACGAATATGGCTGGTACCAGCAGAAGACCCCTGGCACTGGCCCTGTCACCGTGATCTACAACAACAACAAGAGACCCTCAGACATCCCTTCACGATTCTCTGCTTCCACATCTGGCTCCACGAACACGTTAACCATCACTGGGGTCCAAGCCGAGGACGAGGCCGTCTATTACTGTGGGAGCAGTGACAGCAGTGGTGTTGGTTTAGTGACACAGGGAGATGTGGAAGTGAGGGGGAGCCTGGAGGTAAAGGCAAAGGTTTTCTGCCCTCCTCCCTCAAGGGAGCAGCTGTGGACTCCCCTCTTCCAGTGATGTTGTTCCCTTTCTTAGTACATGAAGATGGTTTTGTGTGCAGGGCACTCGCTGAGCCCCGTTTTCTCCCCTCTGTCTTCTCCCTCTCCAGGTTCCCTGGTCCAGGCAGCGCTGACTCAGCCAGACTCAAAATCGGTGAACATGGCAGGAACTGTGGAGATCACCTGCTCTGGGGGTGGTAGCTTCTATGGCAGTTACTGTTATGCCTGGTACCAGCAGAAGACCCCTGGCACTTGCCCTGTCGCCGTGGTCTATGCCAATAACAACAGAACCTCGGGCATCCCTTCTCGATTCTCTGGTTCCAAATCTGGCTCCGTGTCCACATTAACCATCACTGGGGTCCAAGCCGAGGACGAGGCCGTCTATTACTGTGGGAGTTTCCACAGCAGCAGTGGTTATGACAAGGTGATGCTGACTGGGCAGAGAGATCCTGCATGTCAAAGAGCTTGGTTTAGTCTCCCCCTTCCTCTCAGCTCAGCAGGGCTGGTTGGAGCGGGAGTACAGGTGGTGTTTTTGTCCATCCCTACAGTGGCAGGGAGGGGTACAGAGAGGACACGGAAAGCCCACCTGATAAACACGTGGCTCAGAGGATGGTGCCAACACAGAAATTTTGTTTTTTTGACCATGGGGCGCTTTACTCAGCACCCGGCCTGATGGCCACAGACTGGTCCCTATCTCTAAGGGGAAAACAGATCCTGGGCCAGGAGCTGTCGGGGCTCATTGAGAGGGCTTTAAACTAGGTAAGAAGGGGTACGGGGCTGAAACAAGGCTTGTTAGAGCTGTGCCAGGGGTAACAACGGCAAGGCCGGGAGAGAGGGCAATGGCCCAACTGAAGTGCATCTACACTAATGCACGCTGCATGGGCAACAAACAGGAGGAGCTGGAAGCCATCATGCGGCAGGCAGGCTACGACTTGGTTGCCATCACGGAAACGTGGTGGGACCACTCTCATGACTGGAGTGCTGCAATGTCTGACTGTAGGCTCTTCAGAAGGGACAGACAGCACAGAAGGGGTGGTGTGACTCTCTATATCAGAGAGAGTTTTGGTGTTGTGGAACTTGAGGCTGGGAATGATAAGGTTGAGTCCCTATGGGTTAGGATCAGCAGGAAGGCCAACAAGGGAAGCATTCTGGTGGGGGTCTGTTATAGACCGCCGAACCAGGATGAGGAGACTGATGAGGAGTTCTACAGGCAGCTGACAAAAGTTGCGAAATCATCAATGCTTGTTCTTGTGGGGGACTTCAACCTCCCTGACATATCCTGGAAGCACAATACAGCCCAGAGAAAGCAGTCTAGGAGGTTTCTGGAGAGCGGGGAAGATAGCTTCCTGACGCAGCTGGTTAGTAAGCCTACCAGGGGAGGTGCCCTGCTAGACCTTCTGTTCACAAACAGAGAAGGACTGGTGGGAGATGTGGTGGTTGGAAACTGTCTTGGGCAGAGTGACCATGAAATGGTGGAGTTCTCCATTCTCGGAGAAGCCAGTAAGGGGACCAGTAAAACCGCTGTATTGGACTTCCGGAGGGCCAACTTTGAACTGTTCAGTACACTGGTTGGTCAAGTCCGTGGGAGGCGGTTCTGAAAGGCAGAGAAGTCCCTTGGGAGGCGGTTCTGAAAGGCAGAGAAGTCCAGGAAGGCTGAGCACTCTTCAAGAAGGAAATCTTATTGGCGCAGGAGCAGTCTGTCCCCACATGCCCAAAGACGAGCCGGTGGGGAAGAAGACCAGCCTGGCTGAACAGAGAATTGTGGCTTGAGCTCAGTAGAAAAAAGAGGGTTTATAATCTTTGGAAAAAAGGGCGGGCCACTGAGGAGGACTATAAGGATGTAACGAGGCTGTGCAGGGACAAAATTAGAAAGGCCAAAGCTCATCTGGAGCTCAATCTCGCTACTGCCGTTAAAGATAACAAAAAATCTTTTTACAAATACATCAACGCAAAATGGAGGACTAAGGAGAATCTCCATCCTTTCCTGGATGTGGGGGGAAACCTTGTTACAAAAGATGAAGAAAAGGCGGAGGTGCTTAATGCCTTCTTCGCCTCAGTCTTTAGCGGCAAAACCAGTTGCTCTCTGGATACCCAGTACCCTGAACAGGTGGAAGGGGATGGGGAGCAAAATGTGGCCCTCACCATCCACGAAGAACTGGTTGGTGACCTGCTACGGCACTTGGATGTACGCAAGGCGATGGGGCCGGATGGGATCCACCCAAGGGTACTGAGAGAACTGGCAGAGGAGCTGGCCAAGCCCCTATCCATCATTTATCAACAGTCCTGGCTATCGGGGGAGGTCCCAGTTGACTGGCGGCTAGCAAATGTGATGCCCATCTACAAGAAGGGCTGGAGGACTGACCTGGGGAACTATTGGCCTTTCAGTTTGACCTCAGTATCAGCGAAGCTCATGGAGCAGATCCTCTTGAGTGTCATCACGCGGCACTTACAGTGCAAGCAGGTGATCAGGCCCAGTCAGCATGGGTTTATTATGAAAGGCAGGTCCTGCTTGATGAACCTGATCTCCTTCTACAACAAAGTGACGCACTTTGTGGATGAGGGAAAGACTGTGTATGTGGTCTACCTTGACTTCAGCAAGGCATTTGACACCGTCTCCCACAGCATTCTCCTCAAGAAACTGGCTGCTCTTGGCTTGGACTGGCGCACGCTTCGTTGGGTTAGAAAATGGCTGGACAGCCGGGCCCAAAGAGTCGTGATAAATGGAGTCAAGTCCAGTTGGAGGCCAGTCACTAGTGGCGTCCCCCAGGGCTCTGTGCTGGGGCCGGTCCTCTTTAATATCTTCATCAATGATCTGGACGAGGGCATTGAGTGCACCCTCAGTAAGTTTGCAGATGACACCAAGTTAGGTTCATGTATCAATCTGCTTGAGGGTAGGAAGGCTCTGCAGGAGGATCTGGATAGGCTGCACCGATGGGCTGAGGTCAACTGCATGAAGTTCAACAAGGCCAAGTGCTGGGTCCTGCACCTGGGGCGCAATAACCCCAAGCAGAGCTACAGGCTGGGAGATGAGTGGTTGGAGAGCTGCCAGGCAGAGAAGGACCTGGGAGTGATGGTGGACAGTCGGCTGAATATGAGTCAGCAGTGTGCTCAGGTGGCCAAGAAGGCCAACGGCATCCTGGCTTGTATCAGAAACAGTGTGACCAGCAGGGCTAGGGAGGTGATCGTCCCCCTGTACTCGGCTCTGCTGGGAGGCTCGGCTGGGGCTCACCGAGGGCAGATGTGCAGAGAATCAGCGAGTGGTTGTGGTTGGAGAGCACCTCAGCAGCAACCAACGTCCCCATACCACCAATGTCACCCACTGAACCACGTCCCTAAGTACCACATCCAGCTCCCCCAGGGCGGGGGGAGCGCTGGGGAAGGGGCTGCCAGAGACCGTGGGGCCGGGGCTGTGTGGAGGGGCCGTGCTGCGGCCGGGCGGGGGTTTAAGAGGGAGTCGGGGTCCGCGGCACAGCCCCGTCGGCGTGGGAACGCGAAGCTGGTGGGATCTCGCCATGGCCTGGGCCCCTCTCCTCCTCGCGGTGCTCGCCCACACCTCAGGTGCCCTGGACACACTCGCTGCGCCCGCCCGGGCCCTTTGGGCAACGGGGCCCTGGCCTCGTCCCGCTGCTGCGTGCTGAGGGCTGTGAGTGTGGGGCACTCACTGACCCCGTTTTCTCCCCTCTCTCCTCTCCCTCTCCAGGTTCCCTGGTCCAGGCAGCAGTGACTCAGCCGGCCTCGAAGTCGGTGAACCTGGGAGGCACCGTGCAGATCACCTGCTCCGGGGGTTATGGCTGGTACCAGCAGAACACCCCTGGAACTGCCCCTGTCACCGTCATCTACAACAACAACCAGAGACCCTCGGGCATCCCTTCTCGATTCTCTGGTTCCAAATCTGGCTCCGTGGGCACGTTAACCATCACTGGGGTCCAAGCTGAGGACGAGGCCGTCTATTACTGTGGGAGTGAGGACAGCAGTGCTAGTGCTGGTACAGGGACACAGAGCAATGTGGAAGTGAAGGACAGCCCACAGGTTAAAATGGAGGCTTTTTGCCCTTCTCCTTCAGGGCTGAGTGAGCAGGTCTGAGCAGTGATATTCAGCATTCGTGGTTCTGGCTGGTGTATTTGCAAGGCTGTGGGGCTCTGCTCATTGGTCAGTGTTCAGGGCTGTCAGTCCCTTGGTGTTTTAGGAATGTCTAGGTTTCCGTGTTGTCCCACTACTGTGGGTTGAGGGTTGTGCGTGTGGGGCACTCGCTGAGCCCTTTTTCTCCCCTCTCTCCTCTCCCTCCCCAGGTTCCCTGGTCCAGGCAGCGATTACTCAGCCGGCCGCGAAGTCGGTGAACCTGGGAGGAACCGTGCAGATCACCTGCTCCGGGGGTAGCAGTGGCTACGCTTATGGGTGGTACCAGCAGAAGACCCCTGGCAGTGCCCCTGTCACCGTGATCTACAACAACAACCAGAGACCCTCGGGCATCCCTTCACGATTCTCTGGTTCCACATCTGCCTCCGTGGGCACGTTAACCATCACTGGGGTCCAAGCCGAGGACGAGGCCGTCTATTACTGTGGGAGCAGGGACAGCAGTGGTGTTGCTTTAGTGACACAGGGAGATGTGGAAGTGAGGGGGAGCCTGGAGGTAAAGGCAAAGTTTTTCTGCCCTCCTCCCTCAAGGGAGCAGCTGTGGACTCTCCTCTTCCAGAGATGTTGATCCCTTTCTTAGTACATGAAGATGGTTTTGTGTGCAGGGCACTCACTGAGCCCCGTTTTCTCCCCTTTCTCCTCTCCCTCTCCAGGTTCCCTGGTCCAGGCAGCGCTGACTCAGCCAGACTCAAAACCGGTGAACATGGCAGGAACTGTGGAGATCACCTGCTCTGGGGGTGGTAGCTTCTATGGCAGTTACTATTATGCCTGGTTCCAGCAGAAGATCCCTGGCACTGGCCCTGTCACCGTGATCTACAACAACAACCAGAGACCCTCAGACATCCCTTCTCGATTCTCTGCTTCCACATCTGGCTCCGTGTCCACATTAACCATCACTGGAGTCCAAGCCGAGGACGAGGCCGTCTATTACTGTGGGAGCTTCGACAGCAGCAGTGGTTATGACAAGGTGATGCTGATTGGGCAGAGGGATCCTGCATGTCAAAGAGGTTGGTTTAGTCTCCCCCTTCCTCTGATGAGGGAAAGGCTGTGGATGTGGTCTACCTTGACTTCAGCAAGGCTTTTGACACCGTTTCCCACAGCATTCTCCTCAAGAAACTGGCTGCTCTTGGCTTGGACTGGCGCACGCTTCGTTGGGTTAGATACTGGCTGGATAGCCGGGCCCAAAAAGTCGTGATAAATGGAGTCAAGTCCAGTTGGAGGCCAGTTACTAATGACGTCCCCCAGGGCTCGGTGCTGGGGCCGGTCCTCTTTAATATCTTCATCAATGATCTGGATGAGGGCATTGAGTGCACCCTCAGTAAGTTTGCAGAGGACACCAAGCTAGGTTCATGTATCAATCTGCTTGAGGGTAGGAAGGCTCTGCAGGAGGATCTGGATAGGCTGCACCGATGGGCTGAGGTCAACTGCATGAAGTTCAACAAGGCCAAGTGCTGGGTCCTGCACCTGGAGCGCAATAACCCCAAGCAGAGCTACAGGCTGGGAGATGAGTGGTTGGAGAGCTGCCAGGCAGAGAAGGACCTGGGAGTGATGGTGGACAGTCGGCTGAATATGAGTCAGCAGTGTGCTCAGGTGGCCAAGAAGGCCAACGGCATCCTGGCTTGTATCAGAAACAGTGTGACCAGCAGGGCTAGGGAGGTGATCGTCCCCCTGTACTCGGCTCTGCTGGGAGGCTTGGCTGGGGCTCACCGAGGGCAGATGTGCAGAGAATCAGCGAGTGGTTGTGGTTGGAGAGCACCTCAGCAGCAACCAACGTCCCCATACCACCAATGTCACCCACTGAACCACGTCCCTAAGTACCACATCCAGCTCCCCCAGGGTGGGGGGAGCGCTGGGGCAGGGGCTGCCAGAGACCGTGGGGCCGGGGCTGTGTGGAGGGGCCGTGCTGCGGCCGGGGAGGGGGTTTAAGAGGGAGTCGGGGTCCGCGGCACAGCCCCGTCGGCGTGGGGACGCGCAGCTGGTGGGATCTCGCCATGGCCTGGGCCCCTCTCCTCCTCGCGGTGCTCGCCCACACCTCAGGTGCCCTGGACACACTCGCTGCGCCCGCCCGGGCCCTTTGGGCTGCTGCGTGCTGAGGGCTGTGCGTGTGGGGCACTCGCTGACCCCGTTTTCTCCCCTCTCTCCTCTCCCTCTCCAGGTTCCCTGGTCCAGGCAGCAGTGACTCAGCCGGCCTCGAAGTCGGTGAACCCGGGAGGAACCGTGCAGATCACCTGCTCTGGGGGTAGCACTGATAGTAATGGCAAATATTGGTATGGCTGGTACCAGCAGAAGACCCCTGGCACTGCCCCTGTCACTGTGATCTATAGCAACGACAAGAGACCCTCAGGCATCCCTTCACGATTCTCTGGTTCCTTGTCTGGCTCCACAGCCACGTTAACCATCACTGGTGTCCAAGCCGAGGACGAGGCCGTCTATTACTGTGCTAGCTGGGATGGCAGTACTAAATTGTCACAGTGACACAGAGCAATGGGGAAGTGATACAAAAACCTCCTGCCATCGCTGGAGCAGCTGGCTCCCTGCCGTCCCCTCAGATGTTGGCGCAGGTCCCCGTCTCATTGCTGGCCTTGCAGCTCTGTTCTGCAAGTGGTTATGCCTGGTCTCTCTGCTCTGCCCTCCTGCAGAACCCCAAGGTTGCACCCATACCTCAGGGATGGGATGGCCTCAGAAGCCCTGTCCCTGCCCCAAACTGCAGGGCCCAGGTACCCCGGTGCTCCCAGGCTGCTCCCGGGGCCCTGATGGCTGCCTCTCTGCCCCGCTACAGCCACTGCCCTGGGGCATCACTGCAGGGACTCAGCCCACAGAAAGCACCAAGAGACCACAATGTGTAGATCACTAAAGAGCCAGGTCAAAGCTTCACGTTCAGACCATGACAGGGGATGTTTTGTGTGGATGCTGTATGAGGCTGCAGGGGCAGTTCAGGGCTGGCTGTTTTGTGCTCCATCATGCCCCACAAGGACAGACCCCTGAGCTGCTGCAGCACTGGCTGTGTTTGCCCAGTGCCACAGCTTTGGGCTCATGTTGGGTCTGTGCAGGATCTCCAGCGGGCCCCTGGGGGACCTGGGCAGCCCCTGGCCCTGGTCCCTGCCCCAGCCACGTCCCCAGGGCCAAAAGGACTGCCCAGGACCCTGCTCCTGCCCTCATCCTGCTCCCTAACCCCAGCACTACCTCTGGGTCTGAGGCTGAGGGCTCCTGCACATCACCGGTTCCTGAATGTCCTGTGTAGGGACATTTGCTGCATTCCTGTGAGCCTGCTGGGGCAGAGGGATAAGGGATCTGTGGGGGAAGTTAGAGGGGCATGGGTGCAGTCCTGTCCCCAGCCCTGTTCCCAGGACCTTGGTACACTGTGGGAGGGATGGGCAGAGCAGCACCGAGCACCCTGCAGCCCTGGGGGAGATCTGCATTTGCTAACAGCCCCACTCCCTGCCCCGCGTGCTGCTGCCCTTGCCTTCTGCATGTCAAGCTGCCCGGGGCTCTGGGGTGGCAGATAACAACCAGATGAGGAGCTAGGAAGCAAGCAAGCAGGGGCTCTGCTGCGGCCCTTTCCCAGCCCCCTGGCACAGGCTTTCCCCATGGCAGAGCCCAGTTTGGTGCCATCAGACCCTGTGGATGCTCCCCATGGCAGTTCTCTGGCAAGGATTAGTCCTTCCAGCCCAGCACGGGTACCGTCTCCTCGCCGTGTGGTCCCCTTAGCCCCTCCAATCCAGCTCTCCCCGGCTGTTTGGCCTCGTAGCCACAGGAGTTGGGGCGGGGGCTCCGTGTGCTCCACTTCTGGGCCTGGGTGCTGCCACGTGTCCCCAGCACGAGGCCGGGGACAACCCCCCTGTGCCTGCGGTGGAGAGGCCGGGCAGGGAGGAGGGGAGCGAGGCGCAGGACGTGGCCGAGAGCGCGGGGCCGCATTTGCATGGAGGGGCCGTGCTGCGGCCGGGCGGGGGTTTAAGAGGGAGTCGGGGTCCGCGGCACAGCCCCGTCGGCGTGGGGACGCGCAGCTGGTGGGATCTCGCCATGGCCTGGGCCCCTCTCCTCCTCGCGGTGCTCGCCCACACCTCAGGTGCCCTGGACACACTCGCTGTGCCCGGCCAGGCCCTTTGGGCTGCTGCGTGCTGAGGGCTGTGCGTGTGGGGCACTCGCTGACCCCGTTTTCTCCCCTCTCTCCTCTCCCTCTCCAGGTTCCCTGGTCCAGGCAGCGATTACTCCGCCGGCCTCGAAGTCGGTGAACCTGGGAGGCACTGTGCAGATCACCTGCTCCGGGGGTAGCAGCAGCTACTATGGCTGGTACCAGCAGAAGACCCCTGGCACTGCCCCTGTCACCGTGATCTATAGCAACGACAAGAGACCCTCGGGCATCCCTTCTCGATTCTCTGCTTCCACATCTGGCTCCACAAACACGTTAACCATCACTGGGGTCCAAGCCGAGGACGAGGCCGTCTATTACTGTGGGAGCTACGACAGCAGCAGTGGTTATGACAAGGTGATGCTGACTGGGCAGAGAGATCCTGCATGTCAAAGAGGTTGGTTTAGTCTCCCCCTTCCTCTCAGCTCAGCAGGGCCATGTCACCGGGTGTGGGGGTCTCCCTTCTTTCCTGTTCCCCTTCCCCTTGTGCACCATGTCCCCGGGCTTTGCTGCATTTCAGCTCACCCAGGCTGAGTGTTGCCCAGGGCCCTGCAGCTGCACAGCTGCCTGCAGTGCACGTGGCTGGGTGCGTGCGCGTTGGGCACCTGGGGAGACCCGGGCATGCCCTGGGCAGACAGGGAGAGCTCCTGCCTCAGCTCTTTGGTTGCCCAGTGGTCTTGTTCAGGCACCGGTGATGCCTGTGTGCATGGGACAAGCTGCAGAGATTTGTGGCTCTGGGGGTAGCTTTCAGTATGGCTGGTACCAGCAGAAGACCCCTGGCACTGGCTCTGTTACAATGATCTACCAGAACAACAAGAGACCCTCAGGCATCCCTTTGCGATTCACTGGTTCTGCATCTGGCTAAACGGGCACGTTAACAATCACTGGGGTCAAAGCCAAGGACGAAGCTGTCTGTTACTGTGGGAGCTGGGACAGCAGTGCTGGTACTTATATAGTGACACAGAGCAATGAGGTCATGAGGGATAGACCACATCTAGAAATGCAGGCTTTCTGCCCTCATCCCTCAAGGCTGAGCAGGGCTTAGGGGCTGAGTCTGGTTCCTGGTCCCTCTGCATGACCACAGCTCTAAGTTTATTAACTTGCTGCGCCCTGTTTTTTCCCCTCTCTCCTCTCCCTCTCCATGTTCTCTGGTTCAGGCAGTGCTGAGGGCGAACCTGGGAGACACCGTGCAGATCACCTGCTCCGGGGGTGGCAGCTACTGTGGCTGGTTCCAGCAGAAGACCCCTGGCAGTGCCCCTGTCACCGTCCTCTACCAGAACAACCAGAGACCCTCGGGCATCCCTTCGTGATTGTCTGCTTCCACATCTGGTTCCGTGTCCACGTTAACCTTCACTGGGGTACAAGCCGAGGACAAGGCCGTCTATTACTGTGGGAACTACGACAGCAGCTATGGTGGTGTCGGGGTATCAGAGAGCAATGAGGATGTGCTGTAAGGCCCTTGGCCCTGTCCCGCTGCTACGCAGTGAGATCTGTGCATGTGGGCCACTCGCTGAGCCCCGTTTTCTGCCCCCTTTCCTCTCCCTCTCCAGGTTCCCTGGTCCAGGCAGCAGTGACTCAGCAGGCCTCAAAGTCGGCGAAACCAGGAGACACCGTGCAGACCACCTGCTCTGGGAGTAGCAGCTGGTATGGCTGGTACCAGCAGAAAAACCTTGGCAGTGCCCCGGTCACCGTGATCTATGATAGCACAAAGAGACCCTCGGGCATCCTTTCATGATTCTCTGCTTCCACATCTGGCTCCACGGGCACGTTAACCATCACTGGGGTCCAAGCCAAGAATGAGGTTGTCTTACTGTGGTGTCTATGACAGCAGTAGTGATGTTTATGTGTGGGGGGCACTTGCTGAGCTCCCTTTTCTCCCCTCTCTCCTCTCCTTCTCCAGGTTCTCTGGGCCAGACAGAGATTATTCAGCCGTTCTTGAAGTCAGTAAATCGGGGACACAATGTGGAGATCACCTGCTCCAAGGCTAGCACTGCAATGGTGGAAAATATAATTATGCCTGGTACCAGTAGAAGACCCCTGACAGTGCCCCTGTCACCGTGATCTATAGCAACAACCAGAGACCGTCGGGCACCCCTTCTCGATTCTCTGGTTCCACATCTGGCTCCACATCCACGTTAACCATCACTGGGGTCCAAGCCGAGGACGAGGCCGTCTATTACTGTGGGAGCAGGGACAGCAGTGCTAGTGGTTCAGTGAAAGAGGCAGATGTGGAAGTGAGCAACAGACTGGTGCTATAGACAAAGTTTTTCCGCCCTCTTCCCTCAAGGGGGCATCTGTGGACTCTACCAGTGATGTTGATCCCTTTCCCAGTACATGAAGATGGTTTTGTGTGCAGGGCACTCACTGAGCCCTGTGTTCTTCCCCTTTCCCTCTCCAGGTTCCCTGGCAGCGCTGACTCAGCTGGCCTCAAAGTCAGTGAACCTGGGAGGAACCGTGCAGATCAGCTGCTAAGGGGGTAGCAGCAGCTACGATTATGGCTGGTACCAGCAGAAGACCCCTGGCAGTACCCCTGTCACTGTGACCTACTGTGATCTAACAACAAGAGACCCTCGGGCATCCCTTCTCGATTCTCTGGTTCCACATCTGGCTCCGCGAACACGTTAACCATCACTGGGGTCCAAGATGAGGACGAGGCCGTCTATTACTGTGGTAACTGGAACAGCAGTGCTAGTGCTGGTACAGGGACACAGAGCAACGTGGAAGTGAAGGACAGCCCACAGGTTAAAATGGACGCTTTTTGCCCTTCTTCTTCAGGGCTGAGCAGGTCTGAGCACTTATATTCAGCATTTGTGGTTCTGGCAGGTGTACTTCAAGGCTGTGGGGCTCTGCTCATGGGTCAGTGTTCAGGGCTGTCAGTCCCTCGGTGTTGTAAGAGCCTCCGGGTTTGAGTCTTGTCCAACTACTGTTGGTGAGGGCTGTGCATGTGGGGCACTCGCTGACCCCATTTTCTCCCCTCTTTCCTCTCCCTCTCCAGGTTCCCTGGTCCAGGCAGCAGTGACTCAGCCAGCCTCGAAGTCAGTGAACCCAGGAGACACCGTGCAGATCACCTGCTCCGGGAGTAGTGATGGCTATGGTTGGTTCCAGCAGAAGACCCTGTCACTGGCCCTGTCACTGTGATCTATAGCAGCACCAACAGACCCTCGGACATCCCTTCACGATTCTCTGGTTCCTATTCTGGCTCCTCTGCCACGTTAACCATCACTGGGGTCAAAGCTGAGGACGAGGCCTACTGTGGGAGCACGGACAGCAGTGGTGCTGCTTTAATTACATAGGGATATGTGGAAGTGAGCAACAAACTGGTGCTAAAGACAAAGTTTTTCCGCCCTCTTCCCTCAAGGGGGCAGCTGTGGACTCTACCAGTGATGTTGATCCCTTTCCCAGTACATGAAAATAGTTTTGTGTGCAGGGCATTCGCTGAGCCCTGTGTTCTTCCCCTTTCCTCTCCGTCTCCAGGTTCCCTGGTCCAGGCAGCGCTGACTCAGCTGGCCTCAAAGTCAGTGAACCTGGGAGGAACCGTGCAGATCACCTGCTCCGGGGGTAGTGATGACTATGGTTGGTACCAGCAGAAGACCCCTGGCACTGGCCCTGTCACCGTGATCTACTACAACAACAAGAGACCCTCAGACATCCCTTCAAGATTCTCTGGTTCCACATCTGGCTCCACAGCCACGTTAACCATCACTGGGGTCCAAGCCGAGGACGAAGCCGTCTATTACTGTGGGAGCTACGACAGCAGCTATGGTGGTTTCGGGGTGTCAGAGAGCAATGAGGATGTGCTGTAAGGCCCTTGGCCCTGTCCCACTGCTACGCAGTGAGATCTGTGCATGTGGGCCACTCGCTGAGCCCCGTTTTCTCCCCTCTCTCCTCTCCCTCTCCAGGTTCCCTGGTCCAGGCAGCAACTACTCAGCCGGCTTCGAAGACGGTGAACCCAGGAGACAACGTGGACATCACCTGCTCCGGAGGTAGCGCTGATAGTAATGGCAAATATTGGTATGGCTGGTACCAGCAGAAGACCCCTGGCAGTGCCCCTGTCACCGTGATCTATAGCAACACCAGCAGACCCTCGGGCATGCTTTCACTGTTCTCTGCTTCCACATCTTCTCGGCCTTTTGGCTAAGATCAAGTGTAGTATCTGTTCCTATCAATTTAATATCTGATATGTCGTCGATGAGAGGACTTTATATTAAACTGATTTTTGGGCTCAGGTTTGAATATATATATATATTTTTGAGCCACTTGCCAAGGCGATCAGCTCCAGGGGAGACGTGTTCTGCAGCGGAGAGGGGGATCGGACAGGCAGGGCAAATTTTTCCGGCATCGAGCCCACTCGAGGGAGCCGCCAGGGCCCAGCAGGCCTCGTGAGGGAGGTGAACGAGGCGCGAACGAGGCGTAGGCGGAACCAGCAGTGCCCCCTCCCAGCCGTTCAAAAGCTGCCCCTAGGAATCGTGGCGACCAGGAGCGTGGTGACCAGGACAGGCAAACAGGGCTTGGCGCATCAGGAGGGAGGGGCATGGCAGCTCGCGCAGGCAAGGCGAGCAGGAAGGGCAGAGCACTCCCCCCTGCCCATACGAACACCTCCTGTAATGGTGGTCTACCGCTAGATAGGCTGCAACGGTGCACACCAGGCACAGAGCACTCTCTAGGAAGTCTGCACACACCCAGACTGACTGCCCGCCCAAAGCTGTGGCAGGGCAGGTCTCCGGGTGCAGGGAGTGCCTGAGCCTGGTGCTACCACCTGCGGGGGGCAGAGGGACTCTCTGTGTGAGGTGCGAGCAGGTGGATGACCTGATCCGCATGGTGCTGGAGCTCAAGGAGGAGGGCGAGAGGTTGAGGGATATCAGGGACTGCGAACGCGAGATAGATTCGTGGAGCAACTCCCTGCGTGGCCTGAAGGACAGGCACCGGGGTGAGACACCCCAAATGGGGGTGGAGCCCCTGCCCTGTCGCCGTTGAGCAGGGACCTAGGAGTTGAGGAGGAATGGAAACAGGTCCCTGCTCAGCATTGCAGGCGATGCCCCCCTCTTACCGGCTCCGTCTTCCCAGGTGCCCTTACACAACAGGTTTGAGGCCCTGGAGCTTGAGAGACCGGTAGCTGAGGAAGAGGTAGAAAGTCTACCCAGGAGGATGCCTAGGGCGAGGAAGTCGACTCCACGCCTCAGGACTGCCTCCACCAGGACAGAAAGAAGGGTGGTTGTTGTGGGAGACTCTCCTCAGGGGAACAGAGGGACCTATTTGTCGGCCTGACCCTACCCGTAGGGAAGTCTGCTGCCTCCCTGGGGCCAGGATCAGGGACATTGCCAGAAAGCTTCCCAACCTAGTTTTCCCCTCTGACTTTTATCCTCTTTTGATAGACCAGGCTGGCAGTGATGACGTTGAAGAGAGAAGCCTGAAGACCATCAAACGAGACTTTAAGGGGACTGGGACGGTTAGTGGATGGAGTGGGAGTACAGGTGGTGTTTTTGTCCATCCCTACGGTGGCAGAGAGGGGTACAGAGACGACACGGAAAGCCCACCTGATAAACACGTGGCTCAGAGGCTGGTGCCAATACAGAAATTTTGTTTTTTTGATCATGGGGCGCTTTACTGAGCACCCGGCCTGATGGCCACGGGCTGGTCCCTATCTCTAAGGGAAAAACAGATCCTGGGCTAGGAGCTGGCAGGGCTCATTGAGAGAGCTTTAAACTAGGTAAGAAGGGGGACGGGGCTGAAACAAGGCTTGTTAGAGCTGTGCCAGGGGTAACAACAGCAAGGCCGGAAGAGAGGGCAATGGCCTTCTCTGAACCCAGGAGACACCGTGCAGATCACCTGCTCCGGGAGTAGCAGTGACTATGGCTGGTACCAGCAGAAGACCCCTGGCACTGGCCCTGTCACCGTGATCTACAGCAACACCAACAGACCCTCGGGCATCCCTTCACGATTCTCTGGTTCCTTATCTGGCTCCACGAACACGTTAACCATCACTGGGGTCCAAGCCGAGGACGAGGCCGTCTATTACTGTGGGAGCGGGGACAGCAGTGCTGGTGCTGGTATAGTCACACAGAGCAATGGGGACATGAGGGACAGAGCACAGCTAGAAATGGAGGCTTCCTGCTCTTGTCCCCCAGAGATGATCAGGGCTATGTGGCTGAGGCAGGTTCCTGGTCCCTTTTCCTGTCCACAGCTGTGAGTTGTGAGCTGAGCCCCATTTTCTCCCCTCTCTCCTCTCCCTCTCCAGGTTCCCTGGTCCAGGCAGCACTGACTCAGCCGGCCTCAAAGTCGGTGAACCTGGGAGGAACCGTGCAGATCACCTGCTCTGGGAGTAGCAGTGGCTACTATGGCTGGTTCCAGCAGAAGACCCCTGGCACTGGCCCTGTCACCGTGATCTATGACAACAACAAGAGACCCTCGGGCATCCCTTCACGATTCTCTGGTTCCAAATCTGGCTCCACATCCACGTTAACCATCACTGGGGTCAAAGCTGAGGATGAGGCCGTCTATTACTGTGCTAGCTACGACAGCAGTGCTGGTGCTGGTATAGTGACACAGAGCAATGTGGAAGTGAGGGACAGACCACAGCTCGAAATGGAGACTTTCTGCTTTTGTGCCTTAGAGCTGAGCAGGGCTGTGGGGCTGAGGCAGGTTCCTGGCCCCTCTGCATGGCCATAGCTGTGAGATTTCTCCCTTTTATGCCCTATGACCCTTGGGACATCTCTGGGACTAGGCTGCGGTCTACTCATCCAACGTGGTCAGGGCCCGATCACTTCTCCAGGGTTTGTGGTATTCAGCATCCCTAGTTCTGGGAGGTGTCCTTGTGAGGCTGTGGGGCTCTGGCCATGGGCTCAGTGTTCAGGGCTGTTGGTCCCTTGGTGTAGTAAAAGCCTCCAGGCTCAGAGGCCCCGTTCTGCTGCTTCTCAGTGAGGGCTGTGTGTACGGGGTACTCCCTGATCTCCATTTTCTCTCCTTTCCCTCTCCAGGTTCCCTGGTCCAGGCAGCACTGACTCAGCCAGACTCGAAATCAGTGAATGTGGCAGGATCTGTGGAGATCACCTGCTCCGGGAGTAGCTACGGCTACTATGGCTGGTACCAGCAGAAGACCCCTGGCAGTGCCCCTGTCACTGTGATCTACTATAACGACAGGAGACCCTCGGGCATCCCTTCACGATTCTCTGGTTCCAAATCTGGCTCCACAGCTATGTTAACCATCACTGGGGTCCAAGCCGAGGACGAGGCCGTCTATTACTGTCGGAGCGTGGACAGCAGTGCTGGTGCTGGTATAGTCACACAGAGCAATGGGGACATGAGGGACAGAGCACAGATAGAAATGCAGGCTTTCTGCCCTTGTCCCTAAGAGCTGAGTAGATCTTTGGTGCTGAGGCAGGTTTCTGGTCCCTTGGAATGACCACAGCTGTGAGTTTATTAATTTGTTGAGCCCCGTTTTCTTCCCTCTCTTTTTGCCCTCTCCAGGTTCCCTGGTCCAGGCAGCGCTGACTCATCCGGCCTCGAAGTCGGTGAACCCAGGAGACACCGTGCAGATCACCTGCTCCGGGGGTAGCGCTGCCAGTGATGGCAAATATTATTATGCCTGGTACCAGCAGAAGACCCCTGGAACTGGCCCTGTCACCGTGATCTATAGCAACGACAAGAGACCCTCGGGCATCTCTTCAAGATTCTCTGCTTCCACATCTGGCTCCACAAACACGTTAACCATCACTGGGGTCCAAGCCAAGGATGAGGCCGTCTATTACTGTGGGAGCTACGACAGCAGCAGTGGTGGTGTCGGGGTGTCAGAGAGCAATGAGCATGTACTGGAAGTCCCTTGGCCCTGTCCCACTGTTATGCATTGAAGTCTGTGAATGTGAACCACTCGCTGAGCCCCGTTTTCTGCACCCTTTCATCTCACTCACCAGGTTCCCTGGTCCAGGCAGCAGTGACTCAGCCGGCCTCAAATTGGCGAACCTGGGAGACACCGTGCAGATCACCTGCTCTGGGAGTAGCAGCTGGTATGGCTGGTACCAGCAGAAAAACCCTGGCAGTGCCCCTGTCACCATGATCTATGATAGCACAAAGAGACCCTCAGACATCCCTTCACGATTCTCTGCTTCCACATCTGGCTCCACGAACACGTTAACCATCACTGGGGTCCAAGCCGAGGACGAGGCCGTCTATTACTGTGGGAGCAGGGACAGCAGTGCTAGTGCTGCTTTAGTGACAGAGGCAGATGTGGAAGTGAGCAACAGACTGGTGCTATAGACAAAGTTTTTCCGCCCTCTTCCCTCAAGGGGGCAGCTGTGGACTCTACCAGTGATGTTGATCCCTTTCCCAGTACATGAAAATAGTTTTGTGTGCAGGGCATTCGCTGAGCCCTGTGTTCTTCCCCTTTCCTCTCCGTCTCCAGGTTCCCTGGTCCAGGCAGCGCTGACTCAGTTGGCCTCGTAGTCGGTGAACCTGGGAAGAACCGTGCAGATCACCTGCTCCGGGAGTAGCAGTGGCTACTATTATGGCTGGTACCAGAAAAAGACCCCTGGCACTGGCCCTGTCACCGTGATCTATGAGAACAACCAGAGACCCTCGGGCATCCCTTCACGATTCTCTGGTTCCTTGTCTGGCTCCACAAACACGTTAACCATCACTGGTATCCAAACCGAGGATGAGGCCGTCTATTACTGTGGGAGCAGGGACAGCAGTGCTTGCCACAGTCACTGTGAGTCCCACCAGTAAGGAACTGAGTCACTGAGTCCCCTCTGCTGCCTGCTGCTACTGCTTGAACATGGTGAAGGAGCTGCCAATGTGCCCAGTGGGATGGAACCCATCACGTGGCAAGTGCCCTGTTCCAGCACATCCCCTCTGTGCTGCTGGCAGGAATGGAGCCCCCGGCACTGCTGCCCTTTCCCCTGCCCATCGGCTGCTCAAGTCCTGGGCACCTTGGAGTGTGCATTGCGGGGCCAGGGAGCTTTGCAGGAGGGGGCATTTCCCATGTGAGTGCTGGCTCCTGGACACCAGGGGCTGCCATGTGCAAATCAGAGCTGGAAGTGGGCTGCTCCTGACTGGGGGCACGAATCCAGGTGGCCTCTGGAGTGGGACTCCTGAGTACCCAGCACCATCAGTTCATGGGCAGCCTTGTGGAGCCATAGGTCCTGCTGTCTGATGGGTGCCTGTGGGCAGAGTGGCCTCATGCCACTGCTGCTGTGCAGTGAGGTCTGTGCGTGGGGGGCACTCGCTGAGCCCCATTTTCTCCCCTCTCTCCTCTCCCTCTCCAGGTTCCCTGGTCCAGGCAGCAGTGACTCAGCCGGCCTCAAAGTCAGTGAACCCGGGAGACACCGTGCAGATCACCTGCTCCGGGGGTAGCGGCTACTATGGCTGGTACCAGCAGAAGACCCCTGGCAGCGCCCCTGTCACCGTGATCTATGAGAACACCAAGAGACCCTCAGGCATCCCTTCACAATTCTCTGGTTCTTCATCTGGCTCCATGAACACGTTAACCATCACTGGCATCCAAGCTGAGGACGAGGCCGTCTATTACTGTGGTAACTTGGACAGCAGCACTGATGCTGGTATAGTGACACGGAGCAATGTGGAAGTGAAGAACAGCCCACAGGTTAAAATGGAGGCTTTTTGCCCTTCTCCTTCAGGGCTGAGCTGGTCTGAGCACTGATATTCAGCATCCCTGGTTGTGGCAGGTGTCCTTGCAAGGCTGTATGGCTCTGCCTGTGGGCTGTGTTCAGGGCTGTCATTCGCACAGTGTCAGCACAGCCTCCAGGCACAGGGGCCCTGTCCCACTGCTGCGTGGTGAGGGCTGTGCGTGTGGGGCCCTCACTGAGCCCTGTTTTCTCCCCTCTGTTCTCTCCCTCTCCAGGTTCCCTGGTCCAGGCAGCAATTACTCGGCTGGCCTTGAAGAGAGTGAACCTGGGAGGAAACGTACAGATCACCTGCTCCAGGGCTAGCGCTGACAGTAGTGGCAACTATTGGTATGGCTGGTACCAGCAGAAGACCCCTGGCACTGGCCCTGTCACCGTGATCTATGAGGACACTAAGAGACGCTTGGGCATCCCTTCTCGATTCTCTGGTTCCTTATCTGGCTCCACGGCCACATTAACCATCACTGGGGTCCAAGCCGAGGACGAGGCCGTCTATTACTGTGGGAGCGTGGACAGCAGTGCTGGTGCTGGTATAGTCACACAGAGCAATGGGGACATGAGGGACAGAGCACAGCTAGAAATGGAGGCTTCCTGCTCTTGTCCCCCAGAGATGATCAGGGCTATGTGGCTGAGGCAGGTTCCTGGTCCCTTTGCCTGACCACAGCTGTGATTTGGGAGCCGAGCCCCATTTTCTCCCCTCTCTCCTCTCCCTCTCCAGGTTCCCTGGTCCAGGCAGCAGTGACTCAGCCGGCCTCGAAGTCAGTGAACCTGGGAGACACCGTGCAGATCACCTGCTCCGGGGGTAGCAGCAGCTACGGTTATGGCTGGTACCAGCAGAAGACCCCTGGAACTGGCCCTGTCACCGTGATCTATACCAACGACAAGAGACCCTCGGGCATCCCTTCTCGATTCTCTGCTTCCACATCTGGCTCCACAAACACGTTAACCATCACTGGGGTCCAAGCCGAGGATTACCCTGTCTATTACTGTGGGAGCAAGGACAGCAGCTATGGTGGTGTCAGGGTGTCAGGGAGCAATGAGGATGTGCTCCAAGGCCCTTGGCCCTGTCCCACTGCTACGCAGTGAGATCTGTGCATGTGGGCCACTCGCTGAGCCCCAATTTCTCCCCTCTCCTCTCCAGGTTCCCTGGTCCAGGCAGCACGGACTCAGATGGCCTTAAAGTTGGCGAACCCAGGAGACACCGTGCAGATCACCTGCTCTGGGAGTAGCAGCTGGTATGGCTGGTACCAGCAGAAAAACCCTGGCAGTGCCCCTGTCACCGTGATCTATGATAGCACAAAGAGACCCTCGCACATCCCTTCATGATTCTCTGGTCCCACATCTGGCTCCATGAACGCATTAACAATCTCTGCAGTCCAAGCTGAGGACGATACTGTCTATTACTGTGGGAACTTAGGCCACAGTGTGGCCAGTATCCATCTACCCTGGGTGCTCATCGATGGGTCCTATGGGCTCATGGGTTCCCTGCTGAGTGTGGGTGTCAGTGCTCCTGCAGCTGGCACTGGGGGGTGTTGGCAGTGGGCCAGTGTCCCCTTTGGAGCCTGCTGTGCCCTCACTGTGAGCTGGTGACAGCGGGGTTGCCTCTGGCTGGACCAGTTTGTGGATGATGCATGGTACTGAGTTCAGCTGAACTCGTCATCGTCTGGTCTTGATTGCTGTGAGGCCGCTGCAGTCCCTCAGCTGGCTTGGGAGTCACAGGCACAGGGGACGTGTGCGTGTTTCCTTACTGCTGAGTAGCCCTGAAGCTCCTGATGCCCACGCAGTTCCTGTCGGGCACGAGATCCCAGTTCTTTGCTCTGCAGTTGCTCTTTGCTGGCGAATGGTGCAGGCATCCCCAGGTGTGTACACAGACAGAGGGAGGCACTGGGAGCTTGGGTGCAGACGGGTGGGTTTGTGTCTTGGATCGCGTGAGCCTGCATGGTGTTGGTGAGGGGTCTTTGGCTGATCTCTAACCCTTGTGTTTCTCCTCCTCGGTCTCCTGCAGCTGCCAGCAGGAGCCGAGGGCCCCGGGGTCCTCTCACGGTGCTGTGCAAGGCCTGTGGTGGGCAGGAGGCGCTGCTGCAGTGCGGGGCCAGGGCCTGGCTTAATGCAGAGCCCCACGGGGAGCCCCGTGGAGGAGAAGGCAGCTCCTGCGGCCAGGCAGGGGGCAAAGCACTGCTGCCAGCCCTCAGCCCTGCTGGGAGGCTCGGCTGGGGCTCACCGAGGGCAGACGTGCAGAGAATCAGCGAGTGGTTGTGGTTGGAGAGCACCTCAGCAGCAACCAACATCCCCATACCACCAATGTCACCCACTGAACCATGTCCCTAAGTACCACATCCAGCTCCCCCAGGGCAGGGGGAGCGCTGGGGCAGGGGCTGCCAGAGACCGTGGGGCCGGGGCTGTGTGGAGGGGCCGTGCTGCGGCCGGGCGGGGGTTTAAGAGGGAGTCGGGGTCCGCGGCACAGCCCCGTCGGCGTGGGGACGCGCAGCTGGTGGGATCTCGCCATGGCCTGGGCCCCTCTCCTCCTCGCGGTGCTCGCCCACACCTCAGGTGCCCTGGACACACTCGCTGCGCCCGCCCGGGCCCTTTGGGCTGCTGCGTGCTGAGGGCTGTGCGTGTGGGGCACTCACTGACCCCGTTTACTCCCCTCTCTCCTCTCCCTCTCCAGGTTCCCTGGTCCAGGCAGCGCTGACTCAGTCGGAGCCGCAGTCGG